AAATATTTTATTGTTAATGTGAAATTTCCAAATCACCATTTTCTTGATTAAAACTCTACTAATATTTGCCTTCTAGTTTTATAATGTTTAAGAAAAATCTATTAATTTATTCAAGATTTGCAGAAATAATTATAAAATTAAAAATACATCTTCTTTAAATCAAATGCATATAGAATTCTTATATATTGCAAAGTCTTTAATAAATCAAAAAAATATTTTTTATATTTGGATTTAATAATAAATAAATTAATTTAATTCATAATTGAGTTTTGTTTGGAATATTATTGCATTTGGAAACCTAGAATTAATATTTATGAATAAATACACTAAATATTTTCAATAATGTATAACAAGGTATTAATAAAACTATTAATAACATTAAAATTTCATTCTAAATCCTCTTCAGAAATTTGATTTCCAATTCAATAGTATAAATCAATAAATATCATTGAATTGAATAATTTTAAAAATTATTATTAATTTCAAATATCCTTATCATTATTCAAAATTAGCAGAATTGTTTGCAAATTAGCATAATTAGATTTCTCTTATAATTATATTTTATATGTAATTCAGAATTGCAATACAATATTTTGTCTAGATATACAAGTATTTTTCTTTGTTTTTAAAATTTATACTATTCTTTGTAAAAATTAACAAATTTTAATTTCGTTTTGCTCTATATTTCTAATTATATTTTAATGGCTATACTTATAAATTATTTACATTTTATTATATTGCCATTCTCCTCTAACACGATAACTAATCCTATCTTCCTATTTTGATATCTTTCATACCATATTCACCATCTTAAATAACTTATTTCTGCCACTTAAATTCTTCATCCAACTCTACCCAATCTTAATCTAATTATCTCTTTCATTACAGAATACCGCACCACTAATATTCTATTCTTATTTAATATTTATTTACATTAATAATTTCCATCTCCCAATCTATCAAAATGAATATGGCTCTATCCAAAAAACTTTCCCATAATTTTATCCACTTCCCCATCTTATTCTAACTTTCCTTATAATATCCACACTACTATTTATTATAATGAATGTAGTACATCACTTGATTTTAATAAATATATTTCCATCTACCTATTTTTATGTCATCATGATATTAACCCTCTTAAAATACATCGACCGCTAATGATCTTTTATTATTAATATTTGCCTACAATGATTCATAATTTATTATTTCTAATAATGTTCTTAAAAGCTTTAGCAGACACCCCCAGGTAGTAGAAAATCATCATAATCTAATAATTTTAATGGCTTCATCCTAAATTATAGTTTTACCATATAGGGTCTTATTAATTATTTTGATTTTAATTCTTTTTTTCCAATTATATTTCATATCTATTTCATGTGAAATTTTTAAAGAATATTCTTAAATAGCAATTTAATATTTATGCTAGGACTTGATTCTTAATTTAATTCTATAACTATAATATTTAATCTTAGTAAATTTGTACTAAAAAAAAAAGAATAACAATGAAATTTATAGAACATCTAACTCTATAAATCAAATGTTTGATAAATTTTTAATAAAAAGTTCAGATATATTTCACATATATGAACCCAACTAATTACTATTAGATACTAATTTAAATAATTAAAATTGAGAATTGGACTGCAACAAAGTTTTAAGGATTGTATACAATATCATTAAAAACTTTAAATTACCTGTTGCAAAAAAATTATCTCTTAATCGCCAATAACTCAAAAATTAATAAGTAATATTCATGAAATAAGAATTTAAATTTAATACTTTTAATTTCTATATTATAATATTGATCAATCTAAAGACTTAAAATTTGTTGAATTTGATATTTTTACACCGTAATTATTTTTACATTTTATCATATATTAAGCCTTGGCTATTAAATATTTTCTTATTTTCAAATATCTCATTGATATTCTTTATTTTTGAACATTTCTATTTTAAAGTATATTTTTAAATATTTCATATCTTTGTATCCAAGGAAATTAATGAAGAATTACTTCTTTTATTTTGTCAAAAAAATATACATTTTCTTCAATGAAAGAAATTACAATTTCTTTAAAAATTTTAATCAAATATTGCAAATTAAATGCAAGTAGGATAATTAAATAGGGTATTTAAATTTCATAAGACTAACTCAATTAATCAATGTAAATGCCTACACCAACTGCCATAGATATAGCACATACATTAGCTGAATAAGCATCCAACTTATTTAGTATGTGCGATCTAAAAGGTTTATATTTTTAACTTATTTCATAATAAATATAAACTACTGACAATAAAAGAATTCCTTTCTTCGCAACATTATCATCATAAAATGAAAGGATAATTATAAGCAACTATTTGACAATAATTTTAATTAGCTCCCAATAATATGCATCTAAATTATATTCATTATATAAATATCCCCATTTATTTCTTGTAATTTTTTGAGACAAAGTAGTTTTATTAGAATACAAAGACATAAAGAAATATAATGGTATTAATATAGATACAGAAAATAGAACTGGTATACAAAATTTGAATAGCCATTCATAGTGAGTGCTAGTGTCATATCTAAAAGAGACATTAGCTTATATCCAAAGAAAACCTGAAATATGCCTAAATGATATTAGAGATATTAATCCTCCAACCAAAAATGGTTAAACATAAATGTACATATATATGAGAGTTGTTGTTATAATATTCAAACTAAATTCACGTTTAAAGATTAATAAATCAATGCTGTATAAGGTAAAAAACAACAATATATAAATAAAAGGCATGATTATTTACCACAACATAACTGAATAATGTATTTCAAAAGGAAATATATCTTTTAAAAAACAATCAAGAGAATGAGTCATTGTTTATATAGGATTGCTAACAGCATTAACAAAGTTACCAACACTAATTAATGAAGTGAATCTAAAAGTAAATACGCCTGAAACTATTTAGAGATGATTAGTGATCATTTTAATTAAAATACCAAAATTAGAGTGAAATTAAACTCTAGAAGGTATTAATCTTGATATTATTCGTTTAAGCATCATTTGTTCATTTAACGATTTATTACTCCTAACTGTAATTAATATTGATATTAAAGTCCTAAAGATAATTAAAATATATACCATAAACTAATACCTGCAATTACAACAGCGTTTTTACTTTTATCAATACAGGAACCACAAGAGTATTTATCGCTTGTTGAAAAATGTCCAAGACCTCTAGTGTTGTGTAAATCACATTCTTCACATAATGCTCCAATATGACCTTAAAAACATGATGTATCCCCTTCATTCCACCCACCATTACAATTAACCAGTAAATTGATACATTAGCTTATTTAAACTGTATCAAAGTAGGGTCTCCAAAACCCTGGCTTTAACTTTAATTAAGCTGATTTAATTTCACTTGTGGTAAAATCATCTTTTTTAGAGCAACTATTTGAATTCAAAACTAAGGTATATAGACCTTATGTAGCATTACAAGGAACACAAGTATTATCATTAAAACTTTTTATTTCTCCTACTTAACAAGGCAATGAATTTATATTCATTCTTAAATAATAATTATTGTGATATCCAATAATTTCTCCTTATTTTCCATAAATAGGAGTGAAAATGGAATTACAATAAAATTATACTTCTAAAGTCCTATTTAATTAATTATCTAAATAAAAGATAATATCATCAAAATTATAATCCGATTTATTGAATTTAACTTAATTAAAACTTGTATAATTTTTTGAGAAATCTGATTCTTCATTTCCCTAAAGTAACCTTCCGCTTATTGTGCAAATTGTATTTTCTAAATTCTCTTAAACATTATTGAAAGAATCTAAAGGTATTAGTCTGAGATGCAAACTATATGCTATATACTCTTTATTCTTCAAATCAAAGTGTTAATATTTAGACAAACTTTAACCATTTGGAACATAGAGGGCGCTTGAATAATTCTTAAAAAATAAAGAATATTTTTCGACTTAGATTTATTCTACAAGAATATCATCTTACTCTATAATTTTAACTTTAGGGAAAATATGTTATAAATCAATTGAAACTGATAACTATGTAGGTTTTTAAGCAAAATTTTGACCATATTGAGTTGCAACATTTTCATTAATTATTGTTTATTGACTAACTAGATTTTAATTAATCTAATCTTTTAGAAACACACCACCACCAAATTTAGCTTTATTAAATTAAATTATAGAGTTCAATATAAAAAAATTTGCTTAACCATTTACATACATAGACCCACCTTATTCTACAGCTGTATTATTATAAAATATAGAGTTTTCAATTAAAGTTGAAACATCTTAAATGAACAGGCATGTATTATAATTTCTAATCGCTATAATTTAAGATTTTGTAATTAAATGAATTATCAATACCTTTCTATGCAAAATTTCTCACGCATTGATATTTATGTATTTTTAATTCAAATTATTTTGAATTGATATTTTAATAGAAGGATTATAAAAGTCGAGAAATTAAAACTGATTTATATAGATTTATGCAACTTTAATATCCACAATCATTATCATTTAAAGCAATTTAATTTATTACTATTACACTTTTATCATCATAAATGTTTATATTTAACAATCCTTTTTAACAAATTTTACAATTTATATGAGTTAATTGAAATTATGAAATCTGAACCTATGTTTAAGAAGGATTTATATTAAGAAGACTTGATATTTCATAATTTTATAGTTTATTTATTTATTCAATAACGCAATAGGCATTTGATAAATTAGTTTCAATTTTCTTATATTTTAAAAGAATAGGAGATTCCTTTAAGAGTTTATCAATTGAGCAAATTGATTGTTATTTCTCAAATTCAAATTACCTCAAAATACATTTATGTATAACATTTATTTAATTTGAAACCTCCACATTTTTGACTTAAAAATTAATAACCCTTATTTAAGAATCTTTTTTATTTAAATTTAAAGTAATCATTGAATTTATAAAGGTTGAGTTCGAAATACTAGTGTTAAAAATTTCTATATTTTTAATCTATGATATGTTAATAAAAGCTTCATAATTTAATAATATAATAAAAATGTTACTTAAACTTATATAATTTGCATATGCTATTTGAATTAAACTTCTTTAAAATTACTATTATGATACTAATTAACTGTCTGTGAGACTAAGTTTATCTAGATAATTTAAGTATCCTTAGATTGTGTTTTTAATCTCCAAATGATCAAACATAATTTATTATTATAATTTTTTGTATACTGAAAATTCAATATAAATAATTGATCCTTATAATGAGAATATATCATTTAAAACTAAATCTTAAAATTTAATAATAGTGTTCTATAAGCCATTTTGAATATAAATTAATCCTCCTCTATTTCTACAAAACACATTTTTGGCAATTACATTTTTTATTTAAATCTAAACTGAAGTTGCTACAGAAGTATCAAATAAAAAAGCTCCACCATTTTCATCATCATTAATAAATTAAGTGCTAATATTACTTATTATTGTGTCTTAGATATTTACTTAGGCCTCTTTTTCTAAATAAATCTATAATCCTGAACCTGCAGAATTAGAAATCGTAACATTTTTTATAATTATTTCTTGACAAATTATCTTTCCATTTCCTGTTAAAACTATAATAGGAAAAATTTCTAATATTTATTCGACGAAAATTTCCTTATTATCTTCATAACCCCAATATAAATAAGGTTGTAAAATTGAATAATCAAATAAGTTGTTTTTTGTGAAATTAGAATTTTAAATTGTTAAATTTTATGCTTAGATATACAGAATACTATTTGGACTATTAGTAACTATATTTTTTTGGATACTTAAATTACTTAAAAGTATTGTACAATATTAGCAATCAATATTAAATAGTAATCCTGTGTTGATTTAATCTAATTAAATATATTGATGCATAATATTCTTTTCAAATTTTGAATTTATAATGTCAATTAAATAATCTCCTTCAGATTAAATCAATATTATTGATGCTAATTTAATTTTATTTGTTATCAAGATCACATTTGAAGTAAATTCTAGTTCTGATAATTCGATTTGATATTTTGTTTAAGTTTTTAAAATAGAAGTCTTTATTTAAATGAGTGGATAATTTATTGATTGAGTCTTTTCAATCACTAATTAAGTTATTTTAATTTTAGGCACATCATAAATGCTAATTAAAAGATAATAGTATTAATTAATTGTAGCCTATTTAAAGCAATCATATTATTCATAAATTCCTTTAAAGCCACGTTACAAAATAAAAATTTTATTCAATGTAACCTAATTAGAATCTGTAATAACCATCTCTGAGATCCCATTATTTTTTTAAATAGTTAAATCTTCAATTTTTATTAAACTTGCTGATAAAAAGACTAAAGTTGCTTCTAATATATCAAAGAAAGATTCTTAAGATTTTTATGATAAATTATTTCCACTTATTTTAACATTAATAAATTCTATTTCTTGATTAGGTTTTATAAGTTAAGTAATTTTGATAAATCTATCTTATTCGGTATAAGTGTTTAATCCAAATTCAATGTTATCAAGCAAAATATAGGAAATATCTGTTTTCTAATTAATTAAGAAATAAGAACTTTGATAAAGCCGATTCTCTTGAAAATTTAAATTAAACAAATGTGTATATCTATTTAACTCAATTAATATTGAATTTACTAAATCACAATAAAAAAATTCCAAATTTTTTAATTCAAAGTATTTTAGTTTATAAATCGAAAAGAAAGCTCTTGTATAGTATAGCAAAGAATCAGTGATTCTCATTTAATTTATATATAATTCTCCAAGAGTTTGATTTATAAATGGTTGATTGAAAATTGTAGTTTCAATATTTATATTATCCATATATACTAAATCATTAATTTTAAGATCAAACCAAAACAAATATGTATTTTAAAAATCACCCCAAATAATATTGAAATTTTCAATTCTAACTGTTTACTTTTTAGATATTTATTCAATCTTAATAAAATATTCTAGAAAATATCTTCTTTCAACTCCTTCTGCAACAAAGTTTGAAATAAAGACTTTTTGGGCATTTTACATAAGAATATAAAAAGTAATTTCGGATTAACGCTAATGATAAATAATGTCCATTAATTCAATAGTTTAATCGAAAACGCTTTTAAACCAAAGTAAACTTAAACCAAATTCAAAAAATTCAATTTCAATGTTAAATCCTTATATATGAACTCTTTTGAAATTAAGAATAGTAAATTATTTTTTATATTTAATAGAAGTAATTCCATTTCCGTAAAGTTCAAGTTGTACATCTCTAATTTTATATAAAAAGATAGACATACATGGCTGAGAAAATATTTTAACTAAATTTTTAAGTAATCTGTTATTAATCAATAACATTGCATAGTTATTCTTAATGACTAACAATTATTATAATGATTTATTTAATGGCTTTCTGATTGGCTAATTGATAAAACTAATCGGTTTCAAACTAAATTAATAATTATAATATTTACTTCAGGAAAGCTTGAAATAGAGAACAAATTATCATTTAAAATAGTGCTTTATTAAAATTCTTTTCGTTTCTCTTCGTTTTCAAATGAGTTTAATTTTTCATAGTATTAATAACTATCACAAATTAACTCTAAATTTATAACAATTGATTTTAAGCATGGTCCAGATTCACAATCTATATAAATACCCAATTCCGAATCAAAAGTGCCTTTTTCTGAGGATAAACAGTAATATGAAAAGTTAGAAAATTTTTAATTGTTGAATATTGGATTTATAGAAAGTACATCTACTTCATCTCTTTTATAACATGATTCACAATGTTGTGGACAAGTAATACATTAATTATCAATTAAACTTTTACTTCTAACTTTTACTCCTAATGGACATTTAACACAGATGTTTTTATTATTTTATAGTTTACATTCTAAACAAGATGGAGGACACACTTCAATACATTACTATTCATGTAATTCATATCCTTCTTAGCATATAGTACAAAGTATTTCATAATCTAATTAATTTTAACTTATCCCATATTCAATAAATTTATGTTACGAATATTCTTTATCTATTGAGGATCTATAAAAAGCACGAATTTCATTTTTCCAATCATCCTAAGAATATTTATTTTATTCAAAACAACTCAAGCAGTTTAAGTTTGAAGGACATTATATACATTATCCTGTTAGTTTTTAAGCATAATAACCATTTTAACAAAGAAGACAAGAATAAGAAACTTTTAATGGAACTTTTTAATTATCAACAATTTTTGTTGTTAATTATTCCATAACGCATTATCGACAATTTTATTTGAATTTGGGACATTCATCAGAGAATGAGTATAATAATGAGTTTGAAACATAAGGACCATATAAACATACATTTTCTAAGAGATCTACAACTTTTTCTACATAAAATTAATGACAGTTTTGTAATTCACCTTTAAAACAGGCAGATTTTAATTGGTTAAAATAATAACCATCTCTACACTTAGCGCATTCGATTATTGTTGTCTAATATGAATAATAAGGTTCAAATTCATAGTCTAATGAAATTGCTTTTGAAGATTTTTCAAATGCAATTAAGCAATTTTCAATATCATTAATTCTACAATCTTCAGCATTTAAGGTTAAATAATATGTATAATCATCTAAACAACTCAAACATCTCAAGATTTTATATTTTTCTGAAAATTTGCAAATTTTACAAAAATTACCACATTTTTAGCATTAATCATAAATTAAGCCAAATCCTGGATCGCATTATAAGCAATGATCTTAGTTAAGACATTTCTAACAAAATTTTGAACATTAAATACAAGATTTCTCATCTTTAGATAAATAATATCCACTTTAACATTCTGTGCAATATTAATATATTTAATCTACTTTTATACATGCTTTGTGTAATTCAATACACTTTAAATCAGAATAATAATAATTTTGCTTACAAAATCCAAATGCTTATTCTTTTAAATGTTAAACTTCTAATTAAAAACAATTTTGAAGATATATATCTTTTATGTCACAATATTCTTAAACTCCTTCCAATAAGACTAAAATTAAAATATCTTGATCAATATAATAAAAATCATAATCTTAAGTAGATCTTATTTATGAAGTATAAGCATCATCTTTTTAAGAGATCTATTAACTAATTAAATCCTTTTTACAAACTGGTTTTTTGTACCAAGAGTTAGAATTGAATAAACAATCTATACATAATAGATTATAAGAATTTGATTGAGGACTAAATTGATTTAATATATTACCATTTTATGCATAGTCCAGGATCTGGTAAATTAAAATATCCAAAGGAACATTCTTAATTTTCAAAATTCTACTCTATTTCATTATATAGCATTGTTTAATATAAATCTTAAAAAGATAAACATTTATTATCTTTATATATATGATATATTGGACATGAACATTAATGTTATTCTTCCAGATATATATATATATTTTGTGGATTTTCATAACAAGATAAGCAATTATTCTCTAATGGACCAAAACAAGTTTTACAGCTTTAATGACAAGCTATGTATAATTGATTAAATACAATAATCTATGTTTTAATCTTCTTGATAATTTGAGATAAATTAAAAGCCTGCTAGTTATCCTTTTAGTTTATCAAAAAGAAAATAATCACCTCCAAATATAGCATAGTATTTAGTATTAATAAATAAACTATGATATTGGGAGTCTCCTAATGGATAAGTATGTCTTTTTAAAACTTTATTCTCAAAAAAATTCACTTTAAATTATGATTTTGAATCTTTTCTTTCTAATCCATATTCAAATGAAATAAAATGCCATTTTGTTAATAGTTCTTAATAAGGTAAATCTTTTCTAATAGATAATTTATCATTTAGTGGATTCTCTATATAAATTGGGTAAGGCATTCTGTAATGATGGGATATAACATCATATCCACAATTATTTTGGTCTGATAAATCTATATTCATAATTATTTTAACAATTTCATCCCCAATATTAATTTCATTTTAATAATTTTTAAATATTGTCAGTCTAACCACCAAATATTACTTTAATGAATAGGCATCTTAAGAATTATATTTTACCCAACCATATATGCTAAATTTAGTCCCAAACTATTCAAACTCATATACTTTTTAAATAAGTCCATCAAAATTAAGTACTTCTGGTATGAGATTAAATGTTTGTTAATGTTCCTTTATTCTTAACCAATATATAGTTCCATAAACTTCTTATGGCCATCGTTAATAATGCTGATACCAGATGTAGGATAATCTTCCACGAAATACACCTAACTAATATTTTCCATTTATCTAAAATATTTAAATATAAATTACAATCCCTGTCCCTCCAACAATAAATTCAATTAATTTGTTAGAATATTAGGTATAAATCAAATTCAAATTATAATTTATATTATCCATTGTTTCAAATAATAAATACTTATAATTCTTTAGAGTGATAAGGCTCATTATCCAAACTCCCTCATAATATTTAGGATCATAATTTATCTGATATGTTTCATCATTGACGATAAGATTATGAGTTATATAACTTCCTGATGAGATAACATTTGTATACATAAAGGCTAATACCTGACCTTCATTCTTCATTAAAAACAGTAATTATGTTTTTGGTTTATCAAATTATAATTTTTCTTCAACTTAAGGGTACGATATTGGTGTAAATGTTGTTATATAGAAACTCCAAAATTCAAATTAAATTTCTTTATCTATGCTGTCAATTAATGTTGTTTAAATAGGGTTTTCTTTACTAAGTAGTAACTCTTCATTGAATTATTGACTAAAAGCTAAAGAAAGCAAAATAGCTAGTGCAAGAAAAGATTTTTAAATTATTAAATCTTTATACATTATCTGGTTTGTTATTTTTAATATTAATTTTAAATTCATTAATACTATATTTCAATGTCCTAATAAATTTGTTTGATTTATGCAACTATTTATCATAAATAATAAAATTTAATTAAAAATTATAATCAAATACACATTTCCTACCTTTAATTTCTATTTATTCTAAAGATAATATATTTAGAAAGGATGCTTTTTCTTCTCTACAAACCCTTCTTTTACCTATTAAATATATATTATTATTTAGAAACATAAACATTATATAACTATTTGATGAATTTATCTAGATCAATTTCTTTTTTATAGGATTTCATAATCTATCTATTAAATTTTAACTTATTACTTAAATGTTGGGAATTACATTAAAAGAGGTGTAAAAAATTTATAATTGAATAATCACTTTGATTCAACTGTTTTTAAATCAAACATTAGCACTCTTTTAATTTGTATTTGCATAGAATAAGAATACTCATGCAAATGTATATTGGTTTAATTGTTCATACTTCTCATTTACATTTGAATTTTCATAGCAAATATCATTTTTGATGTTTTATTTTTAAATTTTTAATATTTTTATTTGAGTTTATAATTAATAACAAACAATAGCTACCACATTTTATTAGTACTTTATTTTGGGGAATACCGTAGGAATTGGTCTTTTCATTATTGTTATATAAATATTAGATACTAGATATTTTAAATATTTTAAGAAATGTAAATTTGAAAATTCTCTTATAATAGTTTCTCTTATCCATAAATTAATTGAGCTTATGCTATTAAAAAGTTATCCTTCATTTCGTAATTTGAAATCCATTTTAATGAAAAAAATTTATAAAAAGCATAAAAACCGAAATATATAAATTTTATTAAATATTTCTAAAATTATTTTATTGTTAAAAATATCAATGCGAAGCCATATAATTGAATTTTTTTTAACAGTTCTCATTTTCTTTCTTCAATAAATTTGATTTAGTCATTAGTTTGTTTTAAGATTAATAACACAACAATAAAATTTTCTTTTTTTCAGAGTTGTTAATTGAAATAATTCTAAAAATTTATTTATTCTTATCCCTTATTAAATAATTTAAAATATGTATTAATAGAGATTCCACTTTATTTTGAAATTTTAATAAAATAATACTGAATAAAATTAATGAGCTTATATAATCTAACTTGCTTTAAAATTAATATGAAAATGTGAAATGATTTTTGGCTACTTTTTCTTATATTATTTTGTAGTTTATAAAAAATTGAAAAAAATTTCTTCCATAAACTATAATTATATATAATGAAATAAAATTCATATGAGGAAGTAATAATTTTTCAATAAACAACCAACTTGATAAAAATCAAAGATTTATATTATAAACATAATATAGATTAACATTCTCACTATATTTATTTAATTTTGAACAAGAACAGTCAGTCTTGAAATCCTTTAAATTAACAAAACGTGAAGAGCTATAATATCCTAAAGCTCGTAACTCTTCCTAGATAGACTTATTTTGTAATTATTTATTTGAAATTAATACAATTTCTGTTATGGATATTATCGTTTATTTAGTTACATATGGCAAGTGATTTGTTAGATTTTAAGCCAAAAATCATGGTGTATTTGAGAGTTCACGAATCATTTAATTTTTTGGTACTAAATGATCAGACAATTTATATCAGTCATGTTTAGGAGAGGCGATAAAAAGCATAAAAGAGTTATTTAATAAAACATAAAGAAATTAAAAATTTTGTTAAGGATCGTTACAATATAAAAAGTTATTTAGAATCATAAGCTTATTATATCATCTAAGAATGCTAAAATAGGGTAAAAGCTTGTATGAGATTTAAGTAGAATTATTGGAGGATTAATAATATCTGACTACAAAATTGAGAGAATTGCTTTCTTTGAAAATTAGATTGTTTGTGAAAATCCAAATATTTGCTGTCTTTAGGTTTATTTTGAAGATAAAGTGACAAGAATTCAAGCATGAGGTAAATTGTTTCATCTTATATTGAAAATAGTCAAGAGATATAATATTAAAGTAAATTGGAAGCAATAGCCATAGAAGATATACTCACCACATAGTTTTTGGAATTAAAGTAAATCTAAATTAGACATAGGTTAATTATACTTATTTAAACTTAGTAGAAGGTTATCAAAAACCCTTTTTTAATTTATCAGAAGACTTTTTTTTGGGATTTATTCATAAACATTTGCAAGAAGGAGAGAATAATATTATTGCATCTTAAGGTGAACTTATTTATGAGAATAAATTATTGTTTATGTAATTGATACATTCTACATTATTTCTTCTTGGTAAACATAGGCAAAGCAATTTAAAAATTGCAGTAGAGTCTATAAGAAGTTAAGTTATGCATACGATCCAATGTTTGGTAGGAAATTGTTGAACTTGCAAATGTTAAGTGTTGAATCAATGGAGTTCTTTTAGAAATTTGACAAGCTTATCATTTGCAAGATGGTTTGAAATCATTTATTATAAATTTATTCAGGTGATTATAAGTCATAGGCTACAAAAATCCAAAAAAAATGATTCCATATATTTAGTAGCAGAGATATTTTTTATTTTAATTTGATCTATAAAAGTAGATAATATATTTTATCTACATCTTTAATGAATATTTAATATATTATTAGAAATCTAAGAAATTTATACTTTTCATTTCCTTAATCAGGAATTTTATTAAAATATATTTAGTTTTATTATGTTAAATTATATATAATATATGATTCTGAGTGCATATATTAATCATCTCATTCTCTTTTAAGGATAAAGGATAAATTAAACTTTTTACCTCCTGTTACATTACTAAAAATGCCAATGATCTAGCTTTTAAAAATAAAATTTTATGTTTAAATATAATATTTTATATATAATTTCTAAATATTATTCGATGATATCAATCAGCATAAGTATTAATCTAACAAAAAATTTTGCTAGTATCAAAATTTTACATATTTCAGTTTGCATCTCTATTTCATCGATACATTTTCATGAATGAGATTTAATTAATAATTTTTGAGAATAAGATACTTCTAATACTTAATAAATATAATTAATTAAGATGAATAATTTCAGATGATACTATGCCTAATTTGAATAAACCTAAGCTTAAATTGATTCTGTAATATTATTATTATTCTTATTAAATATGTTGCATTGAATTTCGATAATCATCAATTACATTATTAAACGATATCAAATATCTATTCATATAAAAATGAAAGTATTATCAATATATTCCAATAATTATGGATAAAGAGAAATGAATTGATTTTGATTTTATTTTATTTTATATATTTTTCAAATAGAAAAAAATTGATATTTCAACATAACCCAGAAGAAATCTGTCACAAAAAGAAATAAACTACTTTTTACAATAAAATTAAAAAAAATGTGAAATAAAAATAGAGAGGCCTGTTTATAAGCTTAAAATATTTTTGTAGGAAAAAATTAATTAATATGCAAACAACAATTTGAGAAATTTTCCTTTGATGATAAAAATATGTATTGTTGTAAAAGAATTAGATGAGGTCAATTAAGGCAAATTTCCTTAATTTCCAATAAAATAATTATCCTACTTATTTTTATTATAAATTAAAGTGCTTTTGTTACAACTTACTTAATTTGATATGGATAGTCAAAATATCTTATTAAATTTTCTCACTCAATCTTGAAGAAATTTATTGCATTATTGTCTTATGTATCAATCATAAATCAATGTTGATAATTGTATAATTAAATGAGAGATTTTCTTTGAATTTTTCAATTAAGATTCATTGAGTGCTTTGTAAATAGAACTTATGATAAAATGATAAAATTAAATTCTATACAGCAGAAAGATATGTTCTGTATCATAATTCTGTTTTCATTATAAATTTGATAAGTAATTTTATTAAACTTTTCTTCTGATATATTCACATAGCCTTCCATAAAGATGCAACCTTTTTTAATTTTTGTATCTGACATCTTCTTTATGCTTTCAATTTATATCAACATTTCCATCTTTAATATTCTCATGTTAATGTAATATATTGTCTTGTTAGTTTTAATTGTTATTCTTTACGTTTTTTTATAATTTTTTTTGACTATCCTAATTAATAATTTAAAAAAAAAAATTTAATGCTTTCTAGTTTATCAATATATAGAACAAATGAATTTAGTTCAATTCTTAAATCTGATAAAGACTAAGGTGTGGATAAATTTTAGAATAATTAATTAATATCTAGTGATTAAATTAATAATTATCAAATCTAATTTTTCCACTTATTCAAAGGTTATATGATAGATTGGGAATAGATTTGAATTTAAAATTTTACTTTAAGAATCACAATCATATGTTTGAGTAATAAAAATGTAAAATTTGATTGATAGAAAATTTTTAAACTAAATCAACTCAAATATTAACCTTATCCCCCCCACCCTATCAAAATACCTAAAATAATAAGTTGTATTAAATTACTTTATTCAGTTGGAAATTATATTATAATTTATTATAAATTGCTCAAATTATTTTATACAATTTTCAATTTGATCTTAATAATTCTGCACTCTATAATTAACATATTCTGATAATCCATTTGAATTAATAAATTCACCAGCCTATATAAAAAATTGAAAATTAAATTGCCGATTGTATTCTTTTTTGAAATTTGTCATTTTTAGGATTCATCAAAAGAATTCACTTTAAATCTCATATCTTTAGACAATAAAGAGTTTAGATTATTATTATTAATAATACTGGTATTAATATATTTGAATTTACTTTTTGTGCTAATTAGCAATAAAATTTTACTTTTGAGAAAATAAATAGGAAAATCAAAGAATCAATTGATTATTATTTCGAAGTATATTAAAGTATTTATAAATAATTAATTAGAAATATATACTTTAGCCATAAGGAATTTAATAATTATCATAATTAAAGTAGTTAATTTAATAAATATTATAATTAAAGTAGTTCAAATATTAAAAAAAGTAGTAATTAATTAATTGAGTAAAATCTACTTTTAGATTGGTATAAAGAGACTCACATTTTTAGTATAATTATCGGATTTTATTATTTTTATAATTTTTTGATATGAAATATTTTTATATACATTTTCATCGATCATTTCTTCAATTATTTAAATCTTCCAATACGTAAATGGTCAGCAGTAGCAAATAATAAATAAATAATATATATATATGAAAATGGGAAATAGTATCAAACAATAATATAAAGAAATAAATATTTAAAATTATATATATAAATGGTGATCAGTAAGGAAAATTGTTTTTACCATATGTGCCCCAAGTCACTCTTTATTTATGATTTACAATAAAGTTATTAATGTAATTTTATTATTTGATCTTTTCTACTAGCAATTACAATTTAATAATAATAAATTAAAATCTAATATTTTAATTTTATAATTATGATTCTATTTCAACTCTAACTTTGGATGTAAAAGAAGATTCCTGCCCCTATTACACAACAAAGTGCAATAAATACTATCCCTTACTTTGGATTATAAAATAACTAAGCCAAACCCATAATTAATAGTGAGAATGGAATTGAAATAATCAAACTGACTAAAAAGAAAATAAATCCTGAAAAAGAAGCTAAAAAGAATCCAACTAATGGAAACAATGAAATCAACCACCAGATTGGAGAGAATATCATACAAAACCCTAAACCCTATTTTTAAGTTAAATTCATTACCATCAATAAATTTCCAATAATTCTAAAAATCATAGTTATATATTCAAGTTCTTAAACACAACTCTAAAAAACTTAATCCTTTGTCAAAATTGATTCAAAAATCCAATTTATTTCTGTAAAATCAACTGCTTTACAGTATTTGCAGCAAACACAACAGAAATTAAGACATGATATTTATACATTTTCTAAATTTTGTTGTCCAGCCAAAGTCTATTCAAAATTATCATGAATAATAAAAGGTGTAAATGAATCATTATTTTATTGAGAAACTATAGTTGTAGGACCTGTTCTGGCAGCATTAAATGAGACTCTCAAATCGTTCAGGGTGACAGCTCCTTTATTTTATTAGAAATATATGTATTCTCCGTTTGCTTCACTAAAATATGAATATTTTTTTATACAAATTCTAAAATCCTTTTTGCTATCCAAAGTAATTAGCAACAGCTTATTAATTATTCATAAACATTATAAGACTTTCTTTAGCTTCTGTTTATTCTGCCAAAGACTTACTAATTAAATAAGCTCCTAAGCGAACATTCAAATTAGTTTATGTCTCTTCTTCCACAATCCATTTAGACTAATCATTAGAGTGCTCGTCTGTACATTCTGAATGAAAAAAGGAACTCCATTCTTAAACATAATAAATAGTTCTTCCTGATCTTTTATTTGATCTTGATTTTTGTACCCATTAGTACATTTCCACTTTTCTAACTAATTTAATACAATCTTTCATTTATAAACCAAAAGCAGCATCAACTATTTGATCATTAGTTTTGCTTTCACCTAATAATTTAATATAGTTTAAAAAGTACCATTTATGTGAATCAATTAATTATTAGTATTAGGATTCACTTCTGCTGAGTTGATTGAAATACATAATTTCTTTGTTTATTCTAATCTAAACCAAGTAATTGAATATCTATTATTGTTATGTCATAAATAAATACCTTCTCTCATTGTACCATAACGTAATAAATGCCCAAAAAATAACTAAGAATCCAAATATAAAAGCTACGTATGGGATCTCTTCCTAATGAGTTGAACGAAAATGCTTATTTTGGTATTCTAACTGTTTATATAAAAATACTTTATATATGCTCTCTCAAATGATTGATTGCATTACATGAGGAGATTAGTAATGAAAAAGTTGCAAAGGCAAAAAAGCTATGATATTATTGATAATATCTTATCATTATTTAAATTTATTAATAATAATTGCATTTAGATTATTTCTGTATTTGTATTGCTATAATATTTAATATTACTTTTATATATTATTTTCTTAATTCCATTTAAGTAAAAAAAATTTATTTTTAAATCTTATTATTTGTACCAAAAAAGAATGAAGAAATTTTTTAGTAAATATATATGTAAATAAAATAAACTTTCATTAATAGCTGTTTAAATTAAGTAAAATAAGTACTTAATCAAATATATTCATATATCAACTCATGATTAATTTTTAAATAAGAAATATCCTATTTGTGAGTTGGAGAATTGAAATTCATTCTTTTGTATTAATTTTCAGCAGAATTAGAGTCTAATGTAAGCTATTAATATAACTTATTCTCATTCTATTTAATCGATATATTCAAAGAAATAACAAAAGAATAAAAATAAAATATTTTAATTAGATAAAGGTACAAATGGTATTTTTCATAAAAAATAATTATAAATTATTTTTTAAACTGAATCATTGATATTCAGAGTTTCATTCACATAAAAATATGTGCTGATTAATGGCGAGACCTTCTTGTTTTCTAAAACTTTATAATATTCAAGTCCAACTGTTACAATGGTATTTGTTGCCTAGAAGGGAGCTTGGGGTATTTTCGATTTTGAGTTACTAATTGAGAAATGACTTTCAGAATGTTATTTTTGTAATAATAAATCATGTTATGACTACAAATTAACAATTGCCTGTTACGAAAAATTCAGAGGATGGTCATTTAATAACTTAATCTCAATATTTGGAGCATAATATTTTAGATTTTTTCTTTCATTATGTTTCTGGCAGTCATTTAATAAAGAAATTCAATTAGATGATATACAAACTTACAGAAATTAATATAAAAATTGATGACAATGTGGCACGGGACAATTAATCGTTTACTTAAATTTAATTTTAATATTTTCACTATATAGTTTGAATATATTTCTTAATATTTGACCTTTAATATTAATTATATGTTCAACTCTACATAATGAAGGATGGATAATATTTTCTTCTGAATTATATTAACATGTAATTATTTAAGTCCATCAGTTAAGATCACTGTCTAATGTAATTATAATGAATAATTGATTGGAATTAGAGATTTTCTAATATTTATAAATTCAAATAACAATAAGAAGGAGATATGTATGGATGACAATATAAATCCTTTTGATGGCTGTTTTGCCTAGATATTGTAATAAAATAAAAGCTGTTAAACAGAACGTTAGCCTTTTAGTTGTATTTCATGTATTCTTTGTTTGGAAGAAAGATTATTGAGAGATAATAAATGATATTAATAATGTGGAGATGGAAAGGTAGCTCTATCTTCAATAGAATAATTTGATGATGTTAATCAAATAGAAAATGATGGATTTATTTATAATATGAATTTATTCCTAATTGTTTTATTTTTAATGATTATGTCTAACTTGAAAATAATTTATGTCAGCCAATATGTGGTGATGGTATGATTATTAATGGATTTGAGATTGTGATGATGGAAACAATGATCCATTAGATGGATGCTATTAATGTAAATTCTATTATTCAAATGGTTGCATTATATGTCTAAAAGAGAACTATTGTAGTTAATGTGATAATCTTAGAATATTAGAGAATAAAACTATGCAATGCAATAAACTTAAACTAAAAGAGCAAGATTTAAATGAAGAAATTATAATATTAAGTGATATAAGCCATTAAAATCAATTATCAGATCTTATTCATTTATGTGGGGATGGAAAAGGAAAAAAATGTTAACTTATACATTCCACATATTTTTAATTGAGTCTTAAATGGCTTCAACAAATGAACTCTATACATTTTCATTCTTGATAATAATTGAATTTGGCTCAAGTAGTTTTCTCCTCTTACTTTTTGGTGATATTGGATCTTTAACAGAAATATTAGATATTCTTCAATATTAGTCTTATTTGAAATATTAGAGGAAACTTATATCAAGCTGCAAATTTAAATTTAACTGATAATGTTCAGATTTACTTTGAATCATCTTGTTTAAATCTATAACTATACCTCATATTTTAAATACTTTATAATAACTCCATTTTTTGATAAATTAATTGGTGAGAATCATATCAAAAGTGTTTTTAAACTTTTGAATATAATTTAAATGCAGATTTATTAATTAATATTTATTTATTTCGTCCTTACTTATTTATTTATTTAAGCAAATTTATTTATAATCGTTTTACGGAATCAGAGATATTCTTTTTGGGTATTCAATTATTTAGTTTCAAAAAAGAAAGAAGAAGTAAGGACCATGGATCATTATTTCTAATATAATTGTTTGGTTAATTTCTGTGAAAATTCTAATAGAATTAAAAATATAAATATTTTTTTAGAATCTAGAATATAAAATTTGATCTTCTAGCAAATATAATAATTGTTAATAATCTAATCAGTTTTAGAGAGGATCTCGTTAGCGCTTACAAATCAACATTTATTAGCGTTAATAATAAAATTTAAGAGCTATAATACTAGCTTACTTCACAACTTTAAACATTAAAACATTTCCGTTTGATTTCTAACCTATATTCTTGGGAGTAAAAGTGAAAAGTGATGCATCAAAAATTAAAATAATTGGTTGAAGTTCTTCAAAATGGCTTTCCTTATTAAAAATTTATTTTAAATCAAGGAGTTTATTTATAAATTGTTGAAAATTGGAGGATTGTACCAAGAAAAACTGGTCTGCACACTTTTTATAACTCTTGTTTTATATCTTTTAGGTAAAATTTTATTTCTTTATAGATATTAATTGATAGGGCTATTCTATCCTTAAAATAATTCTTCAAAGTATCAATCAGTTTATCAAAGCAATTATAAGTATTGTAATAAAAAATTCAAATGAGTTTTTTTTCGGTTCATAAATAAAAACCAATAACATTAATTTGCCTTATTAAATATCAAAGAAAACTATGTATTTAATGCTAATCTCAATATCAGATGCAATTCAAACATTTTCTTTAAATTGATGAGTACAAGAATTCACTGAAAATTGAAAACATTGATTAATCTAAATTAGTATAATTAATAACCAGTTTTACATCATTGCTTTTTTAAACTTTTGAATATAATTTAAATGCAGATTTATTAATTAATATTTATTTATTTCGTCCTTACTTATTTATTTATTTAAGCAAATTTATTTATAATCGTTTTACGGAATCAGAGATATTCTTTTTGGGTATTCAATTATTTAGTTTCAAAAAAGAAAGAAGAAGTAAGGACCATGGATCATTATTTCTAATACCTAGTGGTTCTGGTTCATATTTAGAGTAAAAATTAAATTTCATGAAGAATGGGGAGGTGGATTAAGTTGAGCTAGGGATTTTTTTCTCATTCTTAAGTCATTTATAATTTGAGAATATAGTAAGAAAGGTAATCAAAATGGTAGGTATGACATCCATTACAAAGAAAACAAAATGTAAATTAGTTAAATAAGATTAACAATTTTGTATATGGATTATATGATTATATTATATAGAGAGGATAAGAATTTTTTTTTAAATGTTAAAGTATTTTTAGTAGTGGGGGATAATACAATGAGAATGAATGATATTTAAAAAATTGGAAAGTGGATTGTATTGCGGGGAAAATATGCATATTCAAGTGAAATCCTTAGAATGGTGAGAATACTATTGTTAAAAAAGTAGGTATTTGAGTACTATAGTTAAATAATGTAGCTATAAATTAATTAAACTTATCGGTGAAGGATCGAGAAAGATTATGATAAGGATTGAGTAGTGGTTTGATTTGAAAAGATTCATGAGTTATTTATTAAGGAAATTATAATTATAATGGTAAAAAATGGGTTATTGGGATATAATGTTTAAGGAAAGTGAAGAGTTTAAAATAATGCAAATTAAATCTTAATTATTTTAAAGGAAAAGTATAATATGGTGAATAAGATGGATATACAAAAAAGATTGGGAAATGCTTTGTGTTATGCTAGAATTTTGGAAAGGGATATTAATTATCTTAAAAATTTTTTGTTGGTGAAGATAATTAAAAAGGTAAAAGAGTCAAGAGATAGGTGAAAATGGATTTTTGGAGTAATGCGATTGGGTAAGAAATGATTTATGAAAATTGAATAAATTAATAGAATCCAACTAGTATATTATTGGAATGTATACATGAGATCATTTATAGATTAAAAAATGTTTACTGTTCATGGTGAATTTTATTAATCAATCAGATTAAAGTTCAAATTAGTATTGAAATTTTAGTGATTAGAATGGCATTAATATTTTTTGCACAAAAATAATTTTATTTAAATAAAGTACATTAAGTAACAATAAAAAAGAGATGCAAATTTATAATTAGACTTAGTTAATTTAAAATTGATTTATTACGATAAGACAAACTCTCATTTGTCAGCAATAAAGTAAGATTATAAATTTTAATTTGTATGCCAAAAAATAAGTCATAGTTATGATTCATAAGAAATATCTTTATAGATAATTGAGGGACGTTGAAATACAATTCATCAATATTAATCAAATATTAGTGAAAGAAAATGTAAATAACTTTTATAATCGAAAATTTAGAGAAAGGAGAATTACCAAAAATGTATTTGAACCAAACTATTGAATTTTGAAAAATAAAGAAAGCAAATGTAAAAACTAATTTAAAGCATGGAATAAAGCCTTGAAGTATCATAAATCAAATAAAAAAAATGCACTTTTAAAAATAATAATTAATTATTCTTAATGGATATAGAGCTTTATTTAAAAACATTAAATATAATATGAGTTTAATTTTAGAATGCAGTTTATGAAATTATACATGCAAGCAATTAATGAGATTAATTTTTTTAAATTATTTTAATTTATTAATGAATCATTTATAGAAAAGAGAGACTATATTTAATTTTCTATTGACAAATAACTTTTCAAATTTAAGGAAAGAAGACTTAATTATTATCTGAAATAAGAAATTTAATTATCTCAAATATCTAAAAATTCTACTTTTAATATATTCTACACTGTCACAATCTAATTTCTTAATGTTTAAACAATAGATATACTATTGCTGGTTAAGGTTATTTGTAATTCTTTGTTATTTGCTTAAGCTTAATATTTAGCATAAATATTTATTGAATTGATTGATCCATGACAAAAATGATTTAAGTTATAAATCTTATTACTTCCACTACAAGTATTACATTTATTTATCTCACTATGAACCTTTTTATTATTTGATGGACATTTATAATAAATTTGAATATTTATTATTTAAATTAATCCTCCAAAAACAACAGTTTCTGATCCAATTGAATTATAAAGTTTATTGATTTCTAAAATTTTCATTTAAAAAGCTGGTTTTTAATCTGCTGTCATATCAAACAATTTGCTTATTCTTGCGGTGAAACATTCCATTGCCAATAAAATCGACCCTTCACCATATTTTAGAAAATATGGCTGGATTTTATTCATTGGATAAGTATTTGTACTCCCTAAATTAATTTATAAGTATTTACATGATTAAGTGGCATAGCTGATCTAAGTTGAAGTAGAACTGAGAGTAATTCGATATCTTATATTCAAAAGAGAAGTTGTAAACTACATATAAGCAATCACAAAGTAATTATTTGCCAATTTATCGAATTATTAACTATTGTAATCAATTGAAGATGAAGTTTAATCTAATAAAGTTAGAAACTCTTCAGTTCCTAATATTATTTGATAACTCACGGAAATTAGATTTTAACAATCACTATTCATACCAACTGTAACATAATTAGATGTTATTTCAGTTATCTACAATATAATAATACTTTACAGAAAGATCTATATTAAATGCTCCACTATAAGAAAACGAAAAAAAAGAAATAACTCCTTTTTTTAAGATTCGGGTTTTGAATTGGATATTATTTTGAAGTAAAAGGAATTTATTTATTCACTGTAATTACCTGTAAACGATGATCATCTATGGCAAACCATTAAATTCGATAAGAATTGACCTTATTATAAGGGCATTTTATTTTTAATGTAAAGTCTAATACTATTATTATTTACCTGTCTAAGTTACACTAAGTAATTCTATGTCCACCTCAGTTTGGCCAGAAAAATTATAATCTAATGTTGTAAAATAAAAGATTATCTAGGGAGCAGTTTAAAAAGTATTTGTAAAAGGAATTACATTCGTTTTTGTATATCCATTTTCACAGTTAAATCCTGATTCTGTATAAGAAAATTAAGTAAAAGCCTATGAATCATATGTAATTGTTTCTTTAGAAATCTGGATTAATATTACAAATAATAGCATTTGTTATTTATTAAATAATTGAATTTTATTTGTAACTAAATAAAAATAACACTTCATATAATATTGATTTTAATAAAATTTGTTTATTTATTAAGTTCTAGATTAAACTTCTATTTAAGGTTGCAAGTTTAAACAGCATTATTAATACTAAAGATATTTCTAAAATTGTAAATATATATATAAGAAGTCATGAATAGCAAATTTATAAATGGAAAAATATAAAGTAAAATGATACTTAAATAAAAAAGAAGATTAGTTAAATTAGTAATAATTGTAATTTCATTGCCAGAAAAGCACTTCTAAAAGCCTCCAAAATTTTTACTTGGAGATTAACAGTTTTTTAGGTGAACTATTTAATGGCTTCAAAATTTCATTAATATCTTTTTGCCTTGCTTAGAAATTCAAAGATTCTACTAAATAAAAAGTTTGAGAAATATTTCTCATTTTTTTTTTAAATGGTCTTGTTTTCACCCCTTTATATTAATTAAATGTCATAATTACTACGAATTTTGATAACTTCTACTTGACTGATACATTTTTATTTGATTTAAAATAAATTATAATGAAAATGATTTTAAAAAATATTTATTATTGAATACAAATACAATCTAATTATATATTAAATAAATAAAATGAATCAACTGATGCATACAAATAAAATGAATTAACTATTGGAAGAGAAACAAGATATACAGATAAGTAATACATTTCATTCAATTATTGTTAATATTATTGTAGATATGATAACTAATAAATTAAAAATGCAATTAAGAATTGATCCAAAAATTCCCTTTAATGCCTTTATATAGAATATAATGGGCTACATAATTTAAGATAGATTAATATATTTGTATGAATAGAAATTTTAATATGTTTTGGAAAATAGTGTAAATATATCACAAAATGAGTCTTCTTCATTAATTAAATTAGGGTTCACAAATAATTGTGAATTATACATAAGCTTTTTAATTGGAACACCATTTAACATACCAATATTAGTTAATGTGGATTTGCAATTCGAAAAAATTTAATTTTATTTAATATAATCTTTTATAGCTCCTATTTCTTGCATATTCCATGATATACTAAATGAAATCTATAACAGAAAGAAATTTTAGACAATTGCTTACTTTAAGTTTTTTATTGGAGGTAGAGAAATAGATCCCTTTAATCCACAGAGATTAGATAACTATTCTTTAGAATAAGAAATCAATTTGAAAATTATTCCACGTAATAAGAAACCTACTTAATAGGAAATTGATAAAATTAATTGTCTATTTACAAACAAACGATACGAAAATTCTTAAATTATTATTAATTAATTAGAAAGAGACACTTAGGAATATTTCAAAGTTTATTTAACTAATACTCAATAGCTAATTTAATTCTATAAATTCAAACCTATTTCACATTTACAAAATATGTTACATGAAATAGTTTTGGAAAAAGATTATGGAATTTTACGGGAAAATAATTTAAAATGGTATATCAATGGTGAACAAATATATAATATTGATAATATTTATTCTAATACAAATCTGCAGATGGATGTTAAATAGTCATAACAGTTTTAATCACTTTTTATTTATCTAACAGGCAATTTTAAGGAGAAAATTAGAATTAATCTTTACAGCCCAAATCTATATTATTATGATGAGTATCTTCCATTGGATACTCTAAAAGATAAGGATGCACTTGCTAACTATTTGATTTTAAAAATATTTGGTCCAAATCTTGTTGAAAAGGATATATCGGTATTGGATATTAGTTATGGTGGTAGTGAGATATACATTGAGTATAATTTTAAATGCAACAATTGATTATTTATATTTTCATCATTCTTTTATAAATTACATACCTTTTTAAGAAATCATAATTGGAATATACTTTATCTTGTGATAATTTTTTGATAATATATTAATACCAAAAGAATTGATTATCTATTAATCAATGATTTGAAGAATAATTAATAAAATTGCAATAATCAAAGCAAATGAGACAATAATCNCTTCATTAATTAAATTAGGGTTCACAAATAATTGTGAATTATACATAAGCTTTTTAATTGGAACACCATTTAACATACCAATATTAGTTAATGTGGATTTGCAATTCGAAAAAATTTAATTTTATTTAATATAATCTTTTATAGCTCCTATTTCTTGCATATTCCATGATATACTAAATGAAATCTATAACAGAAAGAAATTTTAGACAATTGCTTACTTTAAGTTTTTTATTGGAGGTAGAGAAATAGATCCCTTTAATCCACAGAGATTAGATAACTATTCTTTAGAATAAGAAATCAATTTGAAAATTATTCCACGTAATAAGAAACCTACTTAATAGGAAATTGATAAAATTAATTGTCTATTTACAAACAAACGATACGAAAATTCTTAAATTATTATTAATTAATTAGAAAGAGACACTTAGGAATATTTCAAAGTTTATTTAACTAATACTCAATAGCTAATTTAATTCTATAAATTCAAACCTATTTCACATTTACAAAATATGTTACATGAAATAGTTTTGGAAAAAGATTATGGAATTTTACGGGAAAATAATTTAAAATGGTATATCAATGGTGAACAAATATATAATATTGATAATATTTATTCTAATACAAATCTGCAGATGGATGTTAAATAGTCATAACAGTTTTAATCACTTTTTATTTATCTAACAGGCAATTTTAAGGAGAAAATTAGAATTAATCTTTACAGCCCAAATCTATATTATTATGATGAGTATCTTCCATTGGATACTCTAAAAGATAAGGATGCACTTGCTAACTATTTGATTTTAAAAATATTTGGTCCAAATCTTGTTGAAAAGGATATATCGGTATTGGATATTAGTTATGGTGGTAGTGAGATATACATTGAGTATAATTTTAAATGCAACAATTGATTATTTATATTTTCATCATTCTTTTATAAATTACATACCTTTTTAAGAAATCATAATTGGAATATACTTTATCTTGTGATAATTTTTTGATAATATATTAATACCAAAAGAATTGATTATCTATTAATCAATGATTTGAAGAATAATTAATAAAATTGCAATAATCAAAGCAAATGAGACAATAATCAATATAGTGTATGGATTAAAAATTTCTATATAAAGACACTTTCAAAAGTACTATTTTTTTTTTCACAACTTTTTGATCATCCCACTTGTTTAGAGAGTTAAATATTTACTTATTCAATAATCAAAGTTAAATACTAAGTAATCTATCTTATTTATACTATTAATTGATATTTAAATCATTTATTTATTATTATTGACCTATCAAAAGATGGTTGTTAAATAATATTGTTTATTAATTTAAAAAAAATTAAAGTATAATAAAATAATGAATAATTTAATAAATATAATTTATAGAACATCAATTAAGAGATATATTTGTTATTAATAGTTAAATTATCAATAATAGAATTTTGTAAATAATTGTTATTATTTTAAATAATAATAAATATATGTACGAAAATAAGCTCAAATTTTCATTAATTATTATCTGAGTAAAATTAAAGTTTTTATTAGACTATGACTAGTCGCTCTGCTAAAGTTTATTTCTATTATAAGAGTCTTAAATTACTTGGCAAATTTCTAATTATTGTTTTTCGTACAGAATTAATTTTTCATATTCTTCTAAAAATGTAAGTTTATTCTCCAATTTTTCCATCTATAAACTTATCAAAAGATTAATATGATTATTTAATTTATCTTCTTCTCTTTTTTATAAAGTTTTTGCTCTTTCTAATGTTTCTTAATTCATTTAAATAACTCTTTTTTCTTCTTCAATAAAATTATCGTTTTCGTAGTTTTATTGTTTCACATCATCTAATTTTAGAAACTGAACTGAATCTTTTTTATTTAATCCATTAAGTAATTTTTAAAAAATTGATAAGTGGAAACTAACAAGATTTTTTTGATCACTAAAAATATTAGGCTAAATTAAATTAAAAGCTTACTTCTTCAAAAGCAATTCTATTTGAAATATCGTTAATTGATAATTTTTCTAAGCATTCTTTTGAATCAATAATTTTATCAATTTCAATTAAATACTCAATAGGATATTATAGAAAATGTAAAATCAGTTCTTCCACAGTGTGAGAAGTTGAAAATGTTTAATTTAATTATTGAGTAATTTTTTCCCAATTGGAATCAGAATTCTCTTGAATTAGTGATATAAGATAACTAACTTCTTAATCATTTAAAATTGACCTTGGTTAATCAGATAACACATGTAACTATTAAAATTTTAACTCAAGATTAGTTAATTAAAAATCATCTGAAGTATAAGTATTAGGAAAATTATTATTAGAATAACACTTAATGCATAAATCTAATTTTATTTGATTTTTTATTCTAGTATCAGCTTCTTTAATATTTTCTAACTTATCTAAATCCATGTTTTCCTTTTGAGTCTACTCTTATTCAGAATACCATTATAACCCACATTAGATTCCACAAAAAGAGCATCCAGGCCTAACTTTACAATTATCTACTACCTGTATTTCTTAGAAAATATTTTTATTGCATTAATCAAGGTAATCTCATTTTAGTTTAAATCAATTTTTTCATCTAGCTCATCTTTTGCATTTAATTATAAAGTTCTATAAAGACCCTTTGTCATTTGTTGTTATGGTAGCACTTTATTTGGACATGTATCTGGATCAACAGAATAATTTATTAAACCCCAATATTATAGAAATCCATGTATTCTTGATATTGTGCAAGCATCCCCAGCTAAGACTTTTCTGCAAGCAATTGTTGTTAAATATGTGCTGGGCTAATTTTTATAAAGGTTAACTATGAAATTTCTATATTTTTTATAAAGTTCTGGTGTTTTTGAAATATGCTGATTTGAAAAGAATTCTGGAAAATGATTTTTTTCAATTTCATGAATACTTTCCATTTAAAACCAATTAGCACAGGATGGAATTATAAGTGAATGTTTAGATAATTGTCTTTTATTTTCTTATTTTTATTATTCTTAAGGTTATATTTATGGTTATGGCGGCTATTATAATTGAGTTGTAGATTAAGAGATTTAAGATAGTTGAGGTTAGGGAAACCATTAAGTTTAAGGAGGCATTTAATTTACTTACTAAGGAGGCTGAGGGTTTGGTAGAGAATTCCAAATATGTAAAGAGGACTTATCTTACTCTTATTGAATTTAATAATTTTAAGGGGGGGGAATTGGATTAGGAGGATTAATAGGTTAAATTGGAGGAGGTATTATTGGCTTAATTTAAGGAGGAGGAGGAGGAGGTGGTTTAGAAATAATCTATTATTTTTAAGGAGGTTTTGGATGATTTATTTTTTATTGATCAAGGAATGTTTTTGGAATTTTTATTTTTGTATATATTTTATCCTCAACTTAATATCCATCTGGCACTTTTATCAATGTGATTTTTATAAGCTAATCTTATTGATTCATTTTTTCAATTAATTGTTATTTATTTATATTAAATTTTTTTTAGAAGTAAAATATTTTAATAATTATATTATAATTGAAATAATTATAATTTAGAATTGTATCTACTAATTAATTAACACAGATATTAGAATGAAATTATCAAAGAAAAGATAAAGTTTATGGGTATTTTGATTTAATTAAATAATATACAATATGATGATATTTTGAGATTATTTTATGGATATAACAATGATTTAAAACAAAAAATAAATAATTATGAATAAACAATTAGATAAAAATAGTAAAAAAAAAGAATTATGATAAATACAAATCTCTCTAATCTTAATTCTTATAATTATTTTTATTAATATTAAGATTTATGTTTCAATTTTTAAATATTATAATTAATAAAAATTAGAACTATTTTTTATTAAAATTAGTATCGTGCTTTATTTGCAGATATAAAATCCAAGATTAAGAATAAGATTAAAAATAGACTCTAAAACCTCATGACAAAATCTTCTCAAAAAATTATGAAATTTTGTTTAAAAATTAAGAGAAATATCCAAATTTGTTTTTCTATTCCTTAATTTATCATTTGTTTTTTTATTATAATTTCAATACATTTTAAATACGAGTTATAAATTTATGAATGGAGAAAAACTGAAAAATCTTTAAAATTAAAATTTTTTTATTTGGCTTTGATATGGACTTATCATTATAAACATGAGATCAAATAATTTATAAAATGGTGTTTATTAATACACAGTCATAACTGGCTATATGCTGGGTTATTTAATTTCTTATTTATATTCTTAATATAAGTAAGAGTCTTAAAAAATAGAACTGTTATGTTCAGTCAAATTAATTGGTTTATTTCATTTTAAATTATTTATCTTAAAGTTATAATTGAAGTTAAGTATACTCAAAGGATAAATATGGGTTGGTAAATATAAAGCTTGATTTATTTCAAAATTATTAAGCCATCATAGTATGAATTAGGTCAGAAACAATTTTGTTAGTTGATTTGAAGACAAGGTATTTAAAATATTTACATAGTTCTATTCTGAAGTGATATGTTTGAATGATATAAGCTAAATACTTATTTTATTTTACTGAATATTTGAAACATTCATAATTTTAAATCAAAAAATTATTTCTTGAATTCATCGAATTATATGAAACATAAGATTGTTGGCAAATTTTAATTAAATGATAATTTTCATTATTTTTGGATGTTTTTCATTTAATTTAAAGAAACTTATATCTTATTTATAAAATTTACTCTAGTTATGATAGATATTTACAGATAGCATTTAAAGCATCAAAACATTAATAAAATATTTATATGGAAGTTGAATAATAGTAATAGTCAGTTAGTGTAAGAGGTCTTAATCTTTCTAGAATATCTTAATCAAGCATATAAATGAATGATGAAGAAGATTTTTATGGAGGCCATTCTGGAAGATCGATTGAATTAAGTATAAGAGAATGCCAGGAAGTGAATGAATTTAAAAAAAAAAGTCTATAAATTGAGTTGTCCATAGTTGATTATTTGAGCTCTATGAATATTAAAATGAAAACAGATCCAAAAGCTAAATAAGATCGTTATTATTCTAACTTAAGAAATAACAACAAAAGAAGAGCTCATACAACACTTGAAATCGAAAGAGATTTTTCAGATAATACACCAGATTCAACAATCAAATCATCTTAATTATCATTAAAAGTAAATTCACTTCTAGAGAGAAGAAAGACCTAATTGAGCTTTACAAGCACAAATTAAAGTATAACAAGTTTATAAGCAATTTCATTTACAAAATTAGAGAGAAAAATTTTTTAAAAGTCAAAATAATATGAATGTGAAGAAATGGATAGCGTAATATCCAATTAGTCTCCTTATTGATATGGATATTTGATAGTGCTATTTGTTTTACTATACCTTTGTAAAAATCATATTAAATTACAAAAAATTATAATCTTATAAAATAAACTAGATTTTTTTCAAATTTAGATTCCAATATTGTTGTTCAATCTAAAATTCAAATAACGTAACTTTTATACATCTAAAATAAAACTAAAAATTTTCAATAAACATTTAAATTAAGAAAAAGAATACAAAATTAAGAATAACTTGTTATCTTCTTACAAGAATCATAAGAATCATGGATTATCCATATTTTCTTTTTTTCTTCTTTTTATAGATGTAGTTTCTAACATTTCCTTTAGCTAATTGTTAAATAATTGGATAGAATTCTAAAATCTTAGTAATATAATAAATTTGACTTATAATATAAAAACTTGATTTCCATAATTAATGTTAATTTTTTATTTGATTGGAATAGTTTAAGGGCTAATTCCTGATAATTGTAAATGGATTGATCCAGATGGTTTTCATTTTGATATAAATCATTTGAAGAGGAAAGAAAACTACAAAATAACATCTTTTAGTGGAGCAATGTCTTTTGAATTTAATTTTTGTACATATGGTGTGTAATGCAATCACAGGGAGGTAATGAAGGTTTAGTAATAAGGGTTGCTGCGTTTTAACTATTTCATAATAAATGTTATACAATTGGATTAAAATCTGAATCAGATATATGGTATGATAGTTTTGGTTTAAATCTAAAATATAAAAATGGTATAGATTATTGAATTATATTAGGTGATTTATGTGGAGAAACCTTATAATATTCAGTTTAATTTTAAGTATAATGTGGTGAGGAAACTCCTTTTAAATAAATCATGACAGATTCACCATGCAATATCATGCTTTAATCAACACATCCAATGGCTTGTAGATAAAAATAGAGTTACTTTTATTATTATTTATTTTCTTTTGTTTTAATAGTCGCTGGGATATTCTTGATGAAAAGAAAGAAAAAATAAGAACAAGGCTATGTTTTAGTTTGATTGTATAATAATAATTATATAATGCAATTCTGTAATAATTAGATTTTTATTTCCTTTATCTATCTACTAGAGTCTTTTATGTATATTTTGTAAATTAAATTTACTCATCATTCATAAATTGATAAAGATGATTATTTTAATCTATTTTGCTTGAAAAACAATTATAGTATAACTTTACTTTCTATATTAAATAATTGATATCGTTAATTATTAGTCTTTAAACAAATTAAATTAGTTTTTGATATTTAACTTTTTTTTTTTTTCGGTCTTTTTGAATGCACCTCATTCTTAATATTCTGATACTTTATTATTGACAAATCTACAGTTTTACATCATTTAGAGAAACTTAAATTTGATCTGCTTTAGTGTAAGAATATAATAATTTGGTTAAAATTATCGATGAAAATAATTATAGTATTTTTATTTAACCTGCTCAATATATATATGCACAAAATCTAATATTTTAATAATAATAAATTAGGTAGTTCTGTAATAATAGAAGATAAGTTTCTAGAGACTTCTTAAACATTTTTCTTAAAGTTTTCATTTTTCATCTCTCCCTCAATTCTATAATAGTATAAACATCAGCCTTTTAAATTCCAATATAGAGATGCAATCAAAAAATTAATTTAATTTATTTGGAAATAATTTCTCTTATTGATTTTCCAAGTTCTTTTAAACTCTTTTATTTAAATAAAATTTTTTAAGGCCTCACTTTTTCTTCTAAATAAATAAACCATTTTAAATTTCTTATGTTCAAAACTCCCTTCATAAGTAATAGTATAATTAATTTATCAAGACTTTGGCTGTTTTCACAGTTTTATCATAGTTTTATTTAGTAGAATACATTTTCAATTAACAATTCGGTATTTTTTTGATTATCTGAATATCTTAATTTGATATAATTTTTTCATTTACGCTAATTTTTCATATTATTTAATAAAAATAAAGACTGATATTTAATTATGTTAAATAATTGCAACTTCTTTTATTTTGAATCAAACTATGCTTATTACATTTAAATTCTTTTGATTCTTTATTTATATAATTGGGAAATTTATAATGTCTTAATTAATTATATTTAAATATATAATATTTTATATTACAAGCTATTTTTAAGAACTTGAAGCTTGTATAATGCACGAATAATTTCAAAAGAAATCATCTAAATTAAATTACGGAAGTTAACAGACTTAATCATCGTCATCAAAAATCATAAGTTGAACCATATTTCGATTAAAAGATTCTTCCTCTATTTACTAATTTAAATCATCTTATAAAGTTGACATTGTTATTTTTTATAATTTTTAATTCTTATTCTGAGCTGTTGGGGATAAAGGCTTAAACTTTTAGTGATGTGATCTAATTTATATAAGTATAATACCTGCATTAACTTGGGGATCTAGTTCCAATCACTTCACTCATTGATTTAAATATTTTATTATTTTTCTTTATGTCTAAGTGCTCTTCTAAGAAGAATAAATATTTTTCATGTTCTTCCTTTGACCAATGGCCAATATTCTTTTTAGGTGAAATTGATTCATGCTTCTTTATTCTTTTGGATCTAGGTGATTATGAAAAAGGAGATTCGCAAGAGTCATCTAAATCTTGTTATTCACAAGAATACAAAGACATTATTTTTATTAAAAAACCAAAATAATTTATATTTCTTTAAGTATTTTGTTTTCATTTAAAGAAATAATAAATTATTTTGGTTTTTGTAATCGTCTAAATTCTTGTATTACTATTTAAAATTTAAATTTCTGCATTTTAAAATATTACAAAATCTCATTCTAAAAATATTTTCCTTTTTTGTAATTAAATGATTGTCTGTTAATAAAATAGCAATTGTGAAAGAAAATAGATTCAACAACCTAGGTAGCTTTTTACCAAAATCTTCTAGATCTAGATTTATAGTTTTTTGTTTCACTTACAAAGACTTTATTTAATCATTTAGAAAAAATAATAATTTGCATCCTTAACAAGAAAGAAAATATTATTTAATTATAAAATAATATATAAATTTGAATCTAAATTTAAATAATGATTCATTAATGTTAAATGTTTGTTATATAGAATAAAATTCAATAGAAAGAATAAAATTAATTAATTAACAAAAATTTAGAGAAATTCTAGTAAGTTTTACTTTATAGATTCTTTATCTATGATAAAGGATTCTTATAAAATATGATTAGTATTAAAAAAGGAAAGGAGAACCTTAAAAAATAAACAGGCTTAACTAAATATTTTTTATTGTTTTTTTTATCTGAAAATTCTTATACGGAATTAATTTTTAGCTGCTCAATCAGATATTAACTAAATTTAGAATGAAATCAATTTGTATGACTTAATAGTAAAGTAAATAATTTTAAAAATTTATAGAAATTATTATTTAACTGTTATAATAATTATGAGAAAATAAACACATTAAAGCAGATCAAGCTAGTCATGTAATCCAAAGTGTTAAGATAAACCATTAAATGAATTTTAAGTTAATAATTTAGTAACAGAAAATTAAAAGCTGCTTGAATAAAATGATAAACTTATGTTATAATTTGAAATTTTAAGACAAGAGTATGAGTTCTTAGGTTCAAGTGGAATTTCAAGTATAAAGAGTTAGAGAAGTAAAAAAATTGAATTTGAGTAATCATATGAAGAAATGAATAAATTGAAATTTTAGAAAGAAAAATTAATTGTTGATAATGAATGTTTAAGAAGAACAATAACTAAGTTATAATATTAACTTGAAGAATAAAGCATATATATAAAAAAGTTATAGAATTCTTAAAATGATTATGAATAATTGAAATAACGTTTAGAAGAAACTGTTTAAGTGGTGAATGAACTAGAAATATAATTATAGGATTAGTGTTAATTATAAAAATAATTTGAATATAAATAAAAAATAATAACACTTAGTAATTTAGATACTCAAGAACATTTGTCTTCTTAATGTAAAATGAATGATATATAAATCAGTCAACTTAAAGAATAAAATATCAAACTAAATAAATTACTTGAGGAAAGATTAGTTTAATTGGAAAATATCACAAAACTATTAAATCAAAGAAATGAAGCTTATAATAATTTGCAAGAAAGTTATGATTAAGATCTATCAGATATAAGATATAATACTACAAAGTAGATATCCAATACTTTTGATTAAGAGAAGAAAGCCTTGTAAATTTAAGTTAATTAATTAATGTAATAACTTGATTTATAATAATTAAATATAAGTCAAAATAAATAAAAAGTATAATAAAAAACTGATGAAGAATCTTAAAAAATAATATAAGATTTGTAGTCTTTATTAAAATAAAAAGATAATTAAATAAAAGTTTTAGAATAAAAATGTGATGAATTTTAATAAAATGCAATAGATGTTTAAACAACTATAGCTTCAAATAATTTTGCTAATAGCTAAAATTATTAACATCTTCAATAAAATCTATAAGTTTTGATGAAAGAATTAGAGTTATAAAAATAGTAGAATCATTAAATGAGATATCTAAATTAATAATTGACTTAGAAATTAAATTTATTCAGTTAAAGTTAGTAGAAAGTGATTCACAATAATTCTCATTCATTTATATCATCACCTGGAAGATTAGACACATATCCTAATAAGACTTAATCAGTGTTAACAAATAGAACAAATATAATATAAAATGCTCCAGATTCTCCATTTAGAAAATAAAAACTTCATTTATTATTTACTGACGAATAACAAAAAATGCCTTATGATATATCTACTTAAAGTAAATCTTCATTTATTATAGTTTTATAGGAACTGTCTAAATGGTTTCAAAATTATCTGAAATTGATTAAAACTTGTAATCAAACAAAGATAAATTTTTACTACATGATTGAATACTATATATTAAATAATTTTATAAAGTTTTATTAACTATTATGAGAACTAAATGGGTAAACAAGTTTGATCGGTTATTCTAAAATTAGAAAAGTATATTCGAATTATATTTAATTTTAATGATTTGCCCCTATAAATGTGATGAAGACTGTATAGAAATCCTTCTTTCAGATGGATTAATACTTTCTATTGTATGCGTAGTGATCTCATTAATAATATCGCTATATTTAATTGTTAGACACTTGATGAATTTCAATATGCCTTTTTTTCAAAGTAAAATCATAAGTATTAAAATATTATTGATTATATTAGTAATCCTCATGATGGCACCTTTTTATGGATTAATTTCAATTATTTCAATGGAATTTCATGTAAGAGTAAATTCAAATATGGTAGTAAACAGGGTTTAGCATCCTATTTCGAATTGGTTCGTGATATCTATTTAGCTTTTCTTTTATTCACATTTTTCTACCTTATGTTTTCATATATGGCTTATAATCCAGAAGATAAATTATTATATGATGATCGCGTTTATGAGATTATGATTGAACATGAAAAAGAAATTCATCATTTATGGCCTGTAAATTACTGTACTGAAAGATATTTATTATCAACGTATCTATCAATTTAATTAAAAAGCAAGGCAAAAGCTAAATATTTCACCTATAGATGCAAAAAGTTTGTTCTTTAATATTGTGTAGTGAAACCAGTTCTCACTATTATAATTATATTTTTACATCCATTTCATAATAAACTATATGCAGTAATTTAAAATCTAATATTCTAAGCAAAGGTTAATGCAAAGTTTTGAATTTATTATAATAACTAGTGAAACTTTTTCTCTCTATTACCTAATTTTGTTTTATTATGCTTTAAAACATCCCTTGTAACCATATAAGTAGACATTGATATTAATTTAATAGACCATTACTCAAATTTTTGATTATAAAGGTAACGTTATTTTTTACTTTTTGGCAATCATTAACTCTATCAATTTTTGAAGAAGAAATTTCAAGTTGTTTTGAACCAGATGAGACAAAATATAATAATAATACAATTATTAGTGCAATAGAAGTATATAACATTTCTATAATTTTATTAAGAATACCTTAGTTTGTATAGAAATGCTATGCATGACTCTTGCAAGTATTTGTGCTTTTACTTATAGTGATTTTATTACATAAGATGAAAATAAAGTTGGAACACTTGGCTAAGTATTAACAGACAATTGGAAAGCATTTTAACATGATTTTAGATTAATAAAACCAAAAAAATTTGGGTATATATATATTTATTATATTTTAAATAGATTTATATCAAAAGTTCATGAAGTAGAAATGTATCAAAAAAGAATATCAGGAAATTAAGAATATGAAGTTAAGTTAACAGGTGACTATCAAAGATTAAGTAAAGCTATTGATGTTCAATATATATGAATAATAGAAATTATATTATTATAGATAGATAAATGATTAGTTGATTATTTATTAATAGAATTTTAACATAATTGTTAATATATCTATCATGATTATTTATTAATAAATCCAAACAATCCTCCTTTTTTTTGTTATGGAGCTTATTATTATTAATTTGATTGTGATGGTTAATCATCTACCTTTAATTATTATGAAGTTGCATTCTAAAATAAATAAATAAATAAATATACTATAGCTGCTTATTTTGCTGCATCACTTGTAGCAGCTTATTAGCCTGCTTTCTCTGCAACATTTAAAGCCCAATCTGGAGCACCTGGAATTTAACTTTTAACAGTAGCTTTGGCTGCTTGTCCACCTGCATTTTTCATTTATTCTTTAACTCTTTCATCTTCATAAAATGCAGCAACACCTTTGTCCACTTATTAGTTATATTATTGAGTTAATGTTTAAGAAGAAGAAGGCTTATTTCCTTATAAAGGATTAGTATTCTATTATGTAGCTGATGTTTATGGTTAAGGAGTTTTTGGTGCAGTACCAAATATAGTAGTCTATTATTTCACTTATTAGGTTTAAAGTGGTAGTTAAGATGGTTAAGATTATTAAGTGTTCTACTAATTTTATTATTATTATTTTTGGGATTGAGCATCAGTCAATTAATTTTTTGAAGAATCATTTTAAGTTTGAGTAACAGGAGTTTTATTAATTTCTGGCTTTTATACAATAACTTAAGGTTTTGTATCTTATTATTTTTATTATTATTATTATTATTATTATTATTAAGGTTTTATTTATTAAACTTATTAAGTTTATTATTATTATTCAGCAGCCAAATCTTCTGAAGCTGATAATATATATTCAGAAAGACTAATATATTATATTAAAATACTCAGGATCTCTTTTAATAATTTTTTATGCATTTCTAAATGTTTCAATTTCTTTATTTAATTTTTTTCTTTCTTCGACTATATTTTAATCTTCGCTAATTGCTGAAAGTAAATTTTAATTTTGCATCAAATTTTATTATAATTGCATAAGCATTTTAGTCTAATAGAAATTATAAATAAATTATATTACCTAACATCCTTTTACTAAAAAGTAACCAACCAATTTAGGAATATTATCTCTAGTTGATCTAACAACTAATTTAAAATAATGTTCAATTTTATTTTTTAATTCTGCAACCATATATTAACCTTTAACTGGTTATGCTTCTTTAGCAGGTTTACCAAATCTAATAAATTGTTTTCCAGCTAAATAATTAGAATCATTAGTAAAGACATAGTTCATTTCAGCATCTAAGATATCTTGAACAGAATTTTAAGCATTTGATTTACATTCTTAAATAATTTCAAGTACTTATTCTTCCAACATTTTTAAAACAGATGGAATTCTAAATAATAAATAAAAATTACGTTTATAATTAATCACACAAGATCTCTATAGCATATTCTTCAAGAATTGAATAAGCTTCATCAATAATATTAAATGCAGGTTATTATAATCTTTTTAATTCTGGGTTTAATAATGCATAAAAGGCATCAACAGGAAGAAATCCAGGAATAGTTAATGCAGAATATTTCTAGATTACTTATGTAATATCATCTTCAGAATATTTCTTTAATGCTTAGTAATCAAGATCATTAAATTCATCATATAATTCTGAAAATAATAATTTGATCTTAGCTCCAGCAGGAACTTAGAAAAAATCATTTTTTTTTGTTGATTTAACCTTTTAATAAGATCCTGTAATAGAATTTCTAAATCTAACTGAAAATTCATGAATTAATTTCCATATATAATGCATTTTATCCTAAAATAAAAATGAATTATAATACTGAATCTTCAACAGGTAATCCTGGTCCTAATACATCTAATCTTACTTAAATTTTGCCTACTCTATTATTGATTTCTCTCATTAATTCTGGTAAGAAACTTCTAATTCTTCTATATAGAATTGTTGTTAATTTTCTTGTTAAAACTTAGGTTCCAAATATTTCACCAGGAATAGTTGAATAAACAGGATGATTTGCAAAAAAGTTTTTTTCTCTTAAAACTGCTTAGATAATAGGAATATTATCATTAATTTCTTATTATGATCTAAGTTTAACTCCGACGTAACCATATTTTAATGGTACTTCTTCTCCTTTAAGCATTTTAAATGCATTAGTTCCTTAATCCATGATATCAATTTTAGTTAAGACTCCTATTGTTCGAATACCTTTAAATATATATTTAAAATAATACCATCTGGATCTAATTTTTTAGCTAATAATAATGCATCAGATGTAGTCATATCAGCATTTGCTGCAACAACACACAATATAATTGCTGATTTATCTTCGCAATATCTTTTAGCCATATTTGTTGTTATTTCTTCAATATTTGCTGGCTAACCAGCAATAGGAATACGAGTAATTCCTGGAAGATCTAATATTTTTTATTTTAAGATCGATACCAACTAAAGTTAGATCTGGACAATTAGGTCCTTGGACTGCTAATATTATTGGTTTATCAATAATGTTTTTAGCCTATCCACATACTTTATCAGTCAACTCATTTATTTTTTATCGAACTTCTTCAAAATTAGTGAACTTTTTTCCTTTTATTTCTTCAACAAATTCTGCTGTTGGTGTAGCACAAACACTAGCTGGAGCATTAGATAAACGCAATTCTAATGGTCTTCTTGTCACAACACCCTATTTTCAATATAATAAGAATTACAGATCCTCTAGGTAAAAAATCTATTCCAACTATATGTTCAAGTAAAGAAGACTTTCCTGCTGATTGAATACCCAAAACAACAATTCTTGGCAATTTTATGTAATCATTTAAACCAATATCTCTTAATTGATCAACTAATGTAATCACTTTTCTTAAATTTTCTAATAAGCTCACTCCTTATGAATTTGACATAAAAATAAATATTTAATATCATATTATTCTTAATATCCTTATATAACTTTCTTATTATCAATTCGTTTACTCCATAAATACAAATCTATTTAAGATATCTAAACTACACATTAACTATTAATCTTTGTTTTAAATTATAACTATACTCACTCCTTTTTTGATTCTTTATTATGAAGAATCTAAAATTATTATATTCTATATTCAAATAGAATCAAATAATTTTTTCTTCTATCCATCTCAATTCCTTAATTTATCAATCCAAGTATTCACATTTAAACATTATCAATTAAAAAAAATTGAATTTTATCACTCAGATAAAATGCATTCGCTTTATAATACTTTTGATATTAGATAACTAATTCATTATAATCTTAATCATATAATAACAAAGTATTCATTATTTATTTTTCTTGCATTTATCAAGCTTTATTATCCTATTTAATCAAAAAATTTTTAATGAATTAATTATGCTGCTTTTTAATTTTGATAACATTACAATTATTTCAATCTTGTTGTCTCAAAAATGGTTGTTAAAGGATAAATCAGTTTAAATCAACTTTGAGAGGCAACTATAAAAATGTAATAAGTTATGAAAACGGCTCTTTATTAATAAGTAGAAAATAAAACTCTTTTAATGGATCTGGTAGATTTTTAGGAGTGCTTTTTAGAAATGAAATATATGCAAATTCTGCTGATATTAAAGGTACCTTTTGTTCCATAAATACTTCAATAATTATTTAGTTGAGATAAAATTATGAATTGAATACTCTTGTTTTATGGTTATGGGATGGACAATCAAGATAATATAATCTTGTAGTATATGCTTCACACTTAGAAAATGAAACAGTAATTTTTGATTAGATTTCTGCATAAGCCAAAGCCATTTAAATTTAATTTTCTCCTTAAATTGTTGATAAATTTAGAGTCTACAATAGAAATGGAAATTCAGTTTCGACTACAACTAATATTATTAAAGCAGAAGCATATTACAAAAAATGAGTCATTATTTTTTACTTTTTAAAATAATTTTATTTATTAAATTTAAATTTATGGAGTAAATCTAATATTTTTGAATATGATTTAAGATTTAAAACTTTATATCTTAATCCATGAAGTATTTAAGTAAATAAAGTTTAGAAAATAAAAATTTTATTTCCAATCCTAGAAAAAATAATTATTTTATCCAATAAGGAAAACTATTTATTATTAAAGTATGATCTTTATAAATTTTTTTAGAATAAAAATTCTTAAGTATTTTTGAAGATTTATGACATTATTTAAACAAAAAATTAATTATATGATTTAAATAATCAAAAAGCACAATGAAGTTTTATCCTCAGCAGCAATTTAACGAATCATTTTTTAGATTCTGATGAAATTGCCATTGTTAACAAAATATGAATAATCCTCTTATAAATATCCCTTTCAGTATTACAAGAATCATATTAAAGATTAATTTCGATATTTTAAGAAGAAAATTTAAAAGTTTTATTTGAATTATATTAAAATTTATGAGAATTTTTGTAAGTAATTTATTATTTTCATATTGATTTTAGTGAAATAATATTCTAATAAATTTTTGTTATTAAACAATCTATAGGAGGTGTTTCTATAAAAGTCAAAAGCAAAAAAAGTAATTTTCATTTTTTTTACCAGTTTTAGATAGAACTACTCTTAATAGAAACAACTTAATGGATAAAATTTATTCAAAATATTTTCACTTTTTTTTTTAGAAAATTATAGAATTTATTAAAAAGATTGAATGCATTAAATATTTTTAATCATTTATTTAGCCAAAATTTATAATAAAAGCTAAAGTATTTCTGAAAGAAATTAAAGATAAAGAATAAATATATTTAATATTTGCATTTAATGCAATACATCAATTTTACTATATGGTTTAAATTTAGAAAAAAATGATATATTCATATTAAAGTAATTTGATTAGTATACAGATTATAAATATAAAATAGAATTAAAAGTAACATCACATTATAAAAATCTTTAACAAATTCTTACAGTTATTGATACAAAATATGATAAAATATTTAAATTGAAAGATCTATAAATTTGTATTGAATTAGAAATAAAAATTTTAATTTTTATAGGAAAAAGTTAAAATATATTTTGAAGGAGAAACATTCAAAATACAAAATTGGATGAAGAATTAGAAATAAAAAATAAGTTTTATTTTTAATTTTTAGAGTTCTATTATTTGCAGTACTTATAATAAACTTTATACTCACATGAATTATTTAAAATGCTTAATTTTCATTATTATTAAAAATTTTTGTTTCTTATAGATCTATTTATTTAAAGTTTAATTATCGTATAATTGTAAATATATTTAAAAATGATAATTATAAAATTATACAAAAGATTCTGAAATGAAAGTTTAGATTTCTTGAATAATTAGTTAAGGCTTTCTAAAAAAAAACAATTAGTTTGATTATCTGATTATGAAAAAAAAAGTAAATACTAATGTGTAAAAAGATAAAAAGCTAATGGAAATTTCAACAATTTAATTTGCTTAATAAAAGTCTTTGGGTTAAATAATTTCTTATAAAACAAGAAAGTTTATGTAAATTCATAGATAATCATTAAAATATTTGTAAAGAATTCTATAATTAGAAGAGAATTAAAAATAAAAGTAGGAAACTCATGATGTATTTTATTTTATACTTCATAAGATAGCTTTAATAATGTAGATAATTGAAAAGATCTCATCTAGTAATGATTTTTTACTGATTAAAGATTAAAAAGGACTAAAATTTATTAATAAAATAATAAAAATGATAAAATTGGGACATATGTTAGCACAAGAACAAGCAAAATTAAAATCAGAAATGCAAGTTGCGTCTAGATAAAAGAAATACAGAAATGCTACAGCATCTACATTGTAAGAAGCACACTAACAACAAGCTATCCAAACATATCGAAAACATCGACATTGTTATAAAAGTCATAAGCTAGTCCAACCAATTCTACGAATTATTTGAGTTATAATTGCTCACCAATATCATCACCAAAATACTTTTCATATTCTCCTGATCCAGATCAAATGTTTGGAATAAAGAATAACTAAGTTTAAACATCTTAAATAAACAAATTAGAAATGATTTAATAGGCACCGAATAAACCACCATTGAAAAGAGTTAACAAACTTACAAATTTGAGAAATATTAATAACAATAGTATAAGTTAACCACATTCATTAAAGAATGAGGAATCAAAAGAAAAACTATTAGAATAAACTCACTTTTTATGTGCGATTATGTAATAATAACATAGTGTAACTGGTAAGATTGTAACTAATTTTTTAAATGGACGTCTTGAAAAAAATAGCTATGAATCTATAATTTCAATGGAGAAATCAGCATAAGCATTATAATAATCCGCAAAAGAAATGTCAAAAGCTTTGTATGCTTCTGATGATGAAGGAGAGTTTGAGAATTTGTAGAATAAATTTATAGATTAATTACGATTTTCAAAATACAGAAAACCAAATTAAGAAAAAAATATTGTATTTAAAAGAAATTATGGTTAAAAACATGAAATGATGATAGATTAAGTAGTTTAATAAAGGTAAAAATCTGAGGAGAATTAGGATTTTGATGTATTTATTCCAAAATCATAAATGGATTAATTTTTTAAGTAGAACTATATTAATGATTTAGAATAATATAAGATAAAATAGATGGAAGAATGATAGAATAAAAATAATAGTTGATAAAGGAAGAATAAAAATTAGTAAATGGAATGATAACAAATGTAAAGAAATTTCGTGAAGATATAAGAGAGGTTAAATATACAATGAATCATGTAAGAAAGAATAAAAAAGCATTACAAGCACAATAATAATAATAACCTTAATCTACAATAAGAACATTACGTACAATTAAGTCTTAATCGTCTGCAAGGTTATAAAGTGAGAAAGTTATAAAACTGGATGAAGATGCTAAAGCAGATTTAAAATTAAGAGTTATGAAGGCTTTGAGAAATTTTATGGATAAATTAAAAAGATTTAATATCACATTAGAAGATGTGGTAAATAATTAAGTTTTTCCAACTTAAGCATATGAACGACCTAATAGTGTTGAATTCTTTAGATAAGTCAAAGCTGATAATATTAGAGAAATTGAAAGTATGTTAAGAGATTGTAGATTTCATGTTTATGATAGAGATAATTAATAAAAGACTGCATTACATCATGCAGTGAACATTAATTCTATTGAAGCTATTAGATTATTAGTAGAAAATGGAGCTGATTTAGATGCAAGAGATATGAGTAATTTAAATATATATCTATTATTAGTGGGAAGAACACCATTACATATTGCTGCAAAAAATAACAATTGTGATACTGTTAGGACTTTATTGGTTTATTAAGCAAATCCTTCAATTAAAACTGTTGCTGGAAAAACTGCTTAAGATCTGACTGAAATGCCTGTTATTAAAGCACTTGTTAAAAATGCTAAAAAAGTAATAATTATTATCAATTTAGTTACATTTTATGATGAACTTATAACCAAACAATAAGAAAAAAGATTTTTGGGTTGAAAAAGCTGTTCTATATTTTTAAGAAGATGACCCAGAAAAAATATTAAAATTATAGCTTTATAAGACTCAAGCTAAATTATTTTTATAATGATTTTATAATCCTAATCTTTAATTATACTATTAATTTAATTAAATGGAAGAAATTAATACTTAGAAAATAGAAGATTCTCCATAACCTTCTAGAAGTTCTATTGCTAATGTTGACAAAATTTAAAAGGATACAATTACAGAAGATAAAATATAGCCAGAAGAAGACATTGAATTATAAGTATTATTTAATAAATTGAATTCAACAATTGATGAAACACCATTTCATGAAACTAAATGCTAAAAATAAAAATAAGATTTATCATACAAAGCAGAATTCATAATGTCTCATTTCATAAAGTTTTATATATATTAGTTAGTAAGATTTCAATTTTAAATTAGATGTTTTATATATTAGGACCATTTGTTTATATATTACTATTAAATAAACCAGCTCTTATGTTTAATTTAGGATTCTGGTCTATGAGATAAGATGTATTATATCAATATACACAATGGTTTGGACATATATTTTGCCTCTTTATGTATTTTTATTTTTAATCTCTCTCCTCTTTAGAGATAGGACTCTTATGGTTTTCATTATTAATTAGAACAATAATTGTTGCTGCTAAATTCTCTACTCTTAATGAAGAAAGGATTGAACTCTACGAAAAAACACTTTTGAGTAAAAATACTATTTAATTTGATGTTGTTTTATTTGATTGGGCCATTCAATCTAAAAAAATCAAATATTTAGAAATAGCTAGAGCAGCAAAAAGACATGATTTTGATACTTAGTTCTTTTATTTTGATTTTTTAGTTGAACCTTTGAAAGAAACTTAATAAGCATTATGTGATGATAAAGATGTTTAATTAAATCTTCCTCATGATGGAACCTATAGTGGAATAAATTTAATATCTTATTTTATTGATTCCTATTAATAGCTCAATACAAGAAAAAATTAAGTTACATTAGCACTTTTAATCAGTTTGATTGTTGTGATTACTCCAAAAGCCTTATCATATTAACTATATTTATAAAACCCAATTGAAATATTCTTGAATATTGTTTGTGGAATATTTTAGATTATTTAATTTAACTGTGTATTTCTATATCTTCTCATATCTCTTGAAGATATGAAAAGAAAGATATTTCTATTAGATCAGGTTTATTATTTAATTAGCACCAAAAGAGTACGTTGTAATGAATTTAAATTAACTCCAACTATTGATATTAATTGTCCTAGAACTATCGAAGCCTGGAGTATGTTAAGATCTATAACTTTTGATTATGGAGCATCTTATCATGTTAGAAATTAAATCTATCATACAATTTTAATTTTATTTTGTATAGCAAGTATTATTTTTGTTTTGTAAATCATTTTGGACTATTTCACACTTAATTATTATTATTTAATTACTTTAGGAATTATATTTCTCATATTTTTGATTTTTATATCCCTTTATTTATTAAGTGCAGCTAAAATTAATTAATTTTTTGATGATTTTAAGACTTAGATAGAAAATTTAAAGTTTATTTGTTAAGATGTCAAAAGAATGAAAAAGTAATATTTTGAAGAAAATAAAACAGAACCATAGAACTTTATTCATAAATCTTTTGTTAATCATCTCAAAACTTAACATGGAGATGATAACCAAATTATATATTAAAGAATAGATAATTTGATTGATTCTTTAGAGAATGCTTAAAGACATATTGAATATGATAGCAGAAATTACCCATTAAAATTGTATGGAATTAAAATTACATATGAAATCCTCTAGAGTATTGTTGTTGGATTATTTACAGTAATAAGTTTTGTTGTTCAATAAAGATTTTCATCTTGATTTTATTTTTATTTATAAATATTTCAATTAATTTAATTTCAAAAATTGCAAATGAAGGAAGCATCTAATATTAGTGATGAGAAAAGACCTTTGGCATCTATTCCATTGTAAACATTCCTATATTTTGATTAAATTTTTACAGTATTCATATAATTGTTATATTTAGTATGTATATTTCATAATAGAAATTATTGTATTTATTTACAAAGGGTATGGATTATTTTATCCACCAAACAAAATAGGAATTGAAATATTTTTACAATTTCTCTTAGCATTTTGTTAATTTCCTCGATTGATATTAGGATCAATTGGAAATAAAACAGAATCACCATCTTAAATTTTATGGTATTTTGATATAATTATTTTAGGTTTGTTTTATTAATTTTTCCTTGCATATTCTTTTATATATTTTTCATAGTTTTGTAAACTTATGTAGTTATTTTGGAAATAATAATAAATGTAATAGGATTAATATTTATAATCTTTGAATTGTTATTTAGTTTGTCAGCATTTTTAACTTTCAAAAACTATGAAAAGCAACAATGATTTTGAATTAAATGATATTATTATTATATAGTTAAAAATAATAAAAAATTTACATTATAAATTAAATATTATAAAATGGAAGAGGATGGATAGTCGAATAATTAATTAAGATAAATCATCATTAATTACAAATGATTGTTAAGTGAATGAAGCATAAATTAAATAATATAAAAAAGCAAAATTACTTAGAGTAGGAGCATATAATAAAACTTATCTTGTTACATCTGATGATTAAGACGAAATAAAATATGTAATGAAAGTTGTACCTTAAACCATTTCAGCTAATACAGAAGCATAAATATTATAAAATTTGAGACATGATAATATTATCTAATATATTGAAACTTTTATTGATAAAAAAGATAGATAGATTAAGTTTAATTATGGAATATGAAAATAGTAATCAAATTTAATAGTAATCTCTTAGATGGTACTCTAGGTTCGTATTTTAAATCAAGAACATAACCTTTACTTGAAGCATAAATTATTGATTGGTTTACTCAATTATGTTTAGCTTACAATGTGTACATTCTTAAAAGATAATTCATAGAGATATTAAATCAGAAAATATTTTCCTTCATGATGATAAAATTAAATTAGGAGATTTTGGAATTGCTAGATCTATCGAATAAGATTTTGCAATTACATTTATAGACAGTAGTTTTATATGAAATGTGTACATTTAAATACCCATTTATTGCTGATTCATTACCTGCTTTAGCTAATATAATAATGAAAGCTAAAATATAACCAATAAGTGCTTAGTTATACTCATAAAATATGAAAAATTTAATATAGTATTTTTGTAAATAGATACAAATAAGAGACCAAATATTCAATAAATACTATGTATATAATATAATTTTATATTAGAAAATGCCTTAATTTAAAATAGAATTAAATAATTAAATATTAAACAATAATCATTATTAAAATTCCTGTTTAACCTATAAGTACAATTCATTCTTAAATTAGAGAAACAATAACACTAAGTTGTTATGAATAAATTTTCGAAATAGAAACTACTTTTGAAAAAACATTAACACAAGATACAGAAAATTTAGAAAAATAAATAATAGAAAATTAAAAATATATTCCTTTAGTAACATAATTTGCTCAAAAACCTATTATTAAATTAAGTTTTGAAAGAACAGAAAAATGAAGAATGCATTTAGAAGAAGCCTTTGGAAATGATTAATTTTTGAAAGTATATTAAATATTTAGAAGTCTGAGAGAAAAAAATAGTATAGATGATATTTCCCAAAAATATGGACCTAGTTACTGAAATTTGATCCCAGATATTAATTAATAATGTATATCAGAGTAATTATATAATTTATTTCTATTACTAGATTTTGATTTAGAACAATGAGAATTATATTAAAGACTATTATTTATTAATTTTTAGTATATAAAATACAAATAATAAATTAATAAATGAAAAAAATAATAATAATTGCTTCTTTGATATTAGTTTTCGTGAACTCTGCAACAACATTTACGGATTAAGATTTAATGATTTTGATGGAAAGATCATAAATTCGTGGAGACTATTAGGATATTGTGAATGAAAGAAGTGGAGCATTAATTTCAAATGCTAGAGAATTAACATTCTACGGAGATCAATTAAATAATAGTCCTTTAAGAGATGCTATATATGATATTGTTGCTAATAGTAAAGGATATGTTAAGTCACCTATATCTGGAAAAATATAACTTGACTTAATGTAATATTATGAAATAAACACTGTTGTAATATGGTTTTATGATCTCTCAGCCATCATATATAAATTTAAATTAACATTAGTCTACCCTGATAACAGTTAAGCAGAAGTTTATACTAATGATTCAGCATCAGCCGGAATTATTAGAATTACTTTTGATGATAGTTTTGTCAAGTCAATAATTATCACTGATACTTCAGGCACTTAACCCTTACAAGTCATTAAGATTCAAGCATTTTATGCATTTTGATTAAAATAATAACATATTCCAAAATAACATTAAAATATTCTCTAGAAAATCTTTATATTTTAAAAATAGCTCTGGTTAAGTAAGATAACAAAGATAAATTTTGTAAAATTTTTATTGGAGTCTTTCTTATAGGATCATAGTTTGGTACAAAATATAAGAAATACTTAAAGTTATATAATTTATACATTTTGAAGAATTATTAAATTCTTTCAATAATATATTTTATCACATTATTAAAAGTGTTACGATATTGAAATAAATGAAAAATTATTCTAATTCAAATTTTCAAAAGCAAGAATAATATTGATGAGAAAAGTTCGAATCTTAAAGATATAGTCTTTTTTATGGTTATAAAATAAATAAATAATTGGCACTACAAGATTTTCTTTTCGGTTTAATTTTTTTCAAATTATAATATATTATAAAAAGTCATGGATTTAGATCGCTATAACTACCTTAAAATGAGAGATTTTAAAATAGATTAAAATATCTCTGAGCATCTACTTGAGATGTTAGAAATGCTTATACATTGGATCTTTTAGGTTTGATATTTAGTTATATAATAGGTTGGTGAGTAAAATAATTTGGAAATTAAAACAATTGAATTAGCTGCCATTTTAAGTAAATTCTATATGTCGAAATAATAAATCTCTTCTGAAAGAGCTGATCTTTTAGGAATAGCTTCATTAATGATTGCAGTAAAAGTAATAAAATATATATTTTACTTTAGTTTAATGAATGCCAAAATAAAACATCGATGAATATCCAAGACTGTGTGGACTAATGCCAATCTAAATATAGTTCTATAGAAATTATAGATATGGAAATGAAGATTCTATCTCTTATTGAATATGACGCAAATTTTACCACTATAACTGATTATTATGATGATGAAGCCGTCTAAATTGACTTAGTTTTGTTTGTTACTCTTGATTCTGAATTTCTATACTTCAGAAAATATGAATTGTATGAAGCAATTAGAAATTTTTACTCAAAAGATACATCAAACTTATCAGAAATTACAAAACATGTATAAAAATCAAATAGTCTTAGATAATCAGCAAAATAAGTACTAAAATTTAATAGCTGACTACTTAAGATGAAAATAACACACCAAAAATAATAAAGAAAACAATTAAAAAAAAGGGATTTAGAAGATAAAGAATATCGAGTTCACAAAGCATTACACTATGAATATTATGATTTCAATTCTATGATTATAACCACTATTTATATAGTGGATATTTAAATACCATTTTTACTTAACTTTAAATCTAATCCATTCATTTTCTTATCATTATTAATAACTTTCAAAATTTTGGAGGGAAACCAAGGAATAATGTAATATTTGAATTTGAATTATTATTCATAATATATTATATGCTTTGAAGATTTAATAAAATATAAATGTTATTATATATTTTCATTAAAACTAAATTGCATTGATGTGATTAAATGTCAAAATTTGATTAAAAAATGTAAAAACTTTAGTATTATGTTTTTTCGAAAGACGATGTATAGATGAAGCTTATAAAAACAATGATTTATTAAGAAATATATACTTGAAAATGATGAAGAATTTTTGAATTAAAATCTTTTATTTTTAATTAAAATATGGTTGTCAAGTCACTTGCTCATAAAAGAATAGTTCATAAGAGAACAAAGAGATTTGTTAGATTTGAATCAGAAGACTATCCTCACAAATTAAGACCAAGCTGGAGAAGACCAAGAGGTATAGATAACAGAGTCAGAAGAAGATTCAGAGGAAATAGACCTATGCCAAAAGCTGGTTATAGAGGTGACAAAAAGACAAGGTATTGTGAAATCAAATGACATTTTAGATACTTAGATTAAGCTGGTTTCAGAAAATTGTTAATTACCAATGAAAAAGATCTTGAATTATTGCTAACAAATAATAGAACTTTTGCAGGTGAATTAGCACACAATCTTTCAGCTAGAAAAAGAGCTACTCTTGTAAGAAGAGCAGCTGAACTTAATGTTAGATTAACTAATGGAAAAGGTAAAATTAGAGCAGAAGAGAAAAAGGAATGATTTATTTCTGTTGTACAATATAAATATATATATATATATTATTATGCAATTTATATTAAAAATTGCTATTCTAACATACTATGCTAAATCCTTTTATAATAATGAATGAATTTATATAGTGCATTTAATAGTGATATGAATAATTAATTTGAATATCTAATTTTTACTTTTTTTAGAGTATTTATTAGTTTAAAATTAATTTATTTCAACCAAATAAAGTTATACAGATATTTATATTCAAGGGTTAAATTCCTAGAAAAAAAAGAGTAGAATGAAGTTTCACTTTAGATTGTTTTATTATTTTAATTATAATTTAATAATTGAATTGATACAAATAATTTAGGAATTATATTCTCTTCTCACTTTCAAAAAGCATAAAAGGCTTGAATTTTAAGAAGAATTAGCCATTGATCTATTGAGCTTCCACTTTTATTTTTAATTTTTATTGATTTAACCCCTGTATCTGTAAACTTTATGGTAGTTAAACTTTTTGAAATGTTATTCTCATATATCAACTAATCAGTAATATCCAATCCAGAAATATAAACCTCTATGTCATAAGTTCTTATGAATGTTGGATCTCTATCATATAGCCAAATTTTTATTGTATTAAGTTCATATGTTTGGAGTAAATCGATATTAATAAAATAAGATGATCCAACATAACAATAACCTCCAGATACAATGTAATAAATTGCACTTCTTAAAGGACTACTATTTTTTTAACCTCCAACATATCCAACTATTCTTCCATTAGATATAATAGCTCCTGCTGATTCATGTGCCACATCTTTGTATTCACCTCTAATTACAGATTTTTAATTTAATTCATCTAACTATGTACTATTAAACTTTGCAAATGAATTCATTGCTTCTACATTTTGAAATAGATAAAATACAAAGAAATACATCAATTTCATTAATTTTTATATATTTTTATTCTTTTAAGGATATGCAAAATAATTTAGTATCTTTTATTAAAATATTAATTAATTGATTTTAATTAAAAAAGGAAAATGAATGTCCCTTTTATTCAAATCATCTATTGAACTCATTTTTAAGTTTTTAGATATAAAATTTAAGAAATTGAGTATTAACCTCAACTTAATCAACTTTTTAGATACATTATATAAGTTTAAATGAAATTAATTTCAAAAATGCATTAAATTTTCTAACTTTTATAGAAACATTTATTGTAAAAAAATTTAAAAGTCCACATACAATTTTATTATAAATTTTTATTATAAATTTTTTGTTTGTTGCGATATTTCATTTAATTCTTTATTGAAATAAATGAATATCAATTTGTCCTTATTGCTCCTGAACTTTTTTTTTGTAATGCTAGTATTTTGCTGCAAGAATTCATGTTTTTGCAAAGAATATTAAATCTAACGCTTTAGATCAAAAATTAGAGGCCAATACAAAAATGTTATATAAGAATAACGAGGAGCATTAATTTCAAATAGAAATTAAATAAGTTTTGCAGGTACTTAGCTTAATCGAAGTCCATTGAGGACTGAAATATATTTTGTGAATGGAGGAAGAGGATATACAGTTTAATATATAGGTAGGTATATGATAGTTGATTTACTCTAAAATTATGAAATAAATACTATTAAAATGTGGATGTATGATAGAGATTCATATTTGAGAACTTATGATTTAAAAGTTTATATTTAAGGCTCTGGAGGAGATAAACTATTAATTTATGAAAATACTGTAGCAACTTCAATCATAAAAATAAAATTTTAGAATTATTTTGTCAAGTAAATACTAGTTTATAATAATAATGGAAGTTCATTAAATGCTTATTTACATTTATTCAATTGTTAAGCTTATTTTTAATAATGAAATTATTGATTTTTATTTGAATAGTTAAATGTTTATAATTTTATTAAAATTTATTCAAAAGCAAATAAAATAATTTGCATTGATTACCAAATCTAGAAATGAAAATCTAAATTCATATCAAGAGCAAAAATTTTAATAAATTATCATAATATACATTAATCATTAATCTTCTTCAATTTATTGATTAACTTATTTAATTTAATTTTTTGGTGATTCTAATACATTTGGGATTTCATTTTAGTTGTTCTGTTAGTCTTAATTTCTTTCATCTTCAGGAAAAGATTATTATTTATTTTAACCATCTTAATTAATTTCATCTTCTTTTATAAAATTTTGGTTATTATTTTAATCCTCAATTTAATCTTTATAAATGTCGTCTTTTTGAATTGGATCATTTATTTCATTAATTTATTAAATAGATATTTTTGAAGATTCATCCTTATCAGAATCATCTATATGAGGTCTATCCTAATTTATTTAAACTCGGTCTTCTTCAAAATTAGAATTTGAAAGTTCTTTATTTTAATCTCTAAATATATCTATATGTAAATTACTCTTTTTATTTAGGCTGTAGATATTTTTCTGCAAATTCTTTAGCAGTCATTGTTAAAGCTGATTCTAATTCTTCAAATGCAGTTTTTTACATTTATTATGTGTTTTATAACTTTTACAATAAATCCATTTCGTATGTTTCAATTTGTTCGATCTCTAAAATTGATTATTGATAGTAATTACCTTTTTATTTTCCGTCTTTTAACTTTTGTTCATATTCTAATTTCTTTCCTAATTATTCTCGAATAGCTTCCCTTTTTTCAATTATAATTCTTTCTTTGACTCTATTTAATTCTCTTGATTCTCTCATTATTTAATTTTTTTATTTAAGAAATGATAGAGATTATTTTTGAGAACTCAATTTCCTATTTTCTAAATTTTTGGTTTATTATTTGATTATAAAAGCCTTTTATACTTTATCATTTCTATGTTTATCAATTAATAATTTATGTTCCCTTTCTTGCTATTTTCGAATTTATTATTATTGTTCTTATTTCTTCTATAATTATTCTTTTTCTTCCTCTTTCTATTATATTTATTATGATAGATTTACTTTTTTCAGTTTTTCTTCGTTTTTTTTTTTAAGATAATAAATTTCTAAAGCCTTTTTTCGAGTTTCTTCAATCTTTTTTAAGGTTCTGATTTCTTCTTGTTTCAATAATGCTACTCTATTATCAAGTAATTGTTTATGTGCTTCAATAGTTTTTCTTTCTCTCTTAGCAGTGTTATATTATTTAATTAAATTTTTATCTTCTTCAAGTTCATTGTCATTAGTAAAGAGATCATCAATATATGCTTACTATTATTTTGGAATGAAATCATACTTATTGTATACTTTTCCTCTATGAATGAATATCTGTCATTTTATAAACAAATTATTATAAATACAATAAAGTTCAAATTCAATAATTTTGAGAGTAAGGGTTGTAAGAGAATTTCAAAGATTGTATTTCCAAATATGAAACATAACACTATCTTAATAATATAGAATGTAAGTATTATTAGAATTTATTAGTATGGATTATGCAATAAATATTAGAATTATTCTAAAATTGAATCAAAGATAGGCAGATTATTTATATTTTAATTTACATATAAATATTGAAGTAAAGTATTTTGAAGATGGAATCAAATATTGTATTTGGATGAATCAATATATTTTATACATTTTGCATTTGCATACTTTTCCTTTCTTATTCCATCCAGTTCCATTACATTTTAGACATACTCCCATAGCCCACAAACAATCCTTGCATTACTTTCTTTTATATTTTTTCATATAGAAACCAGTTCCTCCACATCTGTTGTTGAAATAAATTATTACAAATAACAATTCGGTCGTATTTTGATTTAAATATTTGTTCCAGGATATCCTTATGGAATAACCATAGCATTGACAGGATATTAACCAGGATATCTGAATGTATTAATAAAATGGTTTACTGTTATGCTGGATATGGTTAAACATAATTAGGTGGAGGAACATATCCAGGTTAAGTAGGAGGATAGCCTGGAGTTGGAGGATAGCCAGGAGTTGGAGTATAACCAGGTGTAGGAGGATAACCGGGTTATGGATATCCATTTGGAGGAGGATAGCCAGGAGTTGGTGGATATGGATATCCAGTAGGTGGTGGTTAATATCCTGGTTATTAAGGATAAGGATTTTATCCATAAGCAGGAGGAGGAGGAGGAGGATATTATCCAGGAGGATAACCATATGGTGGAGGTGGAGGTGGTGTTTACATTAATAATAATAATAATACTAATAATAATAATAATAATAATAATAATAATAATAATAATAATAATAATAATAATAATAATAATAATAATTAATATTATATAGAAAAGTAGATATAAAGAAATAATATTCACTTAATTATTCTTTAAATAATGAATATCAATTTCTAACAATTATTTTACTATAATAATTAGATAACATAAACTATGCAAAGAATAGATTTATAATATACTAATTTCTGTTCATATTAAAAAGTTTTTGAAGATAGACTAAAATTTTAATAATAATAATTTGAGTTAATAGATAGATATTAAATAATTATTTAAATAGCAAAAGAAGGACTCAAAGCTTTTTTGAAAAAAAGGAAAATTTATGAATATTTGCTATAAAAAATTTAAATTATTAGAATATTATAATAAAAATGTTATAAATCATTTATTTTCTATGGGAACAGGAGAAGGCCAAAATTTATTTTTATAGGATTTACTATTCTTAATACTCTCATTTGATATTTCTGACCAATAAGTTTTAAGTTCAATTGGCCCATCACCAAGTTATCCATCAAACTAAAATACTAACCAAGTAAAGTCAATTTTATCTCTAAATGACATTGGTACTAAATTGAATTATATTTATAATTACTTGAAGGTAATCTATATTGAACAAGTGGATAATCTAATTCATATACATATATTGTTACAACAGGATTTGATTCTATCCAATCTTATACATTTACTACTTATTCATCCAAAGCCTATGTTCTCTCCATAAATCTCTTAATAAAGATTAAATAAGTAAAAGGTTGTATTTCCTCAATAGTCAGAATTTCAATATGTTGATCTTTTTCATTTTTAGTTTATAAACTCATTCCACCACAAGACTTAGATATTGATCCAGTTAAACAAACAAAGTCTTCTCCTTTGAATTAACCATATAAATCTAAATTTAAATTTTTAGATGTCCATTCTAATGTAATTTTCATTGAATGTTTTTTGACCTCCTTAACCAATCTTACATATATTTAAGTCTTAGGTTATAATTAAGTTAAATCAACAAGTGCACAAGCATTTTTATAACCTTATTTCTTGACTAATAAAGTATAAACTTATTTGGTAGCTACTCTATAAAAATTGAGCAGTCCATCTGAATTAGATTTAACTGATAAAAAGGGTGATTCTACTTGATCCATAATTTAACAAGTTGTATATACAAACTTTCCATAGAATAATTTTCCATCAGCATCTGGTATTCCTGAAAAATCCTCACTATTTTGAACATTTGCAGTTATTTATAAATAAGGTACAATTTGGCTAAATTATTTTTAAAGTTAAGGATCTATGCTTAAAACACGATTTTATTTATTTTCTTCCATTTCATAAAATTCTTATAAAACAGTAAAATCAGCTATTTCAGGTTCATCTGAACAAAATTATAAACATGACCCTATAAAATGGCTTACAGAAGCTAGAGATCCTTCTACAATGATAACATCTTATTCTGGTTTATTAGCTTTAGGAAAAGCCTTTTTAATCAATTCTTCTGTTGTTAAAATTTTAAAATCTTTTAAATTTATTTCATTATTTATAAGAAATGACCCTCCATAACCTAATATACCAAGAAGAACTCTAAAATAAAAAAAAATAATTTTACCCAGGTTTTTTAAAATCATCTTAAGGTTATAGATTAACTTTTGTTAACATTAAGTTAGTGGCTAATTCACAAATATCTATATTTGACATTTAAGATCCAAAAGGCTTTTGTGGTTTGAAAAATTTATATGATGGTGCATCAAGAACTTTCAGTTAATTTAAAATTAGAGGTTGTCTATATAAAATATTTATAAAATAATTACTCTACAACTTAATCTTATAATTACAATTATTAGGGTGAAATAGAATTGTAAACAGCAATAATTCCAAAGAATAATCCGAAAAATAGTAATAACATTAATGAATCAGTGAGCACATTTTATTCCTTATTACCAAGATCAAACTTTGATTGCATAGCTATATTAAATGCTTAAATAATGCCAATTGCCACAATTATATTAATCCAAACAGTCAAATGATACATAGGTTTATTAAGAAAATCCTTAAGTGAATCACAACAATCCAAATTAATACATGCTATTTAATCCATGTTTGATTCCCACATATAGGATTGATTTTCTTAAGAACAAGGTAAATATGGAGATTAGTTTTAATTTTTATATTTTTCTGAACATTTTAAAAATTATTTAACTGTCTAAACTCCAAGACTTTGTAATGCATATCTACAACCTTTTTGTGTAGAAATGTCATTTTATAATATTGAGTATTATCTTATCATCATTCCATTAGCTGTGGCTGCAATCATCAAAGCTGTTACTACTAAAAAGGCTACAATTAAGAAATAGTTTTAGACTCTAAAAATTAGAATAACACTTATTAAGAGTGTAGCAATTAATAAAGCAAATAATCCATATTACATAAACAAAATGATTGTGTTATTATGATCTAATGAAAATACTTGATTGTTGATTAAATAGACTAACTATTATATTAAAAGTTTATTATACAAATTTGAAATTGGTTGCTGCAAACAACAAAAATAATATGTTTAATAAAACTGTGAAAGCTAACGTGAATCTATGAATTCCGTTTTATATTTTATTAAATTATTTTGTTTTATTAATGATATAGATTAAGAACAGCAATTTGATAACTTAAAGGCTAATAAACCATAAGTTCGTTAAATGAGTTTTATATTGTATTATTGTTATAATGATTCCAAGAATGATAGCACTTGTACTTTGCAATCCAAATTATATAATATAGGTTGTATTATTTTCTTAAGGATTACCCTATTCATCAAATTCAATAGTGAATGCAAAGTATAATGTAATAAGCAAAAGGCAAATAATAATAATCTGAATATGATAATTAGTAAATTTACATCGACAATTGCTAAAATAAGAAATTCAAAATTGTTATTTTTAAAATAGCTTAAAAAAGCAAAGACAGTTGATAAAATTGATAGTGCAATTAAGATAGGAGCAAAACATTTGATAGTTGACAACTTTTTCAAAATTTTGGAATTGGGTTGTGATAGAAGTTAATCCATCAAATTAAAATAAATATTATTAAAAAGAGAATGTTTATTTGGTGAGAAAATTTGATTATATAACTGCTGAATGATAATTAATATATTTTTTGATTTTATTTTTTTTCAATTTATGAACATATTTTTACAGTTATCTAATTTAGTACTAATAGTTGTAGGATAATACTCAAGGTAAAATATTTATTTAAGAAAATCAAGTTAGTAGAAGGATGTAGGTTGTATTGAAGAAACAATTGCAGGATGTTAAAAATTATGCGTTTTAGGAGTAGAAGATTGCAGTTCTTTAATTCCTAAATGTGAATATGGTTACTTTTTATTTACATTAGGAGCTTCTGAATCAAAGCGTCCAGAATGTGTTTAATGGTAATAAAATAATAAATATCATAGCCCTTATTATCAGGTTAATATAAATTCTGACTTAGTGAATTATTGTATGGATTGTTTTGAAGATCCATATGGATGGGAATTTAGTAGGAAATGTACGTATGATTATGAAGTTGGAAATGGTAAGTTAGGGTAAGGAACTTATCAGAAAATAGAAAGAGATTATCCTGAATTATTTTTTGTTGGTAATTCAATATCATAGGGAATTTGGACAGGAATGATAGGAAGAGAAAGATAAATGAAATATGCCGTTTATATATGCACAGGCTGTAAAGACTTTTGCAAGATTCCTGATGAAAGTACATGTTATACTCTTGGTCATGATTATTAAAAAGTAGATTTTGATAAGATCGCAGTGGAATGCGTTGAAGGATACTATATGAAGATAAATACATGTGAAAGTTGTTCGATTAAATATTGCAGTAAATGCAGTAGTATTGTTGGCTCTGGTTAGACTGATAAATGTGAATTATGTTAAGATGGATATAGATTGAGTGAATAGACTAAAAGTTGTATACAATGTACAAACTATTGCAGTGTATGTTACACAGTTATCAATGGAAGCACAGAATATTAAAAATGTAGAGCTTGCAATGCTGGTTATATACCTAGTTTAGATTTAAATACTTGTGAAGGATGTGAAGCTAATTGTTTAAGATGTGAATATGTTTCAATAGCTAATGATGATATTTAATATCCAACTAGATCTTTTTTAGAAATAGGAACTGAATTTAAAGATAATTACGTTAAGATTTGTAGACAGTGTCAATAAAGCAATGATATTCTATATTATGATGGTTAATTATGTGTGCCCTCTTAAATTAGTAATTGTGATATAGGATATTATTAAATATCACTTAAAGCAACACCTACTAAAAAGAGAAATACTATAGATCTTGATTTTTAACCTTATAATAGGGAAACAGATTCAGATCCTGTTAGCATGTGTTTATATTGCAAAACCAATTTTGTTTTGTCAGAGGAAGGAACTGCTTGCTCTGCTGTAATTGATGCAAAGAAAATATTGAACTGCATTTCCCATTAGTTAATTGGTACCAATTATAAATGTATTAAATGTTCATCAGTATTAATTTAAGTTAATTTTATAGGGATATTCTTTAGATACTTAATAAGGAATGTGTTTCTTAGGATGCAGTGATTAAATAGATAATTGTTCATATTGTATTTCATATGATAGTCCATCCGATGATATTGTCACTTACTATGATGCAACTGGAACGTAGAAAACAGGAGATACTTAAAAAGTTTATTCTTGTTTGGTTTGTGATGAAGGTTTCTATGCTGATTTCTTTACTAATGCTTGTTTACCTTGTCAATCATATTGTTCTTCATGTTCACAATACAATTAAGATTATAATTTTACTAGTTTCATTTTATAGAGAATTGTTATGGATGCATTCAAAAAATCAAAATATTTAACCACTAGTCTAGAAGAACCATTCTGTTCATCATGTACTACAGGATTTTCAAAGTATGAGAATAAATGTGTTGGATGCACTAAAAATTGTGTCATTTCAAATCCAAGTTAAGTGGCAAATAATCCATTAACTTCATTGTTGAATGCTTGTGAATATCAAAGTGATGGAGCTTATTGTGGATAATGTTTCAATTATTAAAGAGATAGATCTTTAAATTCAGAATTATCAGAATGTTAAACATGTCCATATTTATGTAATGCTTGCAGAGATAGAACTGAAGATGAACTCAATAGAGTCAATTATTATTTTTCACCCTCCAATTCTATTTTGTAAAAATACAGCAGATTGTGTTATGTATATCATTAACATGTAGCATTAAATAAATAAGTTACATATGATACATACTTAAATATGCCAGTTCAATGTGACTATGTTTCAGGTAAAAGTAAAAAGTGTGTCTAAAATGCCCAAATTGACATTAAATTATATTGTAGCAATTCTGAATACACAACAGCTTATGCATAGGCATCCAGTGCAGATAAACCATATATCTTTAGTTTAAGTTATTTCTACTCTATGTCTGCATCATCAATTTATCCTACTAATATTACCTTGCATGGCATTGAAACTTTGACTCTCTATAAATAACTTAATGAAAAAGTTATCACTTCTCTTATTTTAAATATCTATTTAATTAGCTAATCTAAACAATGCAATTTTGATTCAAGTACTAATTTCATTTTTGAATTATAAAAGAATGTTTTTTCAATTAGATACTTCTATGTCAATATCATTGGAGAAACAGATTCTACTAAGTCTCCTCTAACTATTATGTTAGATGGATTGATAAGTATTCCATGGTCTGACTATCTGACTATTAAAGGTATTGAAATTAAAGCTTCAACTCCTAATAGTACATATCCTTATACTGGTTTAAATATTTCTTAAAATGTTAAAACTAAGTTGAGTTTAGAAAACTTTAAACTTACTAGAGATAAAAAGTATGTAAATTTGGTATTTTTTGCTGAAAACATTGATATGATTAATTGGAAAAAAGTAACTTTCACTGGCTTGTCGTCAACTGATCTCTTTTCACTAACTTATCCTTTACAAAACATAGATACAGTTAATTATATATTTGATGATGTGAAATTTGATTCATGTGATTTTGAAGATACTGTTCTATTTTCACCAACTTCCAATTCTAAAGTTCGATCAATCATTTAGAGTATTGGAACTTTAGGAATGACTTTTCATAAATGCAAATTAACGAATACAGTAATTTTTGGGGAACCAGAAGGCTCGCCTGTAAATAGTGGGTTAATAGATTTTGGAAAAGTAGTTTTTAAGTTCACTAAATTCACAAATAGTTGGTTCATATATTTAAAATCTTAAAACAAGACAATAATAAATAACATTGATGTAATTAGATGTAATTTTACTGAAGGTTCAAAACTTGTTTAATCAAATTCATTTTATTTAAGAAACATTTATTCATTGAACAGTACATTTTATACAGAAAGTCGCTTATTTTCTAATAGTTATAAAGTAATAGATGAATTATATGCATCTTTAGCATTATAATATTATTCATTTAGTAATGTAAAATTAATAAATTCAATCTGCTTAACACCTATATGTTTTATTAAGATTTCAACGCCTATAAATAATTATTAATATTTTACGAATGTATCTTTGTAGGATTTCTATATTGAATAAACAAATTCAATGAAATTGACTGAAAAAAAATCAAATTCTATATTGTCTGCATTAATATTGATGACAACAGTTTAAAAGATATAAATTTCAAATTTTTAATCTTTGAATAATTTTGGTATTACTCAAATTGCAGCATATAAAATTTAATCCTTACGATTAGTCGATGGTTTATATGATTGGAGTTAAGATCAATATTATGCATTTAGATTGAATCCAACAAATAATAGGATTCCAACAAGCAAAGATTGTGCTGATAGAAAAACTGAATTTAAAAGTTATAATGAACATTTCCTATATATAGCAGATTTCGATATAGGAGTAATGATTGAAAATGTAATAATGAGAAGATTGTTATCAATAGACACAAATTTTATATAAATATAATCTTGGGATGCTGAATAATTTAATACTACTAGTGATGTACCAATATAAGATGATGGTTAATTTTATGATGAAACTACTAGAGAATTGATAATATTAAAAAATATTAAATTAATAGGAAACTCTTTGACAATAACAGAATCTGGAACAGCAATAGGATCAATTTATATTGAATCTGGACAGGATTAAGATATAACAATAGAGGATTGTGAATTTGGGTAGAATCATTTACATTCTTTAATTAGTGATCAATTATCTCCTTCTTCTCCAATATTTGTAATTCATGCTCCTTTATCATTTCTTGAAATAAAGAATAGTATTTTTGATAATAATCGAGCGACCAGAGTACATAATAGTATCATTTATGTGATTACTTACTCTATCAAGATTATCAATTGTAAATTTAAAAATACAAATATCAGATAAAAAGAGTGGGTTTATAGATTAGAAGAATAATAAATAGTTAATTACACATCCACTGAATCAGAAGAGAATGATATCATAACAATACTTGAATAGTTCTTTCCAATATACAGTATAGGAGGAAATATGTTCATAAAATCAGCAAATACTGAAATTGAGAATTCTATATTTGATAAAGCCTAAGCCATATAAGGTGCAGGTCTAATAATTTAAACTATCGATGCTGGTAATATAACTATAATAAATACTTAATTCATAAGATAATATAATAGTTTACTTAATCAATATTCTTCTAATGGAGGTTGTTTATATATTGATTCATCTAACTCTAAATTAAGTCTTATAATTGATAGAGTTGAAATGCAAGAATGTGTGACAAGATTAGATGGAGGATGTTTATATATAAATCCTTCCACTTATTAATCATCTGTTGATATAAGCAATTCAAAATTTATAAGTTGTTTAGGTCTTAAAACATCAGGTATATATATGCCATTCTCAACTTCATCTCCATCATTGCCAAGTGTTAGTATTACTAAATCATCCTTTTCTTAAAATAACATTGGAAATTTCATTAGAAATATACCTGATATAACGAATATTGATACTCAATTTCTATATACTAAATCAACTATTTTATATTAGAGTTATGGCCATTTTACTCTTACATCATCTATCTTTAAGGAAATCAATTTTGTTGCTATCTTAATTTTAGATGAAATGGTTGAAGTTGAAATCAATGATGTGACAATCTCTAAAAATACAATTTTTATAAATAGTATTATTTCTATTACTTTATATGACGTTTCAGGAGTTATAACTTTAACTTCTACTAAAATTTTAGATCATATCTAATTTGATTCTACAACCAACACTAACTGCAAAGAAAAAAATTATTATGTTAAATATGTTACTGAAAATGTATTATATGAACAAACATGTTTGGATGTAGAAACATTAGATTCAAGTTTTAGATCTGAAGGTTTACCTAATATTTTATATCAGAAAAGTACTGATACAAATTCAATGTATTTTGCAGATTTAGATACTTTTTATAATTCACTAACTGATGCTTTAAAATATTAAGTTGATAGACCAGATTCAAATTTAGATGTTTCTCATTCCTTATAAGATAATATTAATTTAAATTTAATATTTCGAATTTTTACAACTTTTTCAGATGAAGAAAATTTAGAATTTTTAGCTTGCTTCTTAGGAGAAATTTTAGAAAATTATTATGATTAAAATTCTGAAATAACGACTAGTCTATTTAAATTAGAATCAGTTACAAAGGACTAATATTTAACTATAGAATAAGTTACAATCGAAAATAATAAATGTTTGAGATGTGAAAATGGTTTAATATAAATTTTAACAATTCATTAGGAAACCTATCCTGTGATTGAAATAAAAGACTTTCGATGTCTTTCTAATTCGGCTGGTTATTATGGATGTTTAGTATTAACATATGATAATGAGATAAATGAAGTTGAATAATCAATTCCATTAACTGATTATTCATTATCTAATTCCAAAAGACTTCTTACAGTAGTAGAAGATTTGCTTAAATTAAAAAATGTTATTATCATTTCGTAATCCTCATTTATTGGAAACTCTGCCAAAGTTGGAGGAGGACTTTCAATTATTGGTTTAGATGCTTTGATAATTCATTCTGAATTTATTGATAATTATGCCAGTTTAATGGGAGGAGCACTTTATTATAAAAGTACTACTTATAAAACTACTAGTACTGCTTTAAATATAGCTGATAATACAATAGAAGGAAATATAGCTTAATTAGCTGGAGGTATGTTTATTTCAGGAGGATCTATTGGTAATGTTACTTCTATTGAAATCTTCTTTTAAAATAATGATGGACTATTAAGAGGAGATAATCTTGAAGAATATCCTTAGAGTTTAACCTTGTCTATGAGAACTAATTAATTTCTAAAAACTATCACTTTTTAAGATTATGATGGTGATGTTAATAATGATGGATTTATTGATAGTTCTAAAAGCACTATTATTGATATCATCTCATTAGATTCATATCAATTATTTAATTATAAAGAATCTACAACTTTTTTACTATTACCATCAGGTTAAGCTATTAATTCTTATAAATATTACTATATTGACACTGATGAACAAGTACCTTATGAATGGTAATTCAAATTAATCAATCTGGATAGATATAAATAACCTATGTCAAACATACTCTAAACTGAATCCTGTACTTTATCAGCGAGAATTATGGATACTAATAATTATAATACCTCCAAAGAATTTTTATCCAACTTTACAAACAAATAAATTGTCTATTATGATTAAAGAGCTGGAGCTTTTGATTTTGATTCTTTAATTGTTACTTTTGACCCTTATTTAGAGGATAATTTATTCCTGCAATTAAGATGTAAATATATTTATTTTCATATTTTTAGTTGTTTGTACATCAATAAAAATTCCAGTTTACTAAACCATATCTCCATATAAGATTTAATCATATAATTAAAATTATGCACTTTATGTAAATGTTAAAACATTGCCATGCTAGTTGGGAGAAGCTTATTCTTTGTAATAATGTAAAGCTTGTACAAAAGCTGACAAAACATACTCTGTTAATGAAAAATAAACCTAATGTTAAGCAATAGATTCTTCTACAATGGATGATGTAAGTCCAGTAGGCATTAAATTAAAAGAAGGATATTGGAGACCAGAATTTGATAGTGAAATAATAACGTATTGTTTGAATCTACCTGAAAATTGTAATGGAGGTTGGAAACCTGGAAATCCTTCATGTTATACTGGTCATATGGGAGCCCTATGTGAATCATGTGATATATATGGAGTAAGAGATGAATTTTATTCTACTTCTGCTAAATATAAATGTGGTCCATGTGCTAATACTTTAGCTGTTAATGCTATAGTAATAACAGCATTATCTTTTGTAACTCTTTTTTCAATGATCTTATCTGTGAAAGGAAATTATTAGATGCTTGAAGATTTTGTGAGAATTTAAAATAAAAAAGCAATGGGTATTATTGTATCTTCGTCAGAAAGTAATCTAGCAATTCTAATTAAATTATTTACTAACTATTTTTAAATACTTTCAGCAATATCTACCTTTTAAATTAATTTAAGTGGAGGTATCACAAATGCTACTTAAGTTTTGGGTAATCCAACTTAATCGATGGCTTACTCTTTAGATTGTTTTTTAGTTACAATGACTAATGTTGAAATACTGTATTTTAGATTGATTTGGGCTATAATAATGCCTATTATTTATTTATCTGTGTTTCTTTTTGGATACTTTTTAGCTGTATTACTTAAAAAAGTCGATTTTAAAGAAGGTATTATATATACTGCTTTTATTTATATGTTTTTATATCTCTAGCCAAATTTAGTTGGAGGTTTTATTGCATTAGCTTCTTCTAGAGAAATTGGAGGACTTGGATGGGTTCAAGCAGATGTTTTATATTAATATGATACTGATACTCATTATATCTGGTTAGCTGGATTTGTTGCTCCTATGCTTATTTGTTGGGCATTTATATTTCCTTGTATTTTTATGTTTTTAGTATATCAAATGAGAAATCATTTAGATAAGGTTGAAAATAGAAAAAAGTTAGGTTATTTTTATAATGAATATACAAATGAAGGATATCTATGGGAATTTGTTAAAATTTTTGAAAAAGAATTAATTATTATATTCTTAACATTTTATGAAGATAGAGTTGTTGTTAAAGGTTTAATCATCTTTTTAATTGTATTCTTTTATGGAGGATTTACAGTTAGATTTCATCCATATTCAAGCAAAAGACTTAATTTTATTGATAGATTATCTACAGCTATCTGTGCAGCTTCTTTATGTTTAGGTGTTTTAATCTATTCATCAATTAAAGAAGGACTTATTTACTTAGAAATAATTATGCTTATAATTGTAGCTCTTATTAATTTTGCATTCATTCTTCTTATGATTTATTATCTATTCGAAGGATATCTAATCAAGTTTTAGCCTTAACTTGATAAAATAAGAGATCAATTAAGAATACATCATCCAGAAATCATGGAAAAGTACCCATGGAGTAGAAAAATGCTTTTTAACTAAGCAAAAATGAATGAGAAAGTTAAAAAGTTATGGGCTACTCTAAGATATTAAACTAGAAAGGGAATTAAAAGAAGAAGGTAAGATCCATAAGCACCTTTATTCGTTAATGAAAATATTGATCAACCAATTTTATTGCCTTTCTCTAACCTTGAGAAAACATAATAATGTAATTATTTATAATATCTAATTAGAAAAAACTAATAATTATTAAGAATCACCCAATTTTTAAAAGATATTCCCTGAATAAGATGGTCTAGAATCAGAACAAATCAATTTAAACTAAAGAAATTAAGAGCTATGATTATTAATTAATATAATTATCAATTTGATTATTTTATATATTAAATATTGTAATGGTTTGTTTTAACTTCTATTCCAACAAAGTTAAAACTAATAAAATTATCATCATTCTAATCTAATAATCTATAAAAAATAAATTAATGCAAATATAATTAACAAACCACTACATACTAAATCCCTAATATCATTTGTATTCAGGCAAAATCAATAATAAAAGAATTAACAAAAATTTGATATCTTAAGAAATAAATTTTAAAATTAGTTAATATTAGTTCTTTTTAAATAATTTACATTAAAAATAATAATCAATCTAATAGTTTTTTCTATGATATCGTAATTTAATCAGCCAAAATTTCTTTTGGAACCATACTTAAACTTAATTTTAAATATATGAATCTCATACAAGTGAGATTAATTAACCATGCAAAAAAAATTCCTAAAACTATAAGTAATCCTAAACCAATTAAACAAAAATATAGGGTAATTTTATATTGGTTTTAGCTCATCGATTCCTCATTTGCTGATAATATTATATCTAAAAACTTTTCAGTACATTATGTAGTGGAGCTAAAATGTTAAATTAAAATATTATTAAATTCAGATGTCAAATATAATCTATTAAGTTAATCAAAGTCTGTAACATAATTGATACTAGCTATCTCATAATCGTAATTTGTTTTCATAAATTAACTAGCACTATTAATAATTCCAATAATTCCATTTCTTAAATAAATTTAATTATTATCTATTTGATAAAATTTTTAATATTTTTCAGTAAATTTTTTATCCCCTAGTTATTCTAATTAACAAAAAGGGATTTAGTTAGAAATAACTTTGCAAATGTTATTTTAATATAGGTCTAACAATATTTTCCTATTAGAATCATCAATTTTATTTGTAAATAAAATTCCTTCATAGATTTATGTTAAATTATCATCAAAAGTTTCATAAACATTAAGAAACATATAGAATAATTATTTGAATGGGTCTCTATATTAATTCATCTAATTTTGAGTATAAATTTAATTAGATACTATACCTGGGTAAACCTAAGGTTATGTTTTAATAACGATAGCTGTTGTTATTAGTGTATCAAAGTAACTTGAAAATCTTATAAAATTTAATGCTAATTATTGTTAAGGTTAATAATTTTGAATTAAAAAAATATAATAATAATAACCTCCAAATAAAAAGCTCATTAATGTAGATAAAATGATCAAATAATAAAAAAGATATTTTTTATTTGAAGATGAACTTTTTTTTATTCTTGCATTTAACATACCAATTGTTTTATTTTGATTTTATTTAGATTTGGTGTTTTGAACTATAATTTTTTCTCTTTTACATATATTCTTTCTATATATTTAAGTGAAATTTTAGTTTTTCCAATATGATTTTTAATTATTCGACTATTACAATATTTATTTATAAATTTGATGTTGAAGAATCAAATTATTTGCTTTTGACTCTGAAAATTTGCCAATAATTTTTAAAATTTAGCATTTCTGTTATTCAATTTTTTTCCAGAAAAACAATTAGATAATCTAAAATACAAATAAAATTCAAATTTCAATGATTGTAACTATTAAAAATTATTAATATTAATTTTGTATTTGATTGTAGTTCATTTAATCTAAAGATCCTATTAGTTCTTTATTCATATCAAATACATATTTGAGATTATACCTCAAAGTAACGATAGAGTTAACAAAATCTAAATCTAATGTTTTTTATATATTTTCTTTAATGATTGATTGAAATTAAAAAAGATACTATAAAGCATTCTAAATAAAAGTTATAAATTCAGTATACGAAACTGTTTATCTTTCAATTCCTAATAATTTCAAACTAATATTAGGTAATAATCCCATATTTTCTATTTCCAAGAAATTAGGGTACATTTTACTTAAATTACTAAAAGTCTCTTTTTCCATATTTTTAAGATAATAAAATGTTTAATTAATCAAGAAATCGCTTTAACTAATGATTTTTAATCCGTTCATCAGTAGAGTCCAAGATAAAGCATAACTTTAAAAAAAGTATCTATTGAACAGAAGTGGGGCATTTAAAGAATAATTACTATTAATTTATTCAGATATTTAGAGTCGAATAATTAGTATATTGAATAAGATTACTGCACTTATGATGATAAGTGATATAATTGTTAAAATAAGAATGATTTTGAGAGTATTATTCATCTTAGAAGAATATTAAATAAATCTTAAAAAATTAAGATTTTGCATTCTTAGAATACTTGAAGATTAGCTTGATTAAGTTTGATTTTCTTTTCTATTCAAGAAACTCATATCATTTTATTAAGATAATAAATTTTTATTTCTGAATTATTAATCATTATCACTGAAAGATTTAGAAAAGTTTTATTTTTTAAATCCAAAGAGATTATTACCCTCCTTATTATAATGTTAAAATCCCTATTATAAAGGGGATTAAGATTGATTTTAAGAAAGATAATGTTTATTATTTTGATTTTCTCCAAAAAATTAATTTATATCTTAGCTTATAAATTTGTTATTTTTAAGAAGATGAGGGGAATTACCTTTTTTTCTAAAATCTAAAATTTCTATTATAAAATATGATCTTGATTAAGGCTTTTTTCCAATAGTTCGATATTGCAAAGATATTTTAGTTAAATATTAAACTGATTAGAATTGCTTAAATAATATAAAAAGAATATACATTATATTATTGCATAAAGTCTAAAACTTAAGTTCGAAAAGTAGGACATAATAATTAGATGTCATCAGATAATTTGAAACTTTTATTGATAAAATATCTTCCTGTTGATAAATTTTCTTTTTATTACTTTTTTGTTGTATAAGTCTTTGAATTTGATAAATTTGCCGTTTTTTACACTATTTTTCCAAATTAAGATGCCATGGAATTTTGAGGTATCGTTTTATTATCAATAAAAAATTAAATTATTTTTGATAAGTTTTCAAAAATTGTAATTACTGTCATCAATTCTACTTAAAGAAATTCAGATTAATTAATATTATCTTTTTATGATTCCAAAATAGAAAAAATATTTGTAAAAAATAAAAATATATAAGCTTAATTAATTGTTTGAGCACTCAATTCTTCTTAAAAGGATTATTAAATAATATCTGTATAAAATCCTTAAGTAACTGAAAGAATTTTACCATTTTCATCAAATAAAATAAATTCTGATGTTTCTTTCACTTTAGATAAACATCCAGTAACAACATAATCATCAAAAAAATCAAAATTATTTTCTAATTTTAATTATTATGCTTAAATAAATTCATTTTTTTGTTTACTAAAAACAATTTAATATTAATTAAATAGTGGGGATTAGGCTGTTTCTAAATAAGATTATAAAAATTATTCATGTAATTCAGAAATAAATTAAGGAATGAATAAATTAATATGATTAATACTTTCTAATTCATTAATATCTAATCCAAAGTAATTGGCTATTTATTGTTTTTTATTATTTTTAATAAATCCTCTATTTTGGACCATACTAACCATAATTAAACATAAATTATCTTAAATAATATCAATATTACGAATCAGATCATTTGGAAGTGAGTTCTCCATTAATAATATTTCAGAAATTTATTATTCACACTAGAGAGATATTTAATAATTATTTAATATTATTAGATTAAATATTGATGCAATCCTTAATTCAATAACATTTCTAGATTTTGATATTTAATTTTAATTCATTAAATTTATTTACAATTTTTATTACAACGAATCTTAACAAATTACAATTTTACTTGAATAATTAATTATTAATTATTCTAAATCATCAATTGTTTCTAAACCATTTATCTATTTATTCCAAATATCCATTTTTAAATCTATCAACTCTATTATTTTAGGTAAGATTAAATCTTCAATTTAATAAGTTTATATAAAGGTTTTTACTTAAAGATAATTTTCTTCATATTTGATACTATTTGTTTTTCCCAAAATACTATTTCTATTCTATATAATTTCTTCTAACTCTGCATAAATGAATTTTATTGTTCCTCTTAAGTACTGAGAAATTTTCTCTTTTTTTAGGGTAAATTATTTAAATTCAATATAAGCTGTAAGGGGTTATTTCTTAATTTTATTTTAAAAGTCCATATTATAGATTTATAGTAACTCTTAATATGAATTTAAAGTGTTTTTTGACCTAAACAATCCATTTTTAAGCAAACAATCAAGAAAATAAAAGATCATTGATTTAGATAATAGTTTTTCATCTTTAAAAGCTTTTTTAAAACAACTAATACATTTTTATTTATGGTATTGAGTAAATAGAACATAAAACAAAATATTTAAAGAAATCCTTTTGCTTTGAGTAAATGTTGTTGAGATATGAAAAAGCCATTCAACACATGTGATTGTATATTGGGTTTAATTACCTTATAATAATCTCTTGATAAATATTTTATTGTGAAATAAATTACAAATAGAGGAGAGCAGTGTTGCTGTAATCAATTAAATTACTAATAATTATTCTTCATGAATTTGAGTATTTTATGAAATCACATTTGTTGATATTATCAATAAGCAACTAATGCATGTAGTTACACTAATCATTACAAATTTTAGTATTTAAGGGTGCATAGTTTCAAAAAAAACTGCTTCAAAAATTAATGTAAGAAAAAAAAAGTGCATTAACAACAATTGATTTGTATTTATGAATAAATTTCTATTTTGAAAGTGTAAAAATATAATTGCTATTGTAAAAAACTATCTCAGTAATCCTAACGAACAAAATTTTTAAACTAATACACTTTCCTTTTCTAATCTTTATTTTCTTATAAAATAAATACTAAAAAGGCAAAGGAAGATTAAAACTAATGAGGATAATATAATAATAGAAATTATTACATTATATTAAAAGTTTGAATATAATAAAGCTCTTTAAGTAAAGGATAAAGATCCTATAAATATATACAATTAAGGGATAAAAAATAAATTAGGGATAAATAGTAAATACCAATATGTAATTGTCAACATAAGAGAAAGTTTATTCTTAAATTTTGCAATAATAAATATTGCCAACAATATGAAAATGTTTATTATAGAGAATAGTATTATCAACACATATATCAATACTGAGGATTTTATTTCAATGATATAAGGAAAAATTAAAATCATGTTTAATAAGTTTTTTGTCATTCTTAAAGCACCATCTTTATAAGTCCAAAGATTCCATCCATCTATTGGAAATGCTAATGTTAATATTTAACAATAATATATTAACAATACTATTTTTTAAATCTTTTAGCTCAAACTAAACTTAGGCTGATACATTGAAACTAAAAAAAATCCCTATAACATTATTTATAATATAAAAATATAATAATATCTAAAAAAAAACCTATAATTCTTAAATAATGCTGACAATCTGTAGGAAACTACATATACAACTATTTTGTTTCAATTTAATGTTTTCAACATATTAGAAAAAGTTTTTATGAGATTTTTAGTTCCATATTAGCATTTTCTTATAATTTAATTATTTCAAAATAATACTTCTTAATTAGTAAGTTGTTTAGATGCATTAATTATTAAAAATTGAATAGTCATTAAGATTATGGGTTTTGATTTTGGTAATCAATCAATCTATTTGAATAAATAATTTATTTATTTTTAATTTAATAACCCAGCATATTTTAAATAAAATTATTAAAAATTTAATGTATTTAAGATGATTTTTGTAAATAATTTGTTATGGATTTTATATAATTAATTTACCAATCATCAAATTAAATTTTAAATTAATATTCTTATTTCATTATCCCAGAATCAAATTCTAAGTTTCAACCTCTATTTAAATCTATCAATTTACATTTTATCTTTTAAGCAAATATTTATTCCAATTTTTGTAAATAGATTTACTTATTCTGTCAAATTAATTTAATATTAGTCTATATATTCCTATTTATAAATTTAAGCGAAACCTATGTTAACTTTTTTTAAATGAAAAATTTATAAATGATATAGAATTAATTTTCATATACATAGTTCTTCTATAGCTCTGTATCCTTGTTATATAATCCATAATTCATGAGGTACTAAATCAAAAAAGCATTCTCTGGCCTCATGGCTAAAATATAAAAAATAATACTTTAAAACTACTCTCTATGATTTCTCTTGTAATAATTTGTAACTCACCCAAAGTGCTAAGATAAATTTAAAATTACTTTAAGGATCATGTGTTGTTTTTTATTTATTTTTAAGTAAATTAATTTATTCTGTTAATAGGTTAAAAGTAAATTTAACTTTTGGAAACTTTTCAGCCTTTAAATATCTAAATTTAATAAAATTTTTTTGTTCTTCCCATTCTTGTAATAAAGTTTCAAATCCTTTACTATACTAATTAATTTATTCTTTAGAAAATAAATTAAGTTCAATAGCCATTTCTGCAAATCTAGGTAGAGTTATCATTTTATTTTTCGATAATTCTTCTATGTAGTCAGCATAACTAATAAATTATTCCAATACTAAATTTTTGTCATAAATGTTATGATGGATAGCTTTGTATAAATTTTTAAACTAAATTGATATAATAATTATACTTCTGAGAATTCAATAAGGTTATTTCCATCTAAATCAGCAGCTTGAAATATTAATTTTAAACTATCTTCACATTGTCTTTTTTTCTAAAAATATAGATTCATAACTTAGATCATAACATTTTCGAATATAATATCTAATGAATTATAAACAATTTACATTTATTATTATTTTACTTTAATTATTGTAAAAGTTAAGATATATAGGTTTAACCAAGTAACTATTATAGAAAATCATTGCAATATTCAGTAAGTTATTCATATGTTAGATTTATTTCAGGTTTATTTAATTGTATTTCTCTAAATAATTAAGATACTTACTTATTATGAAAATATTTTATTGATTCTACAATTAATTTATAAACAGCTTCATCCATTTCATCATCCATATAACACAACCTTGAAATCAAACGCAATTTAGGATATTAGTTTTTCTTATTAAAAAGAAATTAGAGTAACTAAAGATTTATGCTAAAAATTACTTATTTAATTTTCTTTTCAGCAACATTTTTAAATCCATATTTTTTCAAGAAGAAATCATAAATACTAACATGCAATGGAATTTTATATCCTTCTTAATTTTTAGCTGTATCAGATATGATAGTATTAAAAATTTTAATAATTGATGAAATTGGTATTATTGAATCTTTTTATTTTTTGAGTTTGATATTCATAACTTCATGTAATAATGAATTAGCTGCATCTGTATTTTGACTATAAACTCTTTTGACTCTTCTTTCTTTTTTTAAATCAGATAACAATGATAATTTGATTGCCACTGGTTTTGTAAATCTCCTTTTTTAGATATTGGCAGTACCATATTATTATACTAAATTTCTTATCTTTTCAATTTTTTTTATATCCTCTTCTTTTGTTTTTTCAGATAAATCATCACTAGAAACTAATGATAAATTTTCACTATCATTAACTTCACTAGATTAATCAAGAGTATTTATAGTATGATTAGACCTTAATTACACTTATTTTACAACTTTAGAATGTTTTCTTTTTAATTATTATTATTTTGGTTCTTCATCCAAGTCTTTGATTGCTGATAAACTCTTTATTTATAAAGATTTTCTATTAGGTAAGCTTTTTTTAGGCTATAAATTTTTTTATATTTAATTTTATGATTCCAATTCTTCTATGCTTTGCTTACTTTAACTGCTTCGACTATTTTTTCTGCTTACACTTGTATTTAAGATGTTATTATTTTGAGAATTCTTCATATTTAATTCTTCTGGTTTATTTTTTTCTAAATTTTCAGTCTCAAAGTTCTAAATTATATTTTCACTATTCTAATTATCATTTATCACATCCTATATATCTTGATTAATTTAATTATCTTCTTAAACTTAAATATTCTTATTGTCTTCAATCTATAAATCAATTATATTTTGACTTATGTTATTTGAATTATCTTAATCAATATTAGGATCACATTTTCTTTTATTACTTTATTTTTGAATATTTTATTTAATTGAATCTTCTTCGCTTTTTTCATCACTTTCAATTATATCTTCTTATAAAGCATCCTATTAATTTAATACTAAAGAATTTCTAAATGAAGGGGTCTTTACTCCAGGTGAACTCACTAAAACTTGTGGAAAATCTTATTTAGGAAGACTACTTTCACTTTACACTTTAAATATATACATATTAATTTACTTGAATTAAAGCGATTTTATAAATAAGTTTGGCTTTTCTTAAGTTTTTTTATTTTTTATTTTTTTCTTTTTAGTAACTCAATAAATTCTTAAGTTGCTTCTTACAAAGTTTACTCATAATATTTTGCATTAACCTTTTATTCTTGTAATTCTAACATTTACTCAATAAATTTCTTTTTTATCTCTACATTTGATTCTGAGTAATTATTATTACAGAATTATAACAATTTGATTAATTAATCTTTATAATTTTAAATAACTACATTTTTCGAAATCTAACTAAAATTTCATAAGAAATATTACATATTTGTATATAAATCAGTTTATCTTTGATTAAATAATTCCTCAATATGATCAAATAAAAATGAAAAAGATTAATCTGTTTAAACATCCTCTAAGATAATAAAAATATCATACTATCTTCAGTATTAATCGGAAGTAATGCTTTTGATTGTAATTTTAACATATTTTAGTATTAAAATGTGGAATTCAATTATTCGATATCCGTTTTTGATAATCCTTACTTAAAATATTCTTCATCTTCTCTTAATTATTCAACTTTTTCAATTTATATAGAAGTTTGCTTTTTTAATTTAGAAAACATTGTATTTTTCATTGATAATAAATGTGCTACAACTGATTGACCTTCTTGAATTCCTATTTTTATTTTTTATGTAGTTTGATTTTATTAAGAAGAATGATTTTCTATTTATAATTTTGTTTGAATTAATTCATTATATACTTTATTATGATTATCAGTCATCTCATCTAATTAAGAGCCTAATAATTTAATTTCGTTTGTTAATTGAAGATTTTTTTTTGCTAAATATATATTTTTATCGTTTAACTCTAACTTTTCTAATTCTAATTAATCTATTTTTTATTTTAATTAATAAACTTCTTATTGTAATTGTTAAACAAATGTTTATTGAGTTCTTTAAATTCTAGATACAGTTTCAATTGATTAATTTTCCATTTCTTCAAAATTCATTGCAACATTTGAAATAAGCATTTCTATAAAAGATACAAATGAATTCCAAATAATTAATAATAAAGTTCCTCTTTCTTTACATTCATATGATATTTATCTAGCCAATTCATGCATGCAAGTTTAATATACTAATTACAATTAATTAGTTAAATCAGTTATCAATCTCAAATTGTCAGTGTTCAAAGTTTAAATCATTTTATCAAACCATAATAATAGATCAACAGCTTATTGTCTATTTGGAGGACATTTTGTATCAAAGATAGTTTTACACTCCTGTTATAAAATTGATTAAAGGTAGTATTTAAATTAATGTATCTTAATATTTTAGAGTAAAGGAGAAAAGTCAATTGTTTTCTCATGCATTTTTAATTCTGATGGACTGTCAATAAATGTTCCTTTAACATTTTCTTTAATTATTGACGTATATATGTTAGTTTTATTTGCTTAACTATGCTAAGTATATAACCGATAAATTTTACGAATTCGTATAATTATGGATCCCTAGCAATACTGCTTAAGGGTATTTTTGGAGATGAGATAGAAGACTATTTGTAAGGAGCATTTCGAAAATTTAGATAGGAAACATCAGAGTAAGTTTTGAGTCTATCAGTTTGAGATAATTATATGTTAGATCTGCTCTAAATTGTTGTTCGAAATGTTGATATTTCTTATAAGGAATCTTTTATTGTTAAATTCATTGCAATTGATTTCTTTTTTGCTTTCGTTTAAGGTCTCTTTGGAGATTATAAATGAGGAAGTTTTTATGTATTCATAATTAAGTATAATATTTATTAAATTACTGAAATCTATTGAGAACAAATATTTATATATAAGTATTATTATTCCAATTATTATAAATCAGACTTTATTAGAGACTCAACCATATTTGTATTTATTATGAAAAATATTATTCAAAAATATTGTAAAAATAAATATAATTATTAAACTTTAAGTAATTAATTCCATATGTGTGATAATCATCTCACTTTATTTATTATTGAATTTGCTTTCCTCAATATTTAATTTATAATTCTCTTTTAAATATATGTTCCAACAAAAATTATTTTTTTATATTTTCATTTGCACAACCCCTGAATATAAATAATGAATAGATTTTATGATTTTATTGTGAACTAGCTTAAGATGCCTAGAATTTATAAATTATTATTAATTATATATATAAATTTTTATATAGCAATTAATTAAGAGATTATAGCCAAAATTTTAAATTAATAATATTATTTTTCTAAATATTTCACATAAATACATGTTATATAATTAAATATTATATAAAATCAATGCTACTTATATGAGAAACACACAAATACAAATTGTTTTTAGAATATTTAATCATCTAAACTTAAATCAATTAGGTTTAACATCTTCAAAATTTATCACTTTTTATAAATAAAAATATTAGCAAGATGTTTAAATATAAGATTTTATTTTGCAATGGAATTAAATTTTAAAATTAAAAATATTTTATGAACATTTCCCCCTAAAATCAGAAAGCTGATAAAAGGTTTTAATTTTTTTATGTAATGATGTTGAATAAATAAAGATAATAAATATTTAAGGATTTTTTAAATTAATGAAAGAATGATAATAATGGAATGATATATATGTAATTGTTAAAAATGGAAAACTTAATTTTAATGTTAAAGATTAATTGTATATCCATTTATAAATTAATGTTAAAAATTAAAGCAATATTTTAAATAAAAATAATATGGGAAAAGGGAAAAAGTAATCAAGATCAAGGACCCCAAAAAAGAAGAATAGATCTAAATCAAAAGAAAAACAAAGATCTAGATCAAAAGAGAGAAAATAATCAAAATCGAAAGAAAGAGATAGAAAGAAAGCAGAGACAGGAATGGGAAGATCAACTGGTTGGGGAGTAGCATCACAACCAAAAACTGGGAATACAGATGATTTTTTGAGAGATATGTACAATAATCCGAAAACATCTGCAACACCACAAAGTAGAAGATATATAAATTTTTAGCTGCTCAAGCTTTAATTGTTCCATAGTCTCACACAATGTAAACATAGATGCAATATACATTTGTAAGTGTAATTACTTATTAAAGGTACCTGGTATGAATCCTACAATATTAAAAATGCTTAATGACCCAACAAAAGTAAGAAGAAAGATTAAGATTCCTCCTGATTTGTCCTTTAATTATATAGGTTTAATAATTGGACCAAAAGGTGTGAGTTAAAAAAAATTGGAAGAAGAGACAGGTGCGAAAATATTGGTTAGAGGCAGAGGGTCTTAAAAGCCTGAATAACCACCTTAACCTGATGATGATGAAGATTTACATGTTTTGGTAGTAGCAGAGACTCCCTAATAAGCAGCAAATGCATGTGATAGAATAGAAAGAATATTATTAGCTGATGCTGATGAATGTAATAGTAATGAATAATGATTCTAGTATAAAGATATAGATAAGAATAAATGAAATTGATTGCTTAATCGTAATAGACTCCTACAACAGCATAACCAATAGCATAAACAGGCAGTTTAGATCCTAGTGATTTATCTATGACTACTCCGTATGGACCACCTAGCAAAGATGCTTATGTTTATCCAGTTCCAAATGAATTTGTAGGATTAGTTATTGGTGTTAAAGGAGAAACTATTTAATAATTAAAAGAAAAATCTGGATGTAAAAATGTTTAAGTTGCTGCTGATTCTGCTCCTGGATCTTAAACTAGAAATGTATTTATTGTTGGAGATCCTGATTGTGTCAAAAAATGTTAGGGTTTATTATAAGAAATTATTGATACTCAAAGAAAAGTTAGAACAGCTCCAGGTGCTAAAAAAATAGAATTCCAAGTACATGATTAATTTGTAGCATTAATCATTGGAAAAAAAGGAGTTACTATTAAAGCAATTAGTGAAAGAAGTGGAGCTTTTGTTGCTATTACTTAAAGTCCTGATTATTAAGTAAGACCTGATCATAAAGCATTTGTTTTAAGTGGAACTGAAGAATAATTAAATATAGCAATTAGAGAAATAGAAACATTATTAGAAGGAGCTAAAAAGTAATTTATATATCATAATAAATAGAGCTTACTTTGCTAAAACTTGTGTAGATCCTAGTACAATTAATATACCAACGTAAATTAAAATTTAATTACTCTAGTCCATTGTTGATTAATCCTCCGAATGCTTTAGCTAATTATTAAATAACCAACAATGAAATGGCTCCATAGTAAACAATGCCAGAGTTTAGAACTCCAGAAGAATAAGGTAAATTTAACACTTATACTAATTATCTTTTCTTTATTTATAGTGGCTTATTAAAGATAACTGTAAATGTAAACTATGTAAATGCAATATTACATGATGATACCAGCATAACAGGCAGTTGTAGAAGAAAGAGTAATTACAAGAGATAATCGATAAAGATGATTATGAGTGAACCAAAAAAAATATTATAATTTAAAATATATGTACGTGTATTTATTCATTCTTCTAACTATCATTTCTGCAGAAGATTACTACAAATTATTAGAAGTATCCCCAGAAGCAAGTGATAATGAGATCAAGAAAGCTTTTAGAAAACTCTCTGTTATATATCATCCTGATAAAAATCCTGGAGACAAATAAGCTACAAAGAGATTCTAAGATATCAATAAAGCTTATGAAATTTTAACAGATCCTGAAAAGAGAATGATATATGATTTGTAAAATATTTTCATATTGTTTTTAGTTATGGAGAAGAAGGACTTACTAATCCACAATATTAAAATAGACCCAAAGGTCCAAATGCTTAAGCAGAAATCCAAGTAACTCTAGAAGAATTATATAATGGCACTGATAGAGAATTTACTTTATAAAAGAAAGTATTATGCAAGTAGTGTAAAGGAACTGGATCAAAAGATGGAACATTAAAAATATGCAAACATTGCAATGGTAGAGGTTAAAGAATGCAAAATGTTAATATGGGAATAGGATTCACTGTCTAAATGCAAACTACATGTGATAGATGTGGAGGAAGAGGTAAAATTAGTTCAGGAAATTGTGCTAATTGTAGAGGAAATAGAGTCTAATAAACATCAAAGACATTATAAATTGAAGTAGAAAAAGGAATGATTGATGGATAAACAATTGTTTTTAGAGGAGAAAGTGAATAAAGTCCTGATTATTTCCCAGGAGATGTTATCTTTTATTTAAGATAAATTAAACATCCTGTGTTCGAAAGAAAAGGTAATGATTTATACATGGATATGGAAATAACTTTAAAAGAAGCAATCTTAGGATTTAAAAAGAGAGTTAGACATTTAGATAATCATTATGTTGAAGTTGAAAGCAATAAAGTCATTTAACCATTTGAAGTATTATTCTATATTATATTCTATTAGGTTAAGTAAATTGCACAAGAAGGTATGCCTATTCATTAACTCCCAAGTGTTAAAGGCGACCTCTATATAAAATTTATTGTTAAGATGCCTACAAAATTAACAGAACAAGAAAAAGAATTTTTAAAGAAAATATTTGCTTGAAAAGTATTATATTATTTTGTTATATTTATCTTTATATTTTTATATCTCATCTGATATCTAGTCTTATATTGTAATTAATATTACTTTTTTCAATATTGTGATTTAATTTTTTCAAATTGCTTCAGTATTATAAAACTATTAAATTTTCATAATTTATGTCTTCTATAAAGTTTAATTCTTTTTTAATTGCACTTTTATTATCATGTGAATTTTCATATTAAAAAGGGCGATATTTTAAAGAAAAGTTTATTAAAAAAATTTATTTGTAAATAAAATATCACAATGATGTCATATTAATTAAGATTCTAAAATAAAGAATTTAACCTTCCAGTTATTAATATTTTAATTAAATGGGATGTAGCATTAGTGTAGAAGTAAAAGAATAAGAGATTGGTTTTGATACATAAAGTCAATAAAGACCATTTGAATCTATTGAGCTTCAAAAATATAAACTTAAAAAAAAGTACGGGAGAATAAGGGAAGTTTCGATTGTATTAGAATAAGATAAATACAAATAATCTCATGAAATTAGACATCTTGTTCCATAATTGGAGATTGAGGCTAATTCTATTCTAAAATCTAGAAAATAATCTCACGAAAGAGACATCAATTGATTGTATTATCTAACCTTAATTTTTATATAAAAAAACATTCAGTATTTTTGTTTAGTATTAAATTTCAAGTGTATGGTTCTCAGAAATTGTAAGAAAAAGGAATGCTGGATCTAAACAAGTAGATTTTATCTTTCCTTAAGGTTATTTTATCTTTTATTTCAAAAAAGAATATTCAATATCATATATATATAAATGAATAAACTTTTTAATAATTCGAATAATTTTTATTATAAGGTATATGGTAAATCACTATATTTAAATTTTATTTTATTTCTTGAGATAAGAGTAATTGAATTCTTTTCATCCTTTAATACAAGTCTGCATTCCTCATTCCAGAAATAAATTGTCAAATTAATACTTAAATTTTTATGAATCAAATCATGATTCAAGAATTTTGCTTCCTATGCAAGTTAAGTTTTGATCATAAAAACACAAATCAAAAAAATATGATGAGAATTGAACAATGCAATTTTTGAAAAAGTAATCATTCTCCAAATTTTCTTTAATTTAAAATATAATTAATTAATGAAAATATGGGATTGAAGAAATTAACTAAAGCTAACCCTGACATATGTGAAATCGATGATTTTTAATAAACAATTCGTAAAAATTGATCCAAATAATTCATATTTCTGCTTTTAAAATAAATTCAAAATCTTAAAAAATATACTATAATTTGGATTTTTTATTTTTTGAATAAATAATATATAAAAACATTTTATTTAATAATTATGAATAAATTAAATTAAAAATGTTAGTAATAATGTTCATTAATGAAAAGATTAGGATCCATTTTTGTTAGCTTTAGATTTATCAAGAGTATACTTCTCATTTTCATATTTACTTTGCTTTTTTATTTTCAAAATCTTAAATCCATAATTCAACTTAATCCTTGAACAATCTTTATTTTTGTGTATATTTTAAAGCCATTTACTTTCTTTCATTTTCCATTTAAAATAACCTTTCTTTAGCAGAAGTAAACATTTCTGCAATTAATGGAGATAGAAATTTATAAATAATTCTTTTGAGATGAATTTGATGAAATTTTGAGGTAAAAGTAAATTAAGATTGTCTACTTTGATCATTACATAAATTCATATTTATATTCAATAATTTTTCTAAATAAATCGTCTATTTCATATTTCGAATAGAACTATCCTAGCATATTAAATAATATTTATAATAAAATAATGTTTAAAGTTAAATATAAAATATAAATGTTTTCATTTCATCTAATTATTTTATAATCCTTTAAACATCTAAATTTGAGAAATAAATAAAGAAAAAAAAAATTAATTTAAAAATAACTATGATAAAATTTATTTCCTTTATTCATAAATAAATTAATGTAATTACCACCATAATAAGTAGGAACAGTCACTTACTATTCTGATCAATATGAACCATAATGTCCTTTATGTTAATCAGGAGAACATTCTTCATAAACAGAATCAAATTTTGTTTAATAAACTCATGCAATGTAAGGATAATAAGTTAGAGGGAGAGGTAATAAAATTTAAGAATAATTAGTTGTTTATACTTCTCCTGAGAGAATAGTCTCTCGAAAAGTGATTGAAGGTGTTGCATTATCACCTATGTAATTAAGATAATAATAAGCAATAATTTAACAATAAGCATTAACTCCTCCTAGAGTAATGCCTATAACATAATAGATCATTAATACTCCACCAATTATTTAATAGAAATCTCCAATATTGGTTTAATAATCACCAGTAATTGCATAGTAAGCACCAGCTCAAATAAATTAATCACCTATGGCTATAAATTCTTAATCTAATGTAATATAATAAGCAATGTATTAACAACAAATTCCTACTATTTAATAATATTAAGCATAACCTTAAATTTAATAGAGTTAAATAAATTAAACAAACATGAGTACATAATTCAATTAATAACTTTAATAATCTCAATTGATTTAATAAGAATTGTTATTAAAGCAAAAAGAATGGGCTGATAAATATTATTAACAAACAGAAGAAATTTAATAACATCATTTAGCCTATTCTTAATTATAAGCATAATATAAAGAATAATTAGAATAATATGAAGCATTAAAATAAGCTTATTCTCTTTATACTTAATATTAGGGTCAAAATTTTATTCCATCATTCTTATAAACTGTTTAATATAAAGTAATTAATAAGGATGGAAAGTCTCAATATAGCTAAGAAGAAATTGAGTTATATTGGAGACATCAAGTTTATTAATTAGAAGAGTAAATGTATTTATTATGGGAAAAAATTAATCAAAAAAAATAGAAGAAAGATTTACCAATAAAATCAGATGATAGTCAAAAAGTAATTTATTAATTAAATAAATAGATTGAATAATTATAATAAGAAGTAGGACATTTAGAACATATTTAAAGAATGAAAATGAATTCATTAGTAATTCTTAGAAATAAATTAAATGATCTAATGTATTAACATGATCCAGCCACAGAAGCTACTAGAGAACATGATTTACATTTACAACAATTGAGATAAAAAGTTATGCAATTAAATTCTAAACTCACAGATATTCAAGATGAAATTTAAATGGCTGAAGCACAAAATGAAGCAATTAGGAGTGGAAAAGGATTTAAATTTGTTTCTGTTAAATAAACTACTAGCTAAGTTAGATAAGTTAACAATTCTGTAAGAACTACTTAGGCTTAAGATTATTAGGTTTCTTGATTATATTAGAATTTTAATATTAATAATTCAATTTAATGAATTTTTGTGTTTAAATTTCTTTTTATATCAAATTAAATTAATTTTATATTTATTTTATTTTTTTAATGAAAAATGAATTATAAACAATACCAGAAATTAATGATAGATTAGAAGAATTGATTCGTAGCACACATCCTCCAAAAATATAAAATGTTGTATCAACTGTAGATCTAGGTACAGAATTAAATTTAGTAGTTATCTCAAATGGAGCAAGAATGGCTGAATATAGTATAATTTTATTATATTTTAAGATCCAAAGAGATTTTCAGCAGTGATTATGAGATTAAATAACCCTAGTACAACAGCTCTAATATTTTAAACTGGTAAAATGGTTTGTACAGGTGCTAAATCCGAAGATCAATCTTTAGTTGCTGCTAGAAAATATGCAAAGATCATTCATAAATTAGGCTTTCAAGTTACATTTAAAAACTTTAAAATATAAAATATTGTAGCAAGTTTTGATTTTAGAAAACCAATAAAATTAGATGAATTCACTAAAGATTAATAATATCGATCTGTAGTATAATATGAACCTGAAATTTTCCCTGGACTTATTTTTAGAAAAATCACAGACTAAAAGAAAATTACTTTGCTAATCTTTGTTAGTGGTAGATGTGTAATCACTGGTGGAAAAAAAACAGAAGATCTAAATAATGTTTTTAAATTTATTTTACCTATTTTGGATTAATTTAAAAAGAGAGATCTAGAATATTGAATTTTTATAATTTATTTTTTAGTTTTTTTATTTGTTTTGGTATATTAATATTTCAGATTAATTAGATTATAAAAGATTTAAAATCATTATTTGATTTATATATGAGCTTGGGATTAAAGAGTTTCTACTTTCTAATTTAATTTTTGAAGGCTTTCATAATGCTGACTATAAAATCCAACTGTAGTTTATAATGAACTTTATCGAGTATGATGTTTTGATTAATTTTATTTTATCTTAAAATCTGTTTCTTCAATTTCATTTTGTATTTATTTAACTGAAATTTGTAAATCATTTATTTCAAATTCAATTTAATTTATAAACTCTAACTATTTTATCTCATATATGCTTAAAATATAAGACTAAAGCAGTTTTTTATACTTTTTTTTAAAATGTTTTTTTAGATATTTGTATTTTACTTCCATAATATCATCAGAACTTCTAAGCAGAGATAAAAAAATTTAGTAATGATTCAGAAAGGTATCATTATTTTTAGAACTCTTAATATTGTGTTTCATTCTCTACAATAAATCACTAGAATATAGTTGATTCTTACTAATGAGCTACATCATGAAATAAATTTAAACAATCTTCTTCTATATTACTCATAAATTTAGAGAGTTCTATCAATTGTCTTTAATATTCTTCCAAATTTTAAAACTATTATAACTGTTAATAAAATTAACTTTAAGCATTATTTCTTATCTAATTTAATGTTAATATAAGTTGATTTTGTTAAAAATGATTTGAATTAGAACACAACTTCTAAACTTCCAATTTAAATAATTCTTATATATCCTTTTTACTATATTCTATCTATTTTTTTATTGCATTCAAAAATCTATTAATTAATAATTAAATTTATACATCAAATCGCAATCTTCTTATGAGAAGTTTAATTGTTTTAAATAATTTACTACTGAAAATACAGTTAGAATATCAATTTCAATATCTTTGTATTATTTTTTGTTCAAAAGCATTAATATTTCTTCTTGCCAATATCTGATCTCATCCTTTGATGTTTTTTAATCAGCGTATACTTTTTCCTGTAGATTATTTTCATATAAATTAATATATCTAATCTCTTCAATATCACTATAGATTGGACATTTAATTTTTAAAACAATATTAAATATATCTATACTCTCTTTATATCCATAAACTTTTATTTATTTTATTATCTCATTTTCTTCTTAATTGTAATTTTCTATTATAAGAACAATTTTGCTAGCTAATTAACTAACAACGAATAAAAGCTTATTATTTTCCTCTTCTTAATCACCCAATATACACTAAAATTAATATACATTTAAAGATTTCTAATCTATATAGTATATATAGTCCCAAATATATATCCCAATTTATAACGTCGTGTCAATAAGGGGAATTTTTATATCAGCTTTTAATAATTGATTGAAGTAATTATCTTAGCAATCTCTATTTTTGTAAACATAAAAAATAAATGAAGATGCTCCAGTCCTTAATAATTATTTCTAGAAAGTAAATCAATTAAATATACATATTTTTCAACTTGCCCTATGTTCAACTTGTTCTTTTTTTCCTGATTTAAAAGGATAAAACTAATTGGCCTTGGCTACTTTTCATCTTCGTTATTAAATTTTTTAATTAATGTTGCTATTGATTTTGAGCTTCTGTGAAAGTTCTCAAGGTTCAATTATAATGAGCTTAAATTTTTTTAATTTATCATTAAAAATAAAATTTAAGATTTCATAAATACAAAAACTTAATTTTTGTATCAATCCTTAAAGAATAGATCTAAATTATTGCAAAATTGATTTTATATTTATAAAAAGATAATTTTATTTTTAATTCTAGCTACTTCTAATAAATTATTTAATCATGTAGAACCAAAATTAGAAATCAGTGAATTTTTTTTTTATTAAGATCATTTCAGAAAATATATAATTTTAAATTGTTTTTAGTTAACATCTTTTCATTGAATAAGTTTTGATTATTAAATTAATTATTTATAAATTATTGTAATATTATAAAATCAATTAATTAATATACAAAAAATGAAAAAAAATGATCACGGCCAGTCTCGAACTGGCGGCCTCGTCCTTGTTAGGGACGCGTGATAACCCCTACACCACGCGATCAATGTATAATAATTTATATCTTTAGTGCTTATTAATGGGATTATAATAAATTTTTATTTAAATAAAATATTTCAAGATAATCATTTTTCTTATTTCTAATAATAAAAAAATTAATTATTTATAATTATATATAATATGAACTTTGATTTGAAATCTTTATTTTACATAATACATAATAAATTAGTAATATAATTTATTTATCTATGAGTAATCTAATAATTTAAATATCACGAAATCCTAAGCCTTCAAAAGGTTCCAATATATGTAAGAACCTTATGAAATGGAGATTCATGTAATAAACTAAAAAGACATATTTCATTCTTATTTTTCATAGATTTAAAAATAGTGTATTTACTATTTGTAAAATACAAAATACCAAAATTTATATTATTCTAATATCATTAGAATAAAATAAGATAATACTTTTTAATAAATGATTTTAAGCAGAGAATTTGATTATAATACATAAACTTAATTGAACGAATATTAGAAATTAATATTTTTAATGAGATTATTAAAGTAAAATATTGTGTAAGATGATATTGATTGATGTAAGATTTTGATTTATTTTTGACAGTGTGATTTTCTTTAAAATTTTGAAGATGAATAAAATAAAGAAAAATAATAAGTTTAATTTAGTAATAATACATAAATTTGAAGTTTAATTATTTAAAGTTATCATTTCTATAAATTATATTATTTAATATGAGGGCAATATAATATTTAATAGTTAAATCATGATTATACAATTCCCTGTAAGCAAATTTAAAAAAATAAACTGTTCCGTTTTGGAATTAACATGAATGTGGGTTTTTAAGATAAAAAAATATTATTTTAAAATATTTTTCAGCTAAACTAAATAGAAGATTGTCAGTAAATAATTTGATTATAAATTTAATAATAATTTCTGAAATCAATTTTGAATTCATGAGAATCGATAGAGGATATTTATTATTGTTGATTAAATTAAATTGTTTATCAAGAATAACTCAAACAATTTGATGTTGATAAATTTACTGTAAAATATTTCATGTTTTTTATAAATATAAATAAAAAAATTGATCCAAAGTTGAGGATAAGATCGAAAGGATAGTGATGTCATACTATATCAGTGATATCGTATAACCTTATATCATTTTATATTTATTAATAAATCCTCTTATTATTTATTGTAATGAATAAAGAGTGCAACAATAACTTTATTTCGTTATTTGATGAGCCCAACAAACCGTTATGGTAAAAATCTAAACCTGACTTTCAAATATATTAAGTATCCAGCGTGTTGACAATGAAAAAAACAAATTCTTAATCAATAAAAAAAGGAAAGTTTTTCATATCTAATGAATATTTGGTAGAAGTTGATAATAAATCATACAAAAGACATATTGATCTTAATAACATTATTTTAGAATAAACAAACTAGCAATGTACTTTTAGACTAAGCAGAAATAAAAAATAAATTGAATTTACTGCAAATGAATAAGAGTACTAATTGTGGTTTTAACTGATTAAGAAATATGCTATTTAAAGATCTTTCAATGAAGATTATAAATTATTGAAAGTTTAAGGATAAGGAAATTTTGCTAAAGTAAACTAATTATTTTCTATTGATAGGTCTACAAAGCAATTGGAAGAGATAATTGTGCATATGCTGTTAAATCATTTGAGAAGAAAAGCTTTAAAAATCTCACACTCGAAAGAGTATTTTTATGTTTTAATATTTTTTAGGATGCTTTAAAATTAGAGATAAGTATCATGAGAAAAATATAATTTCCAGGGATCATTAGATTATATGAAGTTTATGAGACTGATCATCATATTTGGTTAGTAACAGATTATTTAGAAGGTGGTGAATTATTTCAGTATCTTCGAAATTAACCCTAAGGGTTTAACGAAGTTTAGGTAGCATTATTAATGCATAACCTACTTAATTCTTTAGATTACTTACATTGTTAAGGCATTATACATAGAGATATCAAGGTATAATATTAAAGTATAAAATAAGCCAGAGAATTTAATCCTTCGTTCACCTATTAATGCTTCTGATATTTGTATTGCGGATTTTGGATTGGCCGATTATTATAACCCAGAAGGCAAATATTTATTTAAAAGATGTGGAACTCCAGGATATGTAGCGCCTGAGATTTTATAAGAGAAAAATTATGACTATAAAGTCGATGTGTTCAGTGCAGGAATTTTAATGTTTATAATGTAAGTGAAGATTTACAAATTTAAGGTTGAGTGGACAATCTCCATTTCAAACTAAATCGAAAAATGAACTTGTTATCAAAAATTATAATTGTGAAATAAATTACTCAATAAATAATTTATAATAAAAGATTAGTCCAGAAGGTAAAATTTAAATTGAATTTAGCTTTATAGCTTTTAATGACATTGTTGTCTCCAAACCCATAAACTAGATATAATGCTAAATAAGCATTATGTCATCCTTGGTTTATGAAGTGTTTTACTCCAATTTACTAAATGAATCCACCTTAATTATATATGCCAACGAATATGATTCCATAATTTTAACATTACCCTGACATTTTTGCTAGAAGTCCCATAATGAATCAATTTTTAAACTAATCAATCTCAAATCTTTCTTTATCAGGATCATCAAGTAATTTATAAATTTATATTTAGGTATAACACCTTCAAGAACTTAATCAAATTCATTGTAAGTTTAAAAATAATGCAAAATTACAATCGAAGAAGATCATTAAGATTTCGAAGTTATCTAAGAAGAAGTTTGTTAAATTCATGATATCAATAAATATTCAATCAATAACCAACGAAAATAAACGCCAAATTAACAAAATAAATTCACTTAATGATATTAATAAATCTTATTTATAGTATTGGTGTTATTAAAAAATTAATTAACAAATTTCTCAATATATGTTATCATTTTTATTGATTCTCTGTTCCTAAAATTACAGATGCTTATTTTTATAAAACAGAAGAAGTTGGCTGACTAGGCTTTTATTAAGAATATATTATTTCTTATTCCACCTCTTATAATTCTTATTCTGTCACTCTATAATCTGTTGTAAAAATATCTAAAAATTCCATAAATTCACAATAATTATATTTTCTACTATAAACTTCTGCAAGTTTCTTAGTGTTTACCTTATTTTTATATAATGCAATAAATGGTACACCTCGACGTAATTAATCAAGAGATATAAAAAGAGTTGGATATTTTACATCTTTTATTCTTAATGGAGTATCTGAATCCATCAAAGCCTTAAAAAGTGATAAGTAATGATACACATCTTATCTTGATAAATTCTTTTCTAATACTATTTTCTCAACATTTACTAATTGTAAAATTTCTTTAAATTTTTAATTATCCTTTGGAGTAAAAGATTAAAATGGATCTTCAACTGATGTTATTTATTTAGATTTCTTTTTAAAAATATGTGTATTTTATGGTAAAATGTGATCATAAGCATCCTCTTGAATTTCTTCTATTGATTTTTCATCCTCATGCAATAATCTCCTTTCAAAATGTTCTTCTTCTTCTGGTCTAATAAAATGTTTCTTTTATTTATAAATATATATAATACTGTTTTCAATCTAACTTAAATAGACTATCTTCTCATAGCTTTGATCTTTTTTAATCTTAGTCTCATATTCTCTTCCAAATTTTTTAATTTATTAGAATATTTTGATTTATTAGAATGGATATATTATTATAATAGTTTTAAATATGTATCTTATTCTTTTTCGTTCATTTAAATAATAGATTATTCAAACATTTCATCATCAGGTTCTCTAATATTATTTTCTATTTCAATATAATATTAAGAAGGAATAGAGGTTTGACTTCCAACTTAAATTTATCTAAAATAAAATGGTAATAAATTTTCTCTTTTTTTAAAAAATCTACAAACTTCATCTTTACTTCTCAAATCTAATAATTTAATTGCTAATTTTGGATATTTATCAACTTGAAACTCACCAGAAAGATTTAAATGTTATTTTATAATACTCCAAAAATCAAATTAACCCTAATCTATTAATAAAAATTACTTATATTTGTATATATAAGAATTTTTCATAGGGTGGAATTTAATTTAATGCTGAGATCTCAATACTATCTAATGTAAATGTTTTTGCTTATGGAATGTAGCTTCTATAATGGAGAATATCAAGAAAATAGGAAAACCATTCTTTATAATTATCTTAGATCTCTTTTTCATTAATTATTTTCTCATAAACTGGAACAAAATATGGAAAAACAGTTAATTCAACTTCATTAGTTCTAAATTCTGGATAATATTTACATAGATTTGACTTCAGTTTGAGAACTTCTCAAATGAATATTTTAATGTGGTAAATAAATTAAAATGAAAATTGGTCTAAGACCTTTTTTGGTATTTAAACCAACTTATACAATCTTTTATTATAAGTTCTATTAAATAACATCAATTTTCCATTAAGTCTTAAATCGTTCTAAATGATGAATTTCTTTCTAAATTTCATATGCTTTATTAATACGATTAACTTTGTTATTCACTTACCATAATTAGCTTTCAATATCTGGACTTAGACTTCTAAATTTAAAGGAATCTGACCTAGGAGAAACACTGTAATTATCTCTAGCAAGAGTTGTGAGTTCTGTTATTATAGGTTTATTGTATGAATTTTTTGTAACTTAAGTATACATTTTTTATGAAGATTTGTCTCTTTCAGTTTTCTTAGGTCTGATTTCAGTTTTCAAATTAGTGGTATTTTGAGGTAAATCTCCATCGAAGTGCAATTAGGCTAATTGAAATTTTCTCAATTTAATCATATCCTCTTTGGTTTTTAAGAGAATATTTGGGAAAACAATAGGTTTAATACCAGTTGGAATGAGGTATTTAATAATAGATGAGGTTCTGGAATTTAAAAGATGAGTGCTTGGTTTGTTAGTTTTAATCACAGATTCAATCAATGGTAGTCTAAAATAGAAAATATTTATATATTAATACTTTTCATCTATAAATTCTGTTTCTATTCTCTATTATTTAATCTTATCGTCAATTAATACTATTGGAATATATTCTTTTTATTATTACATATTGAATAAATATAATATATATTTAAATTGTTTTTAGATTACAATCATTCCAAATCATCTAAGATTTCAACTTTTTCCCCAGAAGAACACATATTGATACAGAAATGGATATCTTCATTATCTGGATTATCGAATCCTAATGTTATAGCTTGAGTATCGTTTGGCTTATTTTTACATGTAAATTTAAGTGTCTAAAATTACTATATATTGTACTCTATTTTCTAAATTGATTTCTACAATAATAATATCACCAGTTGTAAAAGTGAATGATTTTTAAACCATGTTTTCTTCTTTTTTAGAATGAGACCATGTATGTGCATTTGAAGATATCATATATGAACCATGTCCCAAATTCTAATGATCAAATTTCATACTAAATAATTATTATATAATTATTACTTTTTCCCTAAAAGTACATTTTTGAATGCTATTCCTATTCCAATAAAATTAGCTAAATGTGAAACCTTGATAGCTATTTTACAAGATTCTAAAATTTATGGTTCCATTAATATGAATCTATTATCACTATTTTGATTGGCAGTCTAGTGAGCATTCTTTTATTCTGTAATATTGATTGATGGAGATTTAAGAACAGTGCTGAAAGTAAAATTGTTTGAATTTTATGCTAATATTGGCAAAGCGAATTTTTCAATAGGCTTAGAAATTTTGGAAGTTGATGATTTGAATTATGTAAGTAGATGATTGAATTAAGCTATTGCTTCTTAAGACTACAATATTTAGTATGAATAAGATTACAGCTTTTTAATATTAATCAAATAATCTCTATGGTTTGAAGTCTATTTCAATCTTTCCAGGTTATTACTAACTAACATTATCTATGATCTTTCTAACATCTTATTTTAATTAATCAACATTCTTGTATTGACTATTTATTATTTACTAAAATATTTATGGAAAATTCATCTAAGTTTAATTTTGTTCTAATAATCTTTGTCTTGTATTCTTATGACTTAAATTTATTTAATCTTCCAATAATTTAATTTATCTTATAGTAGTATAAAATAATATACAAAACCATTTTTTAGACAGTGTCTTTAAGACTTGATAATAATTTGGAACGCACTTGATCAATTTATGTAAGTAATGAGTCAATTGAATTTTGATTTTGTTTACTATTAACATTATTAGAAATATCTGCAAGGAATATCTTTAATGGAATCACTTTATGTTTTGCATGTTTTTATGATCTACAAACAGGACAAATAAGACCCATTTCTTTGCAAGTTGAATCTAGACAAACAAAATTTAATTGCTCTCCTTCATGCATATCTCCAAGTGTGCAATTCAAATAATTTATTGCTCTTGACTTAATATCCTCTGACATTTTATAAATGATTTAAATAAAAACACGAAATGAACATCAGGGGGTGGATTTTATTAATAATACTCAAAACTAATTAATTTAATATTATGAGCCTTCTTGCTAGAAAAACTAATAAATAGATAAGATCTTTCAAGTCTTTAAGAACAGCTTAATAGAAATAAAAGTTACCATAAGTTTCTAAGTTCCGATATACAAATACAAAGTTTCATCCCTTAAAAACTGAACCTGATTACATAAATGATTGTGTTAAATTCTTTACAATAAGGTAATTATGTATATATTCTTATATAGAACACTCTAAGGAATAGATGACAATATAGATAATAATTAAGACTGTATATTTTATTCTACTAATTATAATGATAATGAAGATCAGTATTTATTTGGTATTTGTGATGGACATGGTCCTGATGGACATCTCATTTCTAATTATGTTGCACATCAATACAAAAGAAAATTAAGAATTTCTCTATTTTTTGGAGATCATTAATCACAAAATATTAAATTGATGAATTAATGTACTTTAGATATTGAAAAATAAATGTAGTTCAATGACGAGTTTAATTTAATGGTCAGTGGAACAACTCTAATTGCAATTTTTATTAATGGAGATAAAATTATTTGTTAAAACATTGGTAATTCCAAAGCAGTTTTCTTTTCTAAATCTTAATTTTAATGGCAACATAAAGATTTATCTTAAGAACACAAGCTTTCTCATAATTAAGAATGCTTTAGAGTACTTAAAAGTGGAGGATAAATAAGATAATTAAAAAATGAATATACTAATAAAAGATAAGGACCTTATTATGTTTTTTTACAAGATCAAAATATTCCATAACTTTATACCACAAGATCTTTGGGAGATTCTATAGGAAAAAAAATAGGAATAACAGCAGAATCAGAATTTCAAACATTTTAATTAAAATAAGAAGGATTTCTGATCATAGGAACTTGTGGTTTATGGGATGCTATGAGTTATTAAGAAATAATAGTTTAATTGGAATAAATTAGATTCATTACCTAATAAAAACAAATTGAGGATTTAGCAAATTCAATATTGAACTATTGTAAAAGAAAATGGGAAAACTATTACAATAATAATGAAGTAGTTAAAATTGAAGACATCTCGTTCATATTAATTTATTTATCTTGATTATATTATTAATCTTATTTAAAAATTTTAAATTATCATAATTTAAATGATGACAAAATTCATTCTGGTTAATTTTTAAAACATTTAGAGATAAGTAATACTAAAAATATTAATAAATTTAGAGAATTAAATTTACAATTTTTTTAATATATAAATATAAATACTAAAAAAATGGCTAATAGAATTCTTGGAATAAAAATGACGAAATAAATGAAAAAGTTTATGATGCTATGGATAAGGAGAATTAGATATAGTTAGTGTTCTTTAAAAGGATTAAAAGTAACTAAATAATAAGTTCAATAAAAAACCTAGATAGTTGAAACGGTGTGATTGGAGACGCTAAAAATAATACAAGAACAAAGATTGTAAAGCTATTATTAGAATCAAGACAAACCATAATTTATATACTTAGTTGGCTTAAATTTGGTTCGTATAAATGAATAACTAGAAATAGTAATTTATTTAGTATTAAGTAAATATGAATAGTTAAGATTCTGATAATAATACACCTTTACATATTATTCTGAAAGAAAATTAAGTTAAAATTGTAGAATACCTATTTGCTAGTGTTGTAGATGGTATTTACATATAAAATTTAAGGTCTTTAATTTTATTGAATAATTCTATAAATAAAAGACAACATTTTATTAAAAATGCCAAATGAAATTAGGAAAATACTTGAAAAAATTATACTTTTATTGGAAGGGTACTCATAGAAATCATAAATTAGAATTAATGTTGTCAAATAGATCTGATTGTATTGAGAAATTTATAGGAATTAATAGATACCAATTAAATTAGTAATAATTAATCCATTTTAAGAAATTAATGTTAATGTATTTCTTACTTTACTTATTATCATGCATATTCTCCTGATAGTTATATGTTTCTTTAATTGCTAGGAAAAGAAAGTTTAAAGATAAGTATAATATGCATCTAGAAAATCTGATGGTCAAGGATTTGCTACTAAAACACCCTGTAAAGAAGAGTATTTTCTAAGAATTTAATTCAAACTGAAAAAAATTTCTTAAGTTTATCCTTATTTTGTAAGATTGTGCTGCGGCTTTTTTGAATTCATAAAATTATTCAAATTATTAGATTTTCGGCCAATAGGTGATTTAATTCAATTTATTTATTACCTGAAGTATTCATGAAAAAATGGGCATTCAAGGATTTTTGATTGGTAACTCTTTTGGGAGTTCTATTTTATGAAATGATTGTAGGTATACGACCTTATTATCATTAAAATAAAAACAAATTATTTGAAAATATAAAAAGTTTAGAAAATTTAAAAAACACTCTTTTTAAAAATGTCAATTAGGATAAAATTTAAAATAAGACAAATGATGGTCCATTATAAAAAGGATAGATATAAATAATGGGATGAACAAAATATTCATTTTTTGGATTTATATATTTATAGATAAGTTAAAATTTGAAGAATAATCATAATAAAACCCTTTATTAAAGGATTAGATGTTGGTCATTCATTTAACGAATTTATTTTGTGTATTATTTATAAAATTAATTTTTTAATTTATGTAAGTCGAGACATTCAAGGATTAACTCTACTCAAAATTAAGATAAAAAAGCTAACCTTAAAATGATAAAGCATTAATACTATTATAGTCAATTGAAAACAATCTTAACCTTGAATAAAGAACTAATCCTACCGCATATATTGCTTAATTGATTAATTTATTAAAATCTACTAAAGAAGGTTAAGATGCCATCATTTTACTTATTTATAAAGTAATTCATAAAAATATTTAATTTAGATATTGCCTTCTGTTCCTATTGTCGTAGTTCGAAAGTTAATTCCTGCATTATTAGAAGAAGTCAGCAAAGTATAATTAGATAATCTTAGTTTGGGTGTATTTGGTTAAATTTTAATTCTATCTGCCAAAGAAGTATTGTATATTTTTTAATCAAGGATTTAAACTCACCAAAAATGCAACAATTGTTCAGTCTTTTATTACAACAAACTATAAGCGATAAAAAAAAACTTAGAAAATAAGCTGTCAAAACATTGCAAACCTTTTATCAATAGAAAGCATTAGATATTCAGTAGGTTCCTGAGATAAATGAAAAACTTAGAACTCATTTGAAAGTAAATTTGCAAGAAAATAATGAATGTGCATAACACTCTCTGACACTCTTAGCATCATTAAACAATCTCATTCCTTATTCTATTTTAGTTGATGCATTATATGTAATAATTGAAGAGATTTAAAATATGGATAGCAAATATTATCCATTTATATTTCTTTCTTTAGAGGTATATTTATCATATAATAATTTAGTAAGTTCTTTAATAAAATGTTGGAGCAGATTAAGCTGAAAAACTTATATAATAGCTAAATCTATTACAGCCAGAAGAAGTTAATGCATAACATGCATATATATAGTGTATTAGACAGTGTTTACTTACATTAAGTTAAAGTTCTTTATCTTTGGCAGCATCTTATTTACCATCTACTTTATCTAATATGGCAGAATTACTCTTACAAAACAATTAAAAATTAATGCAACATTGTAGATTAGAAATGATGACTTTAATTGAAAAAATTGGTAAATCAACTCTTTCGCTAAAATAAGATTTGGCTGAAGATATAATGAATTTAGAATTAGAAAGTGCTGGAACTTTGTAATAAAAATATATAGCCACATTAACTTATTTATTTAGTAATAGATTTGATCATGCTAATATTCTTGATGTATTTGCTAAGTTCTTTGCAACAATTGATGATAGAACATTTGATCATTGTAAAGAATTAGTTAAAGAATTTGTTCATAATAAGTCTAGATGGCCACATGTATATTTTGAAAAGACTTTTGGGTAATTATGTAATGGTGTAAGTATGTCCCTATTATTAAGTACATTTCCTTTAAGAACAGAAGGAATTAATCCTTTAGATAAAGATTTTGATGAGAAATCTAATTGTTGGATCTTATATATATTGAGTAAATATGCAAATCCAAATTTGGAAGAATTTTTAGATTTTTTATTCCCATTAACAAACTTATTATCTTTAGTATCAAATGCTAATCCATCTCATGAATAAAAAATAATTCAAAATATTCTTTTCCATGTATTAGAAATAGCCTCAAATTCTAAAGCCAAGATTGATGCTTAACATCACCCAAAATTAAATTAATTTATTGAGTTGACTTTAAATTATTTGAAAAAAGATCATGTATTTTTTGAAAAATTATTATTAATGATAGCCAAACTATTTTCATAATTAATCACATTTCCATAATTATAAAATTACTCAAAATAATACATTTCTACTTTAGCAAAATTAGTTGAATAGAATAATTGCACACATACATTAAATGCTATTAAAGTAATGAGTTTTGCAGCTCCAAAACAATATATATAAGAAGCTTTTAAGAAAAATATAGAAAAGTTATTGTCTTCCAAAGATAAATTAGATGATAGAGCTTTAAATAATATGGATATCGTATTGTAAGTTGTTAGTGCATAATAGATGACTTCAGATCTTTGGGATTATTGTATTAATTTTACAAAAGAAATGATCAATATTCCAATAATTTAGAAGAAGATTTATAAATTCTTAGCAGCAATAATTCCAAAAGTTCATCATACATTTTTAGCTGAAGCATATAATTTAGTCTTAGAAGCAGAATGTGAATCTAGTTCTAGGTAAAAAAGATTTTAGGTAATCCTACAATTAGAATAATTTGTAGTTTCTAAATTAGAGAACTATTAAACATTTATATAATAGTTCTTACCTGAGATGGTAGTTGCAATTAGAGATAATAATATTAAGACTCGTCTTTTAGCTGAAAAATTAATAGAAAATATTGGATAAAGATTATTAGGATTAGATTTATTAGATTAATTTATTTCTATGGTATTTGCAGGATTGGCAGCTTAATCTAATGTAATGAAAGCTGATGCTGTTGCTACAATTTCATTATTAGTTGATAAATTTTACACAAATTTAAAAACTGAATTTATTGAAGAAATGACAAAATTAATTTTACTCTTGTTAAAAGAATAAAATAATGAAATCTTTAAATCTATTATTTTATATGTGAAAGTTTTAATTAAACACAGACATATATTAAATTAATACCTTTTTAGTTAATTACTTAATATAGATGAAGTATCAAGAGATAAAAATATAATAATATTAAAAAGATTGTTAATGAAATTGAGCAAAGCATATACTGTGACAGCTGAAAGTTTAATTCCATAAGAACATATAAAATTATTTAAAAATGCAATAAAAATAGAAAAATAATAAAAAAAAAAGAAAAATAAAAGAGATTAGGAAAGAGAATTAAATAAATAAAAATGGTAGGAAAAAAAAAATAAAAAATAAAAAGATTCTGATTTTGAAAGTGATGAAGAGTCTGATGAATAATAAGATTAAAAATAATAATAAGGTGGTATGGAAACTGAAGTAGAAGTTGAAAATAATTTATTATTAAAATATGATTTTAAGAAGGAGTAATTTCATTTTGAGGATGCAATAAAATAAAAAAAGAAAGTATAAGAAAAAGAATAGTAAAAACAATCAACAATTTAACCTTTGGTAGAATATAAGGATGGAAAGGTGATAGTAAATGAATAAAAAGAAGTATTGGGATAAAAGCGTAGAAGAGAAGAAGTAAATAGTGATAATGAAGAACATGGTTAAAAGAAAATAACAAGAAATGATAGAAAAACAAAGGATGTTGTTCATATAATAAAGGAAAGTGGTTCAACATTTAAATCAAAATAAAAGGCTGGTGGTGATGTAACAGTGAAAGGCAGACCTGAACCATTTGCATTTATACAATTAAATCCAAAAGTAAACTTAATTTATATAATTAATTATAGGCTCTCAATAAAAGATTTAAGAATTAAGCTAATAAAGCATTTGAAGAAGTATTTTAAAAGAAATCAGGTGCACTAAAAGGAGTAAAGGCACATAAATGAAAGTGTATTATATTATTTAATCAATATAATTAATAAAATGTTAGCATAAAGCTAACAATTATCATCTGATTAAAAGCCAAAATTAACTTCATCAATAGGTATCATCACAAATACTCTTAAATTCACAATACATTCCATATTATAAATTCTGTTTGCATTTAAATTTTAGAATACAGTTCCTTAAAACCTCCACGACATCCTTAATCTGATTAAATAGATCAAAGCAGGATATAAAAATAGATGGGTTAAAAAAGATATAAGAATGAAGAGTAAGAGTAAAAGTAAAATGGAAAGGTTTCATTACCTTCTTTACCAGGAATAAAGAAATAAGAAATCTAAAATTTTGAACCTTGTAATTGAATTATATGATTATAATTAGAATAGAAGTAAACAAATATAGCAAATTATGGAAATGGTTTAAGAATACCGAGTAGATTACCTAAATTAGATGCAAAGAGTGAAGTTCCGAAATAAAAACATAGTTCTAATGGTCCTTAAATGAGGAGTCCAAAATAATTAGATGAAGAGACACCTATACCTCATTATTCATCTGTAACACCAGAAAAGAGATAATAAATGAGTCCAGAAAGATAAGTTTTAAATAAACGAAGATTGATGGCAAAAACTTGGTAAGGTGGGTTATATGCTTCAAAGACTAAAGCAGGTTGTCTTCCTAATAAAACATTAAAGACTAATTAGGATGCTGCAATTTTATTTCCAAATAATCTAGAATAGTAAATTGTTATTATCATTTAGAAAGTTACAATTGTTCTTTAATAGCTGTATGTGATGGACATGGAACAAATGGTCATTTAGTATCAAATTTAATTAAATAATAATTACCGAAATATTTGGAATAATAATTTCAATAATAAGGAAGAGATATTGAAAAATCTTTATTATTTGCTTTTGAGAAAACTAATAAGGAAATAATTGAAAGTGAATTTGATACAACATTATCTGGATCAACAATAGTTTCAGTGTTAATTAGAAAAGAGTAATTGTGGACAGCAAATGTTGGTGATAGTAGAGCCATAATATGTAGAAATTAAGATGGATGGAAAACTATTTAATTAACAAGAGATCATAAACCATCTGATGAGAAAGAGAAATAAAGAATCATTGAAGCAGGAGGTAGAATTGATAGTTAAAGAGGTTAAAATAAATAAATAAATACTTATTAGATTTTTATGGAAATTCTTTAGGACCAGAAAGAGTATGGTTATAATATATAGATGCTCCTGGATTAGCTATGACAAGAAGTATGGGTGATAAATTAGGAGCATAAGCAGGTGTTATTAGTATTCCTGAAATTCTCGAATATACTATTACACCATATGATTAATTTATAATTGTTGCATCAGATGGTGTTTGGGAATATTTAACCAATGAAGATGTATAAACTAAAAATAAATAAGGTCATGAATGTTGTGGTTCCATATATTGAAAAAGATAATATTGATTTAGCTGCTGACAAACTTATGGCTGAAGCTATCAATGCTTGGAAAAAACATAGCTTAGCAAGGGATGATATAACTTGCATTGTTGTTTAATTGAAAAATTAGGCTTGAATTTTTTATATTTTAAGTTAAAGTCAGAAAACTTCATATTTTTCATCTTATATCAAAGTATTCTTATTAATTCTTTTTAGAGTTCCAGTTTTGTGAACTAATTTTATTTAAACTCTTTAAAAATTTCATGATTTAATGCTTATTAACATGAGAATCTATTATTTTAATCATGCTCTATCAAATTATTCATTAAATCTATAAGAAGATCTTTTTCAACGTTTTTTATTTGGCCCATCATTTAAGTTGGAAGCTTTTAGTACATCATTTCAAAAATCAAAATCCCTATACTATAGCAATCAACCTTAGATGTATAATTTTTATATTATATGATCTCTGGAGCCATATATCCTATTGTACCACAATATTATGAACAATCCTTTGCTCTTATTGATATCCCTAAATCAGCTAGTTTTATAACATCTTGGCATAATAAAATGTTCTCAGGTTTTATATCACGATGAATAATACCACAATAATGCAAATAATTAACTGCATTCAAAATCTAAAATAGGATATTGATCATTTATCTTCTAGATAATTTCTATGTTCTTATTAAACTATATAATGTACCATCACTTAATTCCAGTATTAAGGCTATCTTTAATTTTATAAATAAATTGTACTTATTTTATATCATCCACAACTCCAAAACATTTTAGTATGTTTTAATGAACCAAACAAATTTGAATCTTTATCTCATTACTAACCAAATTAGTTAATCCTTTACTTTTTATTAAAGATTTCTAAATTATTTTTAATGCTAAAGCCATACCAGTTTTCTTATCTATTACTGAATAGACATCACTCATCTTACCTCTACCTAGATATTTTATTTTCTTAAATCTGTTTAATACTGATGATTAATTTTTGCTCATTTACATATTCATTGTGGTTTTATCAATACTTGAACTTCTGGATTTCTCTAACTATACTACATCATTCAAATTTGTATCATCAAATATCTTACTTCCATTCACACTTTTATAATTGAACTTGGGAGAATCATTAACTTTTTATTAACCATAACCTTATTCTATTTCTTCCTTTATATCTAAATCATGCTTCAATTAATCCTTTGGAAATTTAACTCCAATTATTATTTATTTTATTCTTTCTATTTTGATTCTATTCATCTCCAATAAAGTTGGATACTAAGGCTTTTCTTTTGTTTTTATTTAATCCTTAAATTAAACCTCAATTTCATTTTTTAAATTGACTGGTATCATTTCTGAAACCACTTTACTTGTTTCATTACAATTATCCAACTAAAGAGTTATTAAATTTAATGGCTTTTAACTTATTAAAAGAATTTTATTTAGAAGGTGAACTTATTTACTATTGATATTTAATTAATTAAAAGATATTTTAACTTATTTTTTAGAATCCTTAAAAAAATCATGTGTTAAACAATATTTCCCTAAATTTTTTATAGGATTAATTTTTGAAGCTAAACATCCTACTATCATTGTTTATTCTTGTATTTTTGTCTTTGATAATTATATCTAAATCTAGTTATTTTCAATTTTATCTTTGTGAAGAGAATAAAGCTAAAATTTTTTATTTAATTTTATCGCTTACATATCAATCTTTTAATCACTCTAAATAGTTGCTTAATTTATTTTTAGATAATATGATTCTTTAGAATTAGTATCAAATTTTATTTATTAAAATTATAATGTTCTACTAGGGAAACTTTAAATAAAGCATTCCTCCACATCGTAAAAAGGATTTGTAGTAAATGATAAACTTTGCAATGTATGTTATTTCGATTCCTATTTCAAAGGAATCATAACATGTATTTCTTTTGAACTTATTGGTTGATCTCTTATATTCTGAGTTTCATTCTAAGTATTTAATAAATTAATCGAAAAATTTAGCTTGTTTGCAGTTTAATCATCGAAATTATCTTTTTTAATTTAAATTAGTATGACAGGACTAGAAGGTAAAGCAAGATTAAATTGTAATTAAAATTATATTTGAATAGATGTTTTTCCAATAAATGGGAATTTAGAAGGATTAGAATTTTAATCATCACTTTTAAATTTATTTAATTTTGATATATTTTGTATAGAATGATTTATTTTGTTTCCATCTGCTTTTTTTCTGATAAAATTTAACACAATTAAATCTCCAAACATTTTGCTTTTAGTTCTCAAATTTAAAGAATTTAAATTGTTATCTTCATCTTTTTTTAATAAAATTTAATAGTCCTACTTCATTTATTCATTCAGTTTAATTTCCGCCTTCAATCTAACTGTATGATTAATTTCTTATTATTACTCTTATTATTATTGTTCTTCTTAAGTTATAGGCAATTGATTTATTGGAATAGTAGGTGTAGTTAATAAACTCAACATAGTAAAATCAATTACGCAAATTTAAGTATGAAATAAAATAGTTGATTCGATGGATGTATAGTCTTTTTGTAATTATTATAAATGAATCTATTTTTAATTGCATAATTTATTTGGAATTGATTAATTATTGGAAGATCTATTATTTTTTGAGATTCTAATTTAATGTATTGAAGGCTGCCGAACTATCTAAGTAATAACAGGTTTATCCTTTTTAATCGAATTGTTCAACTTTTCATGAGTTTAACTGATGTTAGACTGAAGATAATTTAGAGCATCTGACATTTAATAAATTAATATTAAAGGTGCAACAACAAAATATTAATTTATTAAGTAAACCAGTTTTATCAAAACAATGATGATATCTATTTAGATTTTAAAAAAAAACACAATTTATTTTATTGTTATACTATTTCATATTAATAATGATATTTCTTTTTAGATACACATTTTTTCATTTAAATTCAACAATTGTTCCGAAATACGTATGCTTTATAACTGGATGTTTGAATAACACTTCTCCTTAAAACATTTTAATTAATCCAGAACAAACCTTCGACCAACAAGTCAAATTAGTAAGACTGTGTAAAATGGGACTATGTTCATGGAATGGTCCTTTTTTAACCTTTATAATTAAATTGATATCTTACATTATTAATAAAATCTATGCACTATAAAAACATATATTCATTTTTATAATTCTTTATAACATTTTCCTTAATAATGCAATCAGGAAGTAATCCTTATTCATTTTATATCTATATAGATTGACTCTCATACCAGTTCTGCTGCTCCAAATACAAAAGGCAAAAATTAATAATCATCCAATCCCCAAACTCCATGAGAACCGGCTGGCTCTAACATGTAAGTCATTTGTACTTTTCTGGCAAAATCAATATATCTAAAAATAACTTTATTTTTTAAATACTTATAAAATGCTAATCTCACTATTCCTTCAAAATCCTAATCACTGTATATTCCTAATCTAAATAAAGAAAATAGGAAGAGGAAAAATTAAAATTCATGTCCTGTTCCATAATCTATTCTCTGTTTATTTCCGAATGAATCCAATAAATATGATCGAAGTTCTAAAGCAGCATTTTATAAATTATCTGGAAGTTGCTTTTTTAAATAATCATCAACTATAGCACCAATTTAGTCTAACCAATCTCTAAAGGCTTTGTTACCATATCTCATTGATTATTAAATAGGTGGTACTTTCAAAAGTAACTCCTCTAACTATTAAAATAATTATTCTAATCATAATATCTTTTTATACAAATTAATTAAAATTTCTAATTAGGTTGAGTTTATGAAATCTTCTTATTTTAGATTGATTGAATTAGTTATTATAAGAATGCTAATAATTATTCAATTATTTTTGTTTTCTTGAATTTTTCAACATCCTATTCTGTTATAATTTTTTTTTCCACTTATTGGAATTAATGCTTGGACCAATCATATTAATTGTTCATTTAATGAGAGAAATAATTTAAAATTTATATTATTATAATTAAATAAATATCCGCTCATTGTTATGAAAATTGTTTTAATTGAAAATTTCAATTTTCCTTAAGTAAATACTTTCCTTTATTGTTCAAAAATATAAATTTTCAATTTATTTTAAAAATTGCATGACTTCTTAAAATATAAATTATTGAGGGGATAGAAAAAACAAGTATGTGTAATATCAATTCCTTAAATAATAATGTATATAGTCTAATTTTGAAAGTTTTTGCTAGTCTAAATCTTCTCTTCGACATCTCGAATTATATATCAATAAATTCAAAGATTTAAACTATTAGAAGAGAAAGATTTATTAGTATTTATTTAAAAAACCTGATTGAAGTTTAAAAAAAAGAAAAATTTAGATATTATAGTACAGAAAATAACTAATTGATGGCAGATCAAGTGAGAATATAATTTGCATTTTATTATTATTTTATATTATCAGTTATTACAATATCATCTTAATTACAAAATGAAGGGAAGCTCATAGAAGAATAAAATCTTAGAGCAAATTCAGAAATAAAGACGTTCTTAATCAAGATAGAATGATTCAAAATTAAATTCATTACATTTCTAAGATATGTAAATTCAAGAGTTTAGCAAAGAGATCGATGAGTATTTAACAAAATTTTCAAATTTATGTATAGCTATATAATATGGTTAGAATAATTGGGATTTTAAAGATGTAAACTTCAATCTCTGAATAATCTATGTGAATATAAAAATATAAATTCATTGAATTTAGAAGAAAATGCTTTAGATGATGAATGCATAAAATTGATAGTTTAGAAATTTCCAAGTTTAACATATTTAAATTTGAAGAAGAACTTGATCAAAGATTTAAATGTAAGATAGATTCATTATTGTGTAGGGAATTGAGTAATTAAAATAACTAGAACAATTAACACATCTATTTCTAGATAAAAATCCAGTTTGCGAGGATTAAAATTTGACATAAAAAGTATGGGATTTTTTGCCTAAATTAAAGGCATTGGATGGAAAAGATAAGAAAGGTAAGGTTGTGAAAGAAAAGATTAAAGTTTATGAAGAAGATGAAGAAGATGAAGAGGAAGAGGAAGAAGAAGTATAATGAAATAAAATAATATAGATAGATGAAGATGATGACAGTTTCTCAATATCTGAGGATGAAGAGGATGAGGAATACAGTGAAGAAGAGGAAAGTGAATCAGAAAGCAAAAAAAAGAAAAAGAAAGTTAAAAAATGATACAATAAAATATTTAATAAAAAATATTAATATTAACTTTTTTAAATAACTACTAAGTTTGGAAAGAAAGTTTATATAGATATTAAAATGAAATGATAAGATTTAATATATGGTAACAGTCATAATTCAAAATACAATAATCAAACCAATTCATGAGAACCATCATCTTCCATTTAGATATTTTCATCTTTTTCTATCAATTCTTCATCAAATTTCTAATCTTAAGTATCATTTAATTCAAAATTAATAGGTTGATATTATTGTTGAAATTATTATTATTTGGATTACTTTTGCTAGAGTTGCTTAATTAATGTCTAAAAATAGAGTATAAAATTTACATCTTATTTATTTTAAGGTAGTTGATTCATTTCAGTTTTATTGAAATAATCTTTGAATTTATCTTAATTGCTATATACCCAATATAATCCAAAGATTATTCCTCCAACAACAATCCAATCAAAGATCCAACCTTTGTTATTAGGACAAGGGAATTTTAATGATGGATGATCAACCCCTCCCTAACAAATATCTCCTGCTATTTTTCTATATCCACTAGAAACTGTATAATAGTCATTGCATTCAGCAGGAGGTTCAATATTTATAGTACCATTTATTGGTACACATTACTAATTATTCATCACAAACCCTAAATCACATTCATAATCTTCTGTTGAACATTAACATGGTGTAACACTGATTATTTTTTCCAATTAATCAGGATTATAACAAGCTGCTTCTCTTCTTTTTCTCATGTAAGTAACTTTCTTACCAAATAAACATTCTGGATTCACTTAACCAGATGGAGTCCATAATTCATAATCACTACCTACTTCTCCAGCTTTATCCTAACCTATACAATTTCTTTAATGTAATTCATCCAAATCTATTGTTGCTAATAAACCTTATTCACTTTTTTATCCATTCGATTCTAATTATATTGATCCGTATGCTATAAATCTTGTTCCCTTGTTCTAAGGCTCTGTTATTATATTTTAAATCTCTGCCTTCTAATCTATAAAGTTAAATGGAGTCCATTCTACACCACCATTCCATGAAAATACTATCTAATTTGTTGTCTCTTAATCCTTAGACATTACTATCAACCCTCCATGATTACTCATCTCATATATATATGATCCTTTCTTTATTTCTATCCAACTTAAACCACCATCTCTACTTAAATAAGTATTAACTTGATCTTATCTGTAACTTAAATACTTTCCAATTGAACCTGTTGCTACTATTATACCAATTGAATTTGTTTATGTATAAATTGGAGCGAATTAATAAAACGCTTAACTAAGATGAATATGTAACTAACATTTATTACAATTAATTGGTTTTCCCTCTGCATCTACTGCAGGTGGCTTATAATAAATTTCAAAATTATACCTTTAATGGAACCCATTAACCTCCTTTGTCAAAAGTTATCCTTGTTTATTTGTATTTTTTTAAATCTTCATCTTTAAATCCATTTTGTTAAGCATAAAAACCTTCTTCCATAGCCTCTAAGACTTAATGTGAATATATTTTAGCCTAATCTTCTGCATAAACATTAGCTAAATATATTCCTTCTAATCCTTAAACTCTATAAAATTCTGCACTATTTTCTAATCTTGCCACATTCTCTAAAGATCTTGAATATCTTGTACCAGTTGAATCACTTATATAGAGTACTCCCAATGGAGATGATGGCTTCAAGTGATTAACAACCATGAAAACTTAATTTTCTGAAGTATCCAAAGTACTATAAGAATGTTCCAATAATTTAGAATCAGCATCAATAATGGTATATCTATATTATCCTAATTCAGTGCCACTCACATATAAACTAACTTCTTAAGTATATTAAGATGTAACTTTAGCTACAAAAAGAAAGGATTCAGTCAATAAAAACCTTGAACCTGCAGGAACACTTAAAGTACGTGTTTAAAAGAAATCATCGCTATAGTATAAATTGGCATCCATATTCCAACTACTAATAGATTAATGTCCTCTTCCTTAAGGATCAAACGATGCAAGGATTCGTTCTTTAGGAGTATATTTAGCCATGTCTTTATTTTTAACACCCCAAGTAAATTAATTAACATAAGTAGCAATAGAATGCCAAGTGATTCCTGTATCTTAACTTAATAAAAGTTCCTTATATGATACACAGGGTATACCAGCAAGAAGTTCATCAGAACCACATTATTTCCAGGCAGACGCAATAATCCAATTTTTTTCAATTGGATGAAATTAATATTCCCGTAATTGTTTACCTGCATTAATAGCTGTAATAGTTTTGCCACAATCAAGTGATATCCATGCAATTTAATCTGTTCCTGTAAAAAGAATGAGTTATTTATCTACAGGACTTGGAACCAAATTATTAACTATTCCAACTCTATCATCTGAATCTTCAAGTTGAATTAGTGCTTTACGATGGAATATTTCAGACATCTTAGTCCATTATCTGCCACGATCATCACTTCTATAAACAGATCCTTTTGAAGTAAGTGCTAAGACTGTATCACTACACCAATGGATGTTTATTAATGAAGCATCGATATATGAAATTTAAACATCAATATCGGATGATAGTATCTACATGATCATCAAAACTATAATAAACATCATACACACGTTTTATTATTTTAATTAATCAATTTATTTTAATAATTTCATACTCACAATTAGGCTTATTATTAACCAAAAAATTTACAATAACGAGATGTTCCTCATTAGAATTATATACATTTTTAGTAGTTTTAAAAAAGTAAAAAGCTTCTATTCCTTAGTTTGATTTAACTTCGATTAATTTTTTGTCAATTTTTTTGGTTGAAAACCTGTACTCAAGATAAAAAGATCGCGGAAATGATTTAACATTTAATCCATTACCTTAGTCTGAAATTTATCAAGCGAACTTATGAATCCAACAAAAATTCATTATATTATGTAATTTTTTTAATTTCTCGATTTCAGGTAAACAATTCTTTCAAATAGTGTAAATGTGATTTAAACAACTGTGAAATCTTTTGATTCTTTTTTAATAGGAGAAGCAATTTCCATACAAATAAAGGATGCTCTAATAATAGTAATAATTTGTTCAGTTTTAATCTTTTTCTAATTTACTTTAGGTTATTGAAATGCCTTAAAGAATGGGCATTATTCCAGTCTATTCTAACCTTCAAAGCTAATAATGTATTTTCTCATTTCAGATATTCGCTTAATGTCAAGAAATATATTTATCAAAGCTTTAAGTCTAACAATCGATAGTATTTTCTCATTAGTGTCTATCATATGGAGTTGATACTGTAATATAGTAATAACTTTTTCTCTGAATCCAGCTTAAAAATGTCTCAGCAGCACTTTAGCCAGATCCTCTGATATAGTTATTGATGTTTAATCCCCTAGAACTAACATTCTCTCCTTTGTTTGCAATATTTAGTTTTTAAGGTGATTTATCAATCCTCTCTCTATTCTTTCATTCAATTTAGATTTGTATTTTAGGTCAATTAAAGTCATTTGAGTTTTAATGGACATAGAATGCATACTTCATTTAATCTCTATTTTCATCCAATTGATTTAATCTCATTATTTTATTTTTAATATCAAGAAACATTTATTTTATTTTATGATTATTATTTTTATAATCTTTATTCTTAATGAATAATTTTATGTATACAAATTAAAATAAATTTCTGATAATAATATCCAAAAAATTAATAAATCTTTTTAATTTAATGGTAAAAAGTTAATTAATATCAGAGATTAAAAAGAAAATGAAAAATTCATTGAGTAAAAAGTAAAAGATATATTATTAATTATTTTTTTTAGAAAACATGAAAGGAGGACATATAAAATTTTTAAAATGAGAGTGATGATTGAAAAAGATTATTGGATTAAGAAGAGAATATAATTTAAGAGATAAAATAATCCAAAGCAATAAACACTAAGAAACAATAGCGCGATTCATTTGAAGATGAAATTTTGAATGAATATATTTATTTAAAATAATTTATTAGATTTTATAATTCAATATTTATATTAAGTTCATTTTTCAATTATAAAATTTTCTGATATTTTTTATAATATCAAATTCCACAATATGGAATTATTTATATATATTAGACTAAATTTGAACATAAGAATTTTCGAATTTAATTTTGTCACTAAGCAATTATTAATTATGCGAATATTTACAATTATCTTGATATTAAGTACAGCCTACTTAATAAAATCAAACACTTTGGACACAAGTAATAGTTGCAAATGTTCAGAATTGATCTATAATTGGGATTGCTACACTGCTGATTGTTCTTGGGATTCTCGTAAAAATTAATGTGTTGATCTGGCATGTTCTGATATTGAGTGGTCCAACCATTGTGTTTGGTCATCAAAGAGGTGTTATTGGTTCAATTAGTAATGCCATGATTTTACATCCTGTGAAGCCATCCCAGGAAAAGATCAAACTGAATGTATTTCATCAAATATCTACTGTCCTGCTTCAAATGGAATTAATTGTTTACCCTTGTAATATCAATAGAGGTGTTCAGATATCAAGGATTCAGACACTTGTAATGATTATTACTCCCCAGAAGGTAAATGTATGTGGAAAGAACAGAATTGTATCATACTTTAATCATGTACTCAATTGTGGACCAATACAACAAAATCTTGTTTGTCAAGTTATTGCTATTTCGATGCTCAAACCTACATGTGTAAAGATATGACATGTTCAAGACATACAATGGAATCTTAATGCTAATTTGGAGCTCCATCAATTGGTCCATATTTAAATAATTTAATTCCATGTGTATGGGATACATAAACTGGATAGTGCAAAAATGGCAGTCCTGATGACTTTAATGCTGACAACTGCTATGTTAATAGTGCTAGAACATATCATTGGAGTAGTAGTAAGTCTAGTTAAGGAAGTTGCTTACCTTGTCAGAGTTCCATATTAACTATTATTATTGGATTGATAATAATGATTATTATGTGAGAATATATTAAAAAAAATTTAATTATTTATGAGTATTAATTCTCACAAATTGTATTACAATGCCACATTATAATTGAATGAGTTCTTGAATAAGAAAGTGATAGCACTATGCTTTTAAAGAGAACCTTCAAGATAGATTGGTATAAGATATTGATGGATAAATCTGAAGGAAGGCATAGTTTTTCCAGGCATTCAGACACAGTAAAGAAAAATTTAAAAGATGCTGTATTTTCAGCTATAACTATGCTTAATTAGAGGTTTGTTATTTATTTATTTAATATAAGTAGTGGTTAAGATAGAAAAATGTAAATTTATTATAATTACTGCTTTTATCATAAGGATAGTATTTAAAGGCTGGAGATGGATGGATAAGAATATGGTTGAGATGTGCAAAATAACACAGATATGAATACTTTAATATTGATAAGAATTTGATAATTGCCAATGGGAATTCAATCTTAAGTGAAGCATTTTGTAGTCTAGATGAAGGAGATCAATTAAATAAGACATGATTTAAAATCCTATATCGAATGGACTGCTATTTGATAAGTTGGAATACTTGAAAAATATAGAGTGGCATTCAAAAATATCAATAGGAGTTGTTGTTAGAAAAGTTTTAGCGATGCATTTGTAGGAAATTGGAGATGAAGAATAATTGATTTTATTCTTTGAGTGGTCAAACAAGAATTCTTTTACAAAGATGAATGTTTAGATCTTCTCATTGATTTAGTTCAAAAAAATAAGATGATTGTAACCTGAATCCTCTACATGCAGCTTTAAAAATAACTTGAAGTGGCTTCTATACTTGAGGATCAGATAATTCAATAGCTGCATTGCTATTACATAAATTGATGATAAATATTGATAAACAATATTCATTACCTTAAAATTAATATCTCATATAATTTGGTTCAGTCAAATCTAAAGGGATTGCTAAAAAAATGTTAGTAAGTAATAAATACTAGGATAATAATAATTTTATGATGAGCCACTGAAAAAGAGTGAAATATCTTGAACCTTAATCTAAGTTATTTTAAGAAGAATAGAGAAACCATTTTAAACTTAGTTCTCTACATGTCCAAATGATATCGCTCACTTGAAGTTATTAAAAAGAATATTATTATTTATTATAATTCTAATTAAATTTACTCATCATATTTGATCATTGTTTTATTTATTTGTAATGTCGCAGAATAAGTTTTTAAGTAAATTTTTCTTTAGTTTTTTTTCATTACATAATTAATGAAGAATTCTTACCTTCCTTCAAAAGTTTTATCAATTCACTTTCTATATCAATCCAGTATCTAATTTAAATTATTCTTAATTCTCTTTAACCATGAAAATATTTAAAAATTATTCTTCATGAAAATAATAATCCAAATTTTCTACTAATATTTTAGCTTTTTTATTTATCTCGTATTCTTCTTTATCCTTCTATCTACTTTCTATTAATGTCTATCAATAACTGTTTCATAGAATTCCACAATTAATTTCTCCTGGAATTTCTGTATATAATTACTTATAACATTTTAAGTAAGATTTCATTGAAGTCCATAAAGATTACTTTTAAAAATATCAGTAGAATTATGAATTGCATTAGGTTGTGCAAATTTAAAAAATGGCTCTTCCTACCCAAATAATTTACAAAAATGAAAGTTTTTCCTCAGTAAAAGATTCTAATATTAAATATATAAATAATGTTAACCCTCTAAATAAACTTAAAAAGTAAGATTAATTAAATAAAAAGAATTCTAACTTATATTGTTAATAATTCGAACTTTAGTTGAGATTAGTTCAATTTTATTCTTTTGCATTATTTTCTCTATATAGATTCTGAATTTTTACAATCAGACAAACCCTTTCCATTTTATCTACTTCTGTGAGGGAAAGTAATCAAGTAATAACTTTTGTTAAAGCATATAATAAAATTTACAAATTAATATTAAAAAGAGGATTGAAAACTTATAAATGAAATTTATTGTCAAGTTTTCCTCTTTTTAAATCTTTCATAATATTTCTAATTTTTCACTTTCTTTAATAAATCAACTTTTGTCGTAACTCTTCTTCTACTCCAAGACCGTCTAGTTTGAAAAGGTATTATTAATTTGAGTTAATCATCTTCCACTAATTATATAGATAAATCTGATTATGAAATTAGATCATCTTTCTTTAATTAACTTAGACTATTGTGATTTAAACTACTGTTCACTCTTCTAGATAAAAATTTATTATCTCGTCTTATCATATAAATGCAACTTGAAGTATTAATATGCCCAATTGTTTTAGAAAATTAAGATGAATTTCTTTCCGAACGAATCGAATAAGAACTATCAAAATCCAAAATCTGTTTAGGATGTTGAAAGTCTGCTCGTTTTAGTTTTTTAGATCCTTTGCTGCTTTTGCAATTCATTTAGATCAATTTTAGATCTTGTGTATTTTTCATATTTTTGCATGCACTTCCCATTAAATTAAAATATATTTATCGAATTTTGACTTTAAAATAACATAATAAGAAAATTTTCAATTTTAATGATTTTTTCTCTTAATCTTGTATCTTAAATATAAGTTTGTTTTCAAACAAAATATGTATTATCAATCAATATCATTAAGAAACAATTTAAATCCTTTTCTCCCTTTGAAAATGCTACTCCTATAATCTTTTTATTCTATATTAAGTTTTATTTATATAAATTATTGTTTTTTTTTATTTTTGCCTTATTTCCAATTCTTCTTATTATTAATTTTTTATGTATGTAATTTTTATTTGCCTCCTCTTCCATCAAAATTCTCATTTTATCTTTGTTCTATATGTCATCTATTGTAAATAAAATTAAAAAGGACTTTTTGATTGTGAAGATATAAATTAAGAAATTTTTAGTTAATTCATTCTGAACAAGTTAGTAAGTTTTTGAATTTTTTATTTACTTAAAAATTTTGTAGAAGTAAAATATTAAAATTTTTGTTTTAATTTAATAGAATCTTAAAGATACCTTAATATACAAAAATAAGTTTTTTTTTAACCTGGTATTTTTTTAGGAAAAACTTGAAATTATAATTCGGTTTATGTATTTTGTTTAAAAATATTTTTCCTACTTTGATATTATGATTATTATCTTCTCTGAATGGGTTTGATATTTTTTTTCAACAATAACTAATATTTTAAGTAATATTCTTACATTCTCTAACTTAATCTTTTTTTTATCATTATTTTTTCTTCTCTTTTTATTTTTTCCATCATTTTAAATTCTCTTTTTAGTTTTTTATGAATATCTTTTTATTTTTTAATATTTCTATTTAATCTTAAAATTCATATTTTTCTATTCAAAACTTTTTTTCTCTAATGAGGATAGATAATTAATTATCTCGTGTTAAGATATATAATATTTCAAATTAAAAAAATAAGATACATCATTATAAGATCATTTTAAGCAATTATGATTTTTGGTATGAAAATCCATATAAAACTGTAATCTAAAACAATCTAATTTTTTAAACTTCTAAAACTAAATGGCTTTACTTAATACTTTGTTTTATTATTAAAATTTTTTTCACATTATATATAATAGGTTTCCTTATTTAAGCATAAATGTTGATAATGAACTTTATTTTGAAAAATCTTGATCCTTTATTGATTTTCAAAATCTTAAAGAAAATTTTTTTAAAATAAATAATATTATTGAAATTTAATCACAACCCTATTTCATCATCTCTTTTAGTTAAAACTTCATAACCATTTTGAGTTATTAAAATCATATGTTCCCATTAAGCTTTATAGATTATTAGATTGATTACCACTTGGATTATCAGGCAAAATCACTGTAAATTAGTCATTCCACATCTCATAATCTTGCTAATCTTTCATTAGTAATATAGGTTCAATAGTAAAAACATTACCAGGAACCATCACTCCTGGATGTGAATTAACTAAAAATTATTAGAAAATTTTACTATTATGATAAATTGTAGGTGGCATATGCATCAATTCTCCAATCCCATGACCAGTAAATACCTCACTTACAAAAAACCCTTCTTTATTAGCAACTTCCTCTATTACTTTTCCAATTTGATTAAATTTTTGTCCAGGCCCACAAATTTTGATTGCTTCATAAAGTGCCTTGTTATCATTTGAAAATACACTTTTTAAGTAGTATTTATTAATTTTGATATTTCTTAATTAATTATTGGGACAGTCGCCATAACACTAGTGTCACCATGAACACCATCATAAAACACTGTAACATCAATATTAAGACTATCTCCTTCTTCTAATGGTCTCATGTTAGGTATTCCGTGACAGCATACTTCATTAACTGAAGTGCAAACACTTTTTGGAAATCCCATAAATCCTATTGGTGAAGGATATGCATTTTATGAAATGATATAATCATGAATTATTTTGTCTAATTCATCAGTACTCATCCCTTTTCTAACTGATCTTTAAGCAACTTGCGCAGTTTTTGCTGCAATAATTGCAGCCTTCCTTAATTCTTAATTAATTAATATAATTACTATCAATCATACTCTTTCCATGTATAACAGCTGGACCTTCATATATTCCATATATAGGTTTTTTATCAGCTATTAATCTATGATAAATGTATACTCATGTAACTTGGTCTTATTATATTTTGAGGAACCTTTCTTGCTGGAGTTACTTCATATTAACCCTATTAATAAATTTAATTCATATTTACTTCTATTAAGGGGTTATGAAAATATTACGAACTCTTTTTCTTACTCTAATAACTGTATTTTGATTGCATTATATTGTTTTTAAGGAAATTTTTAAGCAACATATTTGTTAATTTATTAATTTATTTTATGTATAAAAGATTTAAACAATGATCTCTTTTTTCGAAAGTTATACATAGAATAAATAAATAGGAAAATTAAGAGTAATGGATATATAAAATTATATAAATAAATAGTTTAATAATTATTTTTCTTTATTTTTTAAATTACAAACTAAATACCTGATTTTCGTCGCAATCAATTTTTAAATTAAGGTCTTCAAACAGAATTTATAATTCAATCTATAATAATAGATAGGCATATATTTTTTATCTATTTCAGTCTCTAGTAGATATAATTTTGTGGTCTAACTTAAATTCTCTTTAAAAATCGAAATTATTTTTATTAAAGAAAATTGAATCAAAAAAAATACTGTAAGTTACTAGAAAAGAATTCTCTTAAAAATTATATTATTTTAGGATATCAAATTAATTGAAACTAAAGATAGAATTTTTAAGAAATATCCAAATAATTAACAATACTCAATGTTATTTTTCACAAAGTATAGGAAAAATTAATGCTTGTAAATCATTGAATAAAGATAATTACAATTTCAATTTAGTCTAATCGCTTGTTAAAATGTTTCTAAACTGCCAAATTGAATCATACTTTTGAGAAAAAATCAATAATAAAAAAGTCGAAGTTAGTCCTTAATAAATTTTCCTTGCTTTAAACTAAGAGATTCAATTCAGAATAAGTAAATGAAAAATTTTAAGTAAAATTTCATAATTTTTGTTTAAGAGGTACGATAATCAATAAAACCAATCTATTAATTGATCATCATAAAACTCATTTACAAATTTCTCTTGATTTTACATAAAAATTATAATAAAAACAAGATTTACTTCATTTCTGAAATAATGCTATATAACTATTAAATCATTCAAATTTAGAAAACTAAGATATTTGCGCATTCGTAATAAAGAAACAGGAACAAAATTCTATTTACGATTAATTTCATATAAATAGAAATGATTCAAACTATTGTACAACTTTTTCAAGAAAAGATAAATTTATAAGTTATGGATAAAATTGATCAAATTGCAAGTTGAAAGTAAATATTTCAGTAATTGGGTTGATTGGAGAAAATTAATTTTTATAATATTAATTTCTAGAAGGAACATTTCAATTCTTTGATATTTCTTGATTTTTTAATTAGGAAATACTATTAAAATTAAAAGACTCTTCTAATTATGGATTATTGCAGAATACATAAAGACAAAAATGTTAAATCTTTGATTCTAAACAAAATTAACTGTCTATTTGCCCACCTTTTCGAATGCTATCGAAAATCTAAGGAGCGAAAGTAGAACTAAAAATTAACTAATCTACAATATTTATAAGTAACTATGTTTAATATTTAGCTTTGAAAGAAACTTATAACAAAAGAAAATAAACTTAATGAAATATTAGTTTATTTAAAAATAGAGTATTTCAATAAAATAAAAAATATAAATAATAAATGTATCATAATAAAAATATTTATATATTTATTTCTAAATTATCACATAATTTGTCTATTTATTTAATTAATATTTAAAACTATATAATAGATTCAAAAAAAAGATTCTAAATAAAATTATAGATTATCAACGTAATATATTTTTCATTTCAAAGGTTTTAATTTTGTTTGCATACTCAATTTCTTTGTTCTTGTATATCTTGACATTTATTTAGATTTTTCCCATTCATAGTTGCTATGGAATACAATTTTCAAATGACTTTCAACATCCATATCAAAAACCATATCCTTATTTCCAAAAGGTCTATTGTAAATACCTGAAATAGATTTAGTAGATGAAAGATGATGCAAATTACGGGCTAAAGATTCAAACTCAGTTTTAGCTAATTATTCCTATCTTATTCTTAATTATTGAGCTTCCTCTTATTCTACTTTATTTAGCTCTTCCAAAAACGTTTCATTTTTTCTTTTTAAAAATGATAAATATTCTTTTCTAGTTGCCCAATTTAGATAATATTTTCTATAATGATATCCACGAAAATATCTTTGAATCTATGTTGCTTAATAGTTAAAATATTTTAGATTTCTTTCATTATATCTATTATCGCTATTTCTTTTCATTAACATTCTTGCCAGATAACCTTTAGCTTACTTTTAAACATAAATTGTATTCTAATAAATTAATTGCAAATTTACATATCTAATTTTGAGATATTTAATTCTCTTTACATGCATTCTATACCATTTCTAAATCTTGGTTGCTGCTGAATTTTCTTTCATTTTATTTTCATCACTAAGTTCTGCCTCTTTATAATACAATTCTATTAAAGATTGATAATGATTCCCAATGTCTTATTAATACTACATTTAGAGAAAAATTAAGCAATAATTAATTAATTTATGAAAACCTAAAATAACTTTGCTCATTTCTCAAGAGGAGGTAAATTATCAAGTCCATATTTATAATTTACTAAAGTAGATGGTGAAACTGCTAAAAAGGCATTCACACCCTAAGAACTCAAATAAATTATGGATATGTTTGTTTATTTTGATAAAAATGGAAATAACACTATTAAAAGAGATGATTTGGGCTTTGCTTTAAGAGCTATTGGATATTTAGTGACAACAATAGAAATTAGAGAATTAGGTATGTTTTTAGATCCAAAAAAAACTTAATTTTTGAATTTTGAATAGTTTATAACAGCATGCTATAATGTAAGAAATCGTAAACCAAATAAATAAGAAATCATTAATGCTTTAAAGACATTTGAAAAAAACAAATCTGGTTATATTGAAGTTAAAGAAATTAAATCAATAATTACTAAAATAGGAGATGCACTTAATTTAACAGAATTCGATATTGTTATTTCAGAAATAACCTAATCTTAAAATGGATTTATAAAAACTGAAGATTTAGTTAGTTTACTTATTATGTCATGATAAAAATATCATTAATTATTTTTTAACAATAAATAAAAAACTATTTAATTTAAATAAAATTCTCCATTCTTCTTTTTATCTTATTTAATAGTAATTAAATATTTTAAAATGAAAAGCATAATTAACATTTGATGATTATTTTATCATTTTACAAAAGTTTAAATTTGAATAGTTAAAGATACTTCACTTTAACCTAATTTTATAATATAAAATGATTATTTTGTTTGATATTATTTATTGAAGCAAACTCCCTATATTTTTTTAAATAAAAAAGATATAAACATAATAAAATTTTATTTCTTTTAATTAATAAATTTGGTTAAGAAGTTAATTTTAAAATCAAGATAATTTATTTTTGATTAAATTTAGAATGCAGAAATATGTTAATTTACAACTTAAATAAACATAATAAATTTTCATAAAATTTGGTTAAAGAACTTCTTATTATTGAACCTAAAAGGTTTTCTATAATTATTGTTACTTGGGCCTAGTAGGGATTTTAAGGTATCTTAAATTTAATCTGGCTAAAGAGATTCTCTATAAGTCTTATATAAATCTTATTCGTTTTCTAATTACTTAATGAAGGTCAATTAATCAATCTCCTTTTATTATATCTAATCTATTTGAGATACTAAATTAGTAATTTTATCATTAATTAAACTGATTTTTCTGCTTTGAAATCTTGGAGGTGAGTCATCAGTTCTAGTATCTTATTTTTATATAATGTGATGACTTAATTAGTTTTTGCTCTAAACTGGTTTAATCTCACTTAATTTCTTAGGTTAAAAAAATTTATTTTCACTTGGCATTTTATTTGTAATCAACTTTTAATAATTTTGAGAATGTTGAAAGGTTTCTTCACTTTTAGCTAAAAATTGATTAAAATATGTTACAATTTCTAAAAATACTATCAATAGATTTTATGCTTTCTTTTTTTTTATCTTTATTCATTTATTTATAAACTTGATGCATAATTAATTCTTTTTAAATTTATTCAACTTTTTTATTGTATATTTTTTTGGTAGCTTATTAAACAATATTAATAACTTATTTTGTTTTTAATTTTTTAAGAGTTCTCCTTGCTTGTTATTCTCTACACTAAATTAAAATAGNATAAATAAAAAACTATTTAATTTAAATAAAATTCTCCATTCTTCTTTTTATCTTATTTAATAGTAATTAAATATTTTAAAATGAAAAGCATAATTAACATTTGATGATTATTTTATCATTTTACAAAAGTTTAAATTTGAATAGTTAAAGATACTTCACTTTAACCTAATTTTATAATATAAAATGATTATTTTGTTTGATATTATTTATTGAAGCAAACTCCCTATATTTTTTTAAATAAAAAAGATATAAACATAATAAAATTTTATTTCTTTTAATTAATAAATTTGGTTAAGAAGTTAATTTTAAAATCAAGATAATTTATTTTTGATTAAATTTAGAATGCAGAAATATGTTAATTTACAACTTAAATAAACATAATAAATTTTCATAAAATTTGGTTAAAGAACTTCTTATTATTGAACCTAAAAGGTTTTCTATAATTATTGTTACTTGGGCCTAGTAGGGATTTTAAGGTATCTTAAATTTAATCTGGCTAAAGAGATTCTCTATAAGTCTTATATAAATCTTATTCGTTTTCTAATTACTTAATGAAGGTCAATTAATCAATCTCCTTTTATTATATCTAATCTATTTGAGATACTAAATTAGTAATTTTATCATTAATTAAACTGATTTTTCTGCTTTGAAATCTTGGAGGTGAGTCATCAGTTCTAGTATCTTATTTTTATATAATGTGATGACTTAATTAGTTTTTGCTCTAAACTGGTTTAATCTCACTTAATTTCTTAGGTTAAAAAAATTTATTTTCACTTGGCATTTTATTTGTAATCAACTTTTAATAATTTTGAGAATGTTGAAAGGTTTCTTCACTTTTAGCTAAAAATTGATTAAAATATGTTACAATTTCTAAAAATACTATCAATAGATTTTATGCTTTCTTTTTTTTTATCTTTATTCATTTATTTATAAACTTGATGCATAATTAATTCTTTTTAAATTTATTCAACTTTTTTATTGTATATTTTTTTGGTAGCTTATTAAACAATATTAATAACTTATTTTGTTTTTAATTTTTTAAGAGTTCTCCTTGCTTGTTATTCTCTACACTAAATTAAAATAGTTATTTACTTCAGTTTCATTGATATCTTGATCTTACATAAGAATTAATCGCGAATTAGTTAAAGATTGAAAATTTTAGTTACCTTAAGTAGAAGTAGAGTATTTACTGAAATAAATTCTTTCATCTGATTTTTACTATTTCATAAGTTAACTTCTATGCACAATAGAGAGTGCTCTATTAACATTATATGTATCTTAAATTTCTTTATCTGAAAAATCTTCATCTTACGACCATAACTAATCATAGTTCTCTTTTAAGTTTTATTTTTTATTAATTTATTATCGCCTCATTTAATCTTATTACTTTTCTATAAAATAAAAATAAAAAAGATTACACTTTTTCATCATCAAATAATCAACATAATCTTTTTCTGGATCAGTTTGATTTGAAGTTATTTTTGGAACTGATGAATTTTGAAGATGATTAATGTTAATTAAGAACTTATGATCATTAGTTTATCTATGATATAATGGTTATAACAGTTATGGTTGATTATTATTTTTACCAATAAGATCAGATACTTTTGATAATATTCTTTTTTTAATAATTTCTTCATCTGTCAATTATGAAAATGGTTTATTAATTAGAGATTATAACTTTTAGATTTTTCTTAATTATCTTTCTTTATTTTTCTACTAAACAGATTAACTTTAAAGACTTCTATCAGACTACATAATTATAATAATTAATTACATCATCATTGTCACTCTACTTTTAGTAATTCATTGATAAACTCAAAAATTAATATTATAAATTGATAAATAATTTCTTTTTCATTTCTTCCCATCAGATCCATCATCCTTTTTTCTTGATTTTTTAACTTATTTTGCTTCATCTCTTAATTCATTGAAATGGTTTTTCTCAATATTTTCATCTATTGTATTTACATCTGATTCTGATTCAAAATATGATTATTCTGCACTTGAATCACTAGATTGACCAAATTAACTAAAACTTCTATTGCTTAAATCAGCTTTAGAATCCATTGATTTAGTTCTCTTAATGGCTTCTCTTTATGTTAATTTTTTATATTGAATCCTAACATTTCTTTTGAGATATGCTTCATTTAAAGTCTCCTTTCGAATTTATGATCTATTAACTTCTCCTATTATTTACAATATTTCCTAATTTTAATAATTATTGTAATTACTTCAGGTCTAGATTTTTCAATATCTTCAAGTATTATTTTATATAATTATTCAAATAATTCAACATCTTTACCTCTTGGATAAATATGATAATAATTAATTCTTTCATCTAATATTTACATAGATGATTTCTCTAATTTTCCTAACATCTTAATACTCCAATTATATAATTTTTATTTCATAATTTCTGCTTTTTTTGCTCTATCATCTATACTATAAAATTATTTATATATTTCCGAATCTATTCCTTTTTTTGAAGGTTTTCCACTCATTTCCATAATTTAAACTTCGTCTTTTAATTACTATAATTTATTTCTAAAATAAAGTTTTAATTCTACTTTAGATTTTCTTTTTTCCTTTTTAAATGATCAATTTTCTTTTCACTTTCTGCAATTGTTCCTAATAATTAACCATATGTAGCTTCTTTTGTTAAAAACTTTTAAACTATTTCTTATGCTTCTGAAATTCCAGTTGCAGTTTTAATTTCTTAAAATGCTGTCTCTACTATTCTAAATTTATCCATCTCTTTTTCCATTTTATTTTTTAATAAAGAATGAACTACTTTATGAACTAATAACAATTTTCTCCATTTTTTCTACATAATATATATATTATATTAATTACTTCACTTGCATCTTTATCATTACTGGCATGTTCTGCTATTTCTCTTTATTTCATCATTCTTTCATCTCTTTTTTCTTTTGCTATCAATTAAGCTTTTATTTATTTATTGTATTATGCTATTTGTCTTTGTCTATTATGTTTCTCTATTTCAATATTCTATTGTAATTAGATCTCTTAATACATTCATCATTTCATCACATAATTTTCTTGTCATTTGATTTATCTATATTGATTCCCATTATTTTGCATCTGCTTAATTAGCTTCAGCTTTCTTTTTTTCAAATATATCAGTAATTTCATTTAATTTCTTTCTAAAACAAAGTACATCATGTTTTAATCTATTTATTACATGTGCATAAGATTTTTCACTCATTTAACTTTCTTCAAATCTTTATTTAGCCAATATATATTCAGACTTTGATGTTTCCAACTCTTTTGTTAATCCAGTTGTATTATTTATTAATTCTGATTCTTCCAAATTCAATTTTTAAACTTGATCCTTTTATAATAATTATTTTATCTTACTTTAAATTGAGAAATCTCTTTTTCTTTATAAAGTGACGATGTATGATATGTATCATATTCTTTTCTAAGTTCTCCTAATTTTAAATGAACATCTTTTTCCTCCATTTAAAACAGTTATAACTAATAATCTTAAAATTTCTTACACTTTCATTTTATTGTTACGATGCCCCATTATAATTATTTAAGGAACCAAGAATAAAAGTTAAATCTTATTTTCTAACATTAATTCTAAAAATTACTTTATTGCCTTTTAAATAGATCTCATCGCAACAGCTTAAGTACTTACTAATCTATCTGTTTTCATTCTAGGAGAGGAACTAAATATTTAAGTTTCCTAAGTTACTAACATTATGTATATACTTCTGTAGTTTACATAAGTAAATTTGTTTTAAAAAAATCAAATAATATATATACTTATATGTCAAATAAATATTAAAAAAATAGCTAAAATTCCTTGTTTAAATTCAATAATTTATCACACTTATTATTAATAATAAAATTAAGTTTTAATTAATGATGAATTTTTACACGTCAGTATGAAAAATAATGAATTCATTACTATTTCTGAACTATATTTTATTTTATATATATTCTTCATATATAATGAGATATTTTTCTCTTTTTATAGAGAGATATCAATACATCTATAATAAAAATTGATATTAAAATATTATAAAGTGAGCATAAAAAACAAATATTTGAGAATCCAAACTCAATTAATATGAAATAAAATAATATATTTATATAATTAAATTATGTTTAGAAAATTACCTGTTTATTGTTTTGGAAAGTACAAATTTAATGCTAACATCATTAATAAAGTTTCTGCTTTACTTAAAATAAAACCTAGTTTGGCAAATGAAGATATAAATTTCTTTGGTGATGTAAGATTGTTGGATGCATAAAATAAATTAATTGGTGTTTTTGCTTGTGAAGAAGCAAGAAAAAAAGCCGATAAATTAGGATAAGATTTGATTATGATTAATTAAGAAATTAAACCTGCTCTATGTAAAGTTTGTGACTATTCTGATGAACTTGCATCTAAATTCATGAATGATATTGTAAAGATTAGAGAATAATAAAAATTAAATGATTAACATTTTAAATTAAGTCATACTATAACAATGTAAGATTTGAAATTGAAAGTTAATTAAGCTAAAGACTTAATTAAAAAATAAAATACCTTAAGGGTCACTATAATATGTCCAATTGAAACAGCAATTTAGGCAAAGAGCATTTTATATACAGTAATTATAATGAAAATTTATATAGTTAAAAGATTTATCGTAAGCCTTTATGATTCCAAAAGGAGAAATAAAAACAAGGGATTTTAAAGAAAAAGAAGTATTTGACAAAAAGAAAGATCCATAAGAATAAGTCTAATTAGATATTGAATTTGAAGCTATAGAAAAAATAGAACATAATTTAGATTTACCTTAAATAAAAATAGAGAGATTAATCAATTAATATTATTCAAAGAGTCTTTAGTAATTTTTATTATTAATATTAAGGGAAAAAACAGAGGATGAATAAGATCTTGCTGATCTTTTTAAAGTATAACAACCTGAAAAAGAAAAAGAAAAAGAAAAAGAAAAAAAAGTAGAGGAAAAATAAAAAACAAAATTAGAAGAGATGATGGATGATAGTGAATTTGATTTTGAGTTTCAAGATGCTTCAACAAATTAATAATGTAAATTAATTTTATTAAATTATTAGCATATTATTTAAAAGATGGAAATTTATCAAAATATGTGAAGTTATATAAAATGATTGAGTGGTCTTAGGGAAGAAAATGATCATAATCTACATGTTCGATTAATTTATTTTTAGAGTTTAATTAAGTGTTTATAAAGTTTGATAAAATTATAGATTTTATGAATTATATTAATAAAGGAATTGAAAAGATATTTGAAGCAATCATCTAAAATCTAGTATTAAAATTGTATTATGAATTACAATAACTATTATAAAACACAAATTAATGATAATTTTAACTGAATATATTAATGAATTATTAAGACTCAAGAAGAGTGATTAATCCTATCTATTAAGATTAACCTAAATAAGTAAGACCTAGATCTATTTCAAATACAACAAAGTTATTAGTTTGGGATACATAATAAATAAATTAAAAAACAGATATCACAACACATTCCTCAACTACAAATAGTGACTTAAGACATGGTAGATAAAGTTAAAAGAATGCTTCTTATGCTTTAGGTGGAGATAACTTCTCTAAAGCTATCAATTAACGACCTTACTATGATTTTAATGAAATTATGAAAAATCAACATGTAGCATAGTCTACGAAAGAAAAAATAATAAATCCTATTTAACTCGTTCTTTAAGAAGAAAATTAAATATATTCAAAAGAAACAAAATCACAAGAGAGATAGTCTATCAAATAAATAAATTTTTTAAAGGAAGGAAAAGAAAATTAAATGAAAAATGAATAGGAATTAATAAAATTAAATTAAACAGAAAATATTCATAAGAGAGCAAAAGCAAAAAATGATGAAAATAAACAACATATTTCTGAATTAAAAAAAAGAATGATGAATTATCCTTAAAAATCATAGAGTCCTTCTTTAAAAAATCATCCTAAGTAATGCAATCTAATGGAAGATAAAAATATTTCTATAATTTCTATGTAATTGAAAGATATAAAAGATGATATATAAACCTAAGAAATAAAATAATTATGTTAGAGTGTTGGTTATCATATGGTAAAATTTGATAAAGAATATGATAAAATAAATCATAGACAAAATGGGTTTGGATCGATATAAATTAGAGGCATTAATACAGATTTAAAACTTACTACTTTTTAAAGATCTTTAAGTAGAAAGGGAATTAATATTGGAGAATAAAATTAAAAATTAAAAGATTTTGTTTCTAACAAATATCTTCTTAAAAGTAAAGAGCATTCTTAGGCTGATAATTAATAATTACAAAATTAAGAAGAAAAATTATTAAATAATTTTAGAAAATTCTAAAGTAGACAAAAAGGATTATATATGTGATCATTTGATATTCTATATTAAAATATCTTTCGTAAATTTTGATATTTCTTCAAACTAATTTCTTTAAGTTACAACGTTTTCATATTAAAAATCAGAATATTTTGCATTACAAATTTTCCAATTTGAAAATGCTCAATAATTTGAAGTATTTTCCATTTAATAATTAAATGTAGAAATTTGAAAGATTTGATCTTTATGATACATAAAGGTTCCTTCATTTAAATTTTGATACATTAACACCACAAAACATAAAAAAAGTATAAGATTCAAATTAATTTTACTAATTAACATTTTATAGTGGATAACAAATTATTAAACAATCTAATTTACCATGGTTAATGAAAAGAATATATTCTGATAAGAAAACTTAAAATTAACAGTCATCAATTCTGAATATTTTACATAATATAATAATGTCAAGGATATAATGAGGAATAATAAAATAAAAAGGATTACCAATAAATAAGAATAAAAATTATTATTGAATACGATAGCATCAAAAAACATATTTTAGATGAATAACAATAAAAGAAAAGACTTTGTAAACTATAAATTTAAATCGAAAATGAAGGGGACGTGTTTTTCTCATACAAATAATAGAAGTTTAATAATATGGAAGATATACATATATCTTATACTTGTTGGATTATACCAAAATCTTAAAAAAATGATTGTTAACAAAATTTTTTCATAAAATCATTTTCTTTTTAATTTTTATTAATAAATATGAATTAGCAAAGTTTTGTATAAGTTGCTTAGGAATATGATTAGGTGAAAAAAAGAGTCAATTCATTGAAATTTTAATTAAGAGATATTGATTAAAAGAATCATGTATTGTAGACAAAATTAAAGGATCTGAGATAGATATCTCCTAAATTATAAAAATCACCAATTACATAATTATAAGAATAATTTAGATTAGATAGAAAATAGATAATTGAGTAATTCAAACCAATAGTGGAAAAAGAAGGAATTTATTTACGAAATGAAAGGCTAAAAACAGAAACCTAATTGCAATAATCCAAAATATGGGAAATTTAACAGAAAAAAATGAAGGTAAAATTAATAGAAGAGTTTGATTCGGAAGTAACTAAAAGAAGAATAGAATTTTAAGAAAAAAAAATAAAAGAAGTTAGGTAAAGATAATTATAAGAAATGGAAATGAATAGATTAATTCTAAATAAAAAGCTTATAGAAATAAGTAAATTAAAAAAATAAGAAAAAGAATTAATAGTGGAAATATAAAGGTACATTTTTCTATATAAAATTAGTGCTAAAAACAAAGAATAAAAATTATGCAATAAATTTTGTAATGCTTTAGTTACCAATGATAATAGTGTCATTCTACCATCAATTTAGAAATCAAATAGTAGAATGAGCTAAAAGTCTAGTTCAAAATAATAAAAAAAGAGTTGCTAACGCATCTAAAAATCAGGCAAAGCCAATGAAAGAGTTTAAAGAAGCGAAACAAGAAACGACAATTAAATTATAGAATATGAAGAAAATAGAAGATTATAATTAAATTCAAGAAAAAAGTCTTAATCTATAGATTAACTAAATATTGCTTGTTAAACTAGTTTTCTCATTACAGATTAAAATTAGGAAAGTGTTTAATACTCTTAAGATTATGAATCATATTTGAATAGCTAGAAGGATTAAACACTTGAAAAATCCTAACCAAATTTAACTTCAGAAGAAAGCAAAGATTAATTAAAATAAAATAAAGTAACTAAAAAAAACGATGATTATATATGAACTATTGTTATTTAACTATTATTTATAAACATAAATTTTATCGATATATTCTCTTATTTAATAATTATTTTATGAATAAATAATATTAAATAATCTACATTAATTGAATTGTAAATATTTTGGTTAGATTTCTTTGATTAAATATCTATCCTAAGAATATTTTAACAATAAAATTATTTACCATATTTTTCATTTAATAAATGAATTTGAAAAAACAAATTTAATTAATTAAAAAAGGATTCAATGGGCAAATAATATGCTAGAGAGCCAGCAGTTGCTAAAAAATCGGCTAAGGCTAAAGCAAGTGATTTAAGAACTCACTTTAAGAATACATATGAAGTAGCCAGAGCAATTAAAGGATAAACTCTTGCTTAAGCACTTAAATATTTACAAGATGTCTTATAACACAAAAGATGTGTTCCATTTACTAGATTTAATGGAGGTGTTGGTAGAACAGGTTAAGCCAAAGAATTCGGCAGATCATAAGGTATATTATATAATACTAAATTTATTATAGGTAGATGGCCTGAAAAGAGTGTAAGAATTGTTTTATCACTCTTATAAAATTTAGCTGCTAATGCTTAAGTCAAGAATTTGAGTAATGAAAAGTTAATTATCAATCATGTTTAAGTCAATAGAGCTTAAAAAGGTAGACGTAGAACATACAGAGCACATGGAAGAATCAATCGTAATATTTTTTATTTATTTTATAGCATTCTTATCATCTAATGCTCATATTGAAATCTGGGCTGCTGAAAGAGATGAAAATGTTAAGAAAGAAGCTAATAATAAAGTTGTTGCTCGTTAATCAAGAAAATAAGCTGCTAGATCAAAATTAGCTATTGGTGCATGAGAATATATTAATAATAGTATAATAATCTAATATTCCAATATTTCAAGCTATTATTTTTTCATTTTAGTATTAAATTGAAATTTATACTAAAATTTTAAGTACAATCAATTTTTAAATAAACTAAAATATTCATTAAAAGAAAATGGTATAGACATATTGACTGGAATTTCAGGCTCTTTATTTTATTTCTTCATGAATTTTTCTTATTCAATTAAACTAATTGTTACTTATTATGGAAGAACATTATTTTTCTTTTATCTTTAATTAGATTGTTCAGGTTTTATTATTTATTAAGGTTATTATTTTTAGATTTTATTTTCTTGTTTTCTTTTAAATGTTAGAATTGAGTATTAATGTTATATTTTTTGATTAATTAACATTTATAACTAAGGAGATTATGTTTATAATTTTTTAAATTATAAATCTAAATGATGCTCTTAATCATGCAAAGCTTTCAATTATTAATTTAAATCTTTGATTTCATTATCAAGTTTTTTTAATTTTAAGTCTTGTTATAATAATTAATTTTATTCTCTGCTCATTTCTTCATAAATTTAAGCAATTTAATCAATATTTTTTTTAATCTCTTCATGAGAGCATTTTTAAACTAAGTTTTGTTGTTTCAAATTTTAGTATTATGATTAATCACTAAAAGCAATCGTAAATAAATTTGAACCAAAATCTATTTTGAAATATTGAGTTACTTAATGATTATTCTCTAGAGTTTTAAATACTTGCATTTGGAGTGCTTTTTTTAGATGTTTCATCAATCTTAAAGCATAAAAATCCTATTAATTGTTTTTGATTTTTCTTATCATAAATTGGAACTTTTTCTAATGAAAAGGCTTAATAAGTGTTTAGGTCTAACTATGACATTCCTAAATTTTAAATTTCAATTTTGATTTTATGATTAAAAACTTCAATAGCTTATGTCTAATAATTTGTTATCTTTTACTTAGTTAACTATTGCACATCTTTAATCTTGAGGTTTAGCTATGAAGGTATGTTTCTCACACACTATAACTTTTAAGGGTTCACTAACTAATGGATAAAGGAATTCCAATCTTAAACAAGTAAATTAAATAACTCTCACTTTTTCACTAAATGGTGATAAACTCTTTCTATGATGCATAATATTAAATATTAAAAATGAGATGTTAAAAACAAAATTTACACATATGCATTGAATAATAAAATAATTTTATAGAGTTATTACTCATATAACTCAGCTCTTTTATTCAGAATCTAGAGCAGGGAAATCATTTGCATTCAGAGCATTTGGTTTTATAATTTATTTTGGTGTCTTTTATAATACTACTTTAGGGATTAATTGATATTATTATTATTACTATTACTATTATTATTAATGATGTTAATCATTTTTTTACACATATTACTAACATAAATTAAATTATTATACATTATTTCCTCTATCTCTTTGACCTCCTCTTCTATCTTTATCTTTTCCTCCTCTATCATTTCTATCATTCCTATCATTTCTATCATTCCTATCATTCCTATCATTTCCTCTTTCATTTCTATCTCCCTTCTCTTTATTTTGATATTTTTCTTCATGTCTATCATCATCTTTATCATTTCTATAATATCCATAATTTCCTCTTTATCTATTTCCTCTTCCTCTACTACTTTTTTAATAAGATCTATCAAATTCTTTTTCTTATTCTTCATATTATTCATTTCTTTTATATCCTTATTAATCAGTATCCTATTGCTCAATTTTCTTTGTCATCATTGCACATTTTTTAGAATTTATCTATTTATGAAATTCATCCAAATAGTCAACATTTTACATAATAACTGAATCTATTTAAAGTTCTGCCTTTTTTGACATTAAAAAATCAAATATTCCTATAGCATAATTTTCAGTCTATGATGTTACTATTAATTTGACATAAGTTTTGTCAGCTTAATAAATTTCTTCTTCATAGATTAATTACTCATTTAAAAAGCCAGATTTTTAAAGTGCGTCTTTTATGAATGCTACTTTTAAAACTGGTATTTTTATTTATATTCTTTTTCTCTCTGTTGGAAAATAAGGACGAATTATTAACATTTAATGATCAAAATTCCATAATTATTTGTTATATTTATTTAAAATCTTAAATATTAATATCTCTTTTTACATCTGTTAAAATTAAATGATATTTTTTACGAGTATTCAATTCATTTTACACATATTGGCTTTTAATTGAATTTTCTCTTTACACAACAACATATTATAGCAAATACCAATCAGGTTTTAAAATATCAGTCTCAAATTTTCGAACCAGGTATTCATTGTTTAGTAAATTATCATATTTAAACAATTCAATCATCTAAATAAATTTTATATGAATAATTTACAGCTTTCTCTAGTCTCTAATATTAGTCTTCTGGCTAACATGATATTATCATATTTATACCTTATCGGATAAAATTTCAGCAGCAATCATCTATTCACAACTATTGATGCAAATTATTTATCTAATTAATTTTCATCACAAAATAAGAAACTCAAACTAATTAACCTATATAAATTAAAAGAAAAATATTATACTAATTTGAATCAATCCATTGTCATACCATGTTAGATTCATAAAATTTGATTTAAATTATAATTACAATTACAAATTAGGCTCTTTTTTGTTTGTTTAGTAAAATTTGTGAAAATGATATATATTTTTTTAAAACACATAATAAATCTAATTAAAATTATTGAAAAAATTCTAATAGCTAATGCTTTCAATTAATATTTATTATACATAATCAACCTTTTATAAGATTGATATTGGTTTTTATTAATAAATCAAAATATAAAATCACTCCATATGATTATATTTTTTTGTATAATTATATTATTAATTTCAAATCTAAATGCGTAATTCTTCTTGTGGATGTAAATTTTTGATTGTATTTAATTTCATAATCTATAAAGATATTAAATTGATTTACTATTTTTACTGCTTTTAGTTANACATTAAAAAATCAAATATTCCTATAGCATAATTTTCAGTCTATGATGTTACTATTAATTTGACATAAGTTTTGTCAGCTTAATAAATTTCTTCTTCATAGATTAATTACTCATTTAAAAAGCCAGATTTTTAAAGTGCGTCTTTTATGAATGCTACTTTTAAAACTGGTATTTTTATTTATATTCTTTTTCTCTCTGTTGGAAAATAAGGACGAATTATTAACATTTAATGATCAAAATTCCATAATTATTTGTTATATTTATTTAAAATCTTAAATATTAATATCTCTTTTTACATCTGTTAAAATTAAATGATATTTTTTACGAGTATTCAATTCATTTTACACATATTGGCTTTTAATTGAATTTTCTCTTTACACAACAACATATTATAGCAAATACCAATCAGGTTTTAAAATATCAGTCTCAAATTTTCGAACCAGGTATTCATTGTTTAGTAAATTATCATATTTAAACAATTCAATCATCTAAATAAATTTTATATGAATAATTTACAGCTTTCTCTAGTCTCTAATATTAGTCTTCTGGCTAACATGATATTATCATATTTATACCTTATCGGATAAAATTTCAGCAGCAATCATCTATTCACAACTATTGATGCAAATTATTTATCTAATTAATTTTCATCACAAAATAAGAAACTCAAACTAATTAACCTATATAAATTAAAAGAAAAATATTATACTAATTTGAATCAATCCATTGTCATACCATGTTAGATTCATAAAATTTGATTTAAATTATAATTACAATTACAAATTAGGCTCTTTTTTGTTTGTTTAGTAAAATTTGTGAAAATGATATATATTTTTTTAAAACACATAATAAATCTAATTAAAATTATTGAAAAAATTCTAATAGCTAATGCTTTCAATTAATATTTATTATACATAATCAACCTTTTATAAGATTGATATTGGTTTTTATTAATAAATCAAAATATAAAATCACTCCATATGATTATATTTTTTTGTATAATTATATTATTAATTTCAAATCTAAATGCGTAATTCTTCTTGTGGATGTAAATTTTTGATTGTATTTAATTTCATAATCTATAAAGATATTAAATTGATTTACTATTTTTACTGCTTTTAGTTATTTGTGAATACTATTTGCTATTTCTTTAGTCAACTTACATAATTATTAGAATATAATATAAGAATAGGATTTAAAATTAATTAATTTGTAGAAAATTAGAGTAATTCTCAAAATGTTATAATTTCCTTGATAAATTGGCTTTTATTTGACACTAAACTTCTTGATTATCAAATTTTAATCTTAAGTTGATATCATTGAATTCAAGTGTAACTAAATTTTCTAATAAATTGAAACTTAATATTTTATTATCACATTATTACAAATAACCGATGAAATTTCATGGTAAAAGAATGATTTTTAATTGTTTCATTTATCATTGAGATAAATTTCTAATATACAACAATTTTAATGACCTAGAGCTAAAGTTAGCTATTCAGAAAGTAATGAATCTTAATTTTTATCATTTAAAAATAATAAATTGCTATAAGAACAATTAAATTAATTTATTATTGTAATTATTTTCTAAAAATTATGTTTTAAACGTAAGCATCATCTTAAAAGCAAATTGAAGAAATTATTACTCATAGTTAATCAAATCTCTCAATAATGCTAAATATCGAATAATTTATGGAATATTTTAGAGATAATGATTCGTTTGCAATAGAATTCATATCCAGAAATGTAAAGTAAATGTTTGATATTTTGTTTGTTGATTACAATAAAGTTTAAGCTGATTAATTGACTATTTATAGCGACTTAATTACTAAAATATTCGAGATCATTGATTAAAACTTAGAACCTATAATGAAATAAATAGAAGTGATATTCAGATGTTATTTTAGATTTATTGGGAAATAATTTTTGATTTGAGATGGAGAGCAGTAACACCAGATACTTAATGGGGAATAGCTCATAAATTGTTTTTATTGATAAAGGAAAGAGATAAAAGATTTGTTATTGATCAATTTTAAAGACCTAACTTTCTTGTTTCATTTTTACCTTTAATTTATATTAATAGTGTTGCTTAGATCTTAGTAATATTTTATGAGTTTGATTTTCATTAATAATAACTTGATTTTCTAAAGGCTGGTTTTGACAGATTTCAAGATTTTGATCCTTGTAGCGCAATCAATTTTACATTTATAGTTCATGAAATTATGATTAGAATTTTAAATGAAACTTAAATTGCTTACGTAATAAAAGGAGAAGTTTTAAAAAAGATGCTTTCAATTATTGCTAAAGATGAAATTAATGTTATGTATAATACAAAATAATTTAATAGAACTTTAAAAAATGCTGCTCATATTCTATCATTAGTTTCAAATTATCATTCTATGGATATGCAAAATATATAATTGGATGAGCCTGAGACTTAAGAAATTATTAATAATTTTAGAAATTCAGAATTTTTTTAGACATTTGACATCAAAGTAATAGCAAAAATATTACAATAAACACTTTCAGATAAAAGTAAGGTTAGTGTATTGATTATCAAACTTGTAGAAGTATAATAATATCATAAATTAGATTATTGATAATTTAGTCAGAATAACTGATATTTAATTGTGGGAAAGGATTGATAAAGCTAATATAATGGAATTAATTTTAAGTCTTATGCATAAGTTTAATAGATCAGATATTTTTATATCTTATGTAGTCAATATGATTTAATTTATTTTTGAAAGAGCTTTGAATGATTTTCATCCTTATTGGGCGACAAAATTGATTATAAAAAATAAGATTCATGAAAAACATCATAGTTAAATAGATAAATAAATTTATTAATTTGAATAAAAATTATCTTTAAAATTAATAAAGGATGGTGAGTTTTTACCTTACTTTGATTATTTAAAATAAATAGAAGAGGAATTAATGATTTCTCATCATTGGAGAGCAATAAAGTTACATTTGATGAGACAAGAAGAACGACATAAGAATAAATTAGGTGAAGATCCTAGTAGTCCTTAAATAGAAGATAAAATCATTGTTTCTGCTCTTGATGTTGAGGAAAATAAATATTTAGAATAAGATGGAATTGATGAATCAGCAAATAATATTTTTATTAATTGTTAAACTTTTTAAGCTTCAAAATTAAATTATAGAGAAATAACTAAAAATATTTTCGAAACAATCCCTATTATGAGTGCTGATGTAGATTCAGAATCAAACTCAGAATCATCTTATAATGAAAGTGAATAATCAATTGAAAATAAAAATATTTTAGATAAACCTGGAGATGCTTTGAGTTAATTATAAGATGTCTTTAATTCTATAGGATTGAAATCTAATTAACCAAATAAATTATCTTATTCTGATTCATTAGATAGAGACAAAGTAATTAAAAATAGAAATTTATCTAACTCATCAAATAATGAAGAATAAAAAAATCTATTTATGGATAGTTCTCTTAAACATGAATAAGATGCTCCTTCTCCTATACTTTAAAGAAGAAATTCTCTATAACCAGTCTCTAATGTTAAAAAGTTAAACAAGAATTTTGAAGAATTTCATATAGATTTTTTAAATAATCACAAAATCCTAAAAAAAGATGATAATAGTATTTTAAAGGTTGATGAAATTGATTTTGAAAAAGAGTATAAATAATAAATAATGGAGGTTGTTTTTTAAAAATCAGATAAAGATATTGTATTGAAAACAAAATTAATAGAGTAAACAAAATAAGATATAAATTTCAAAAAGAAAATAGAAAAAGTAGAAGATATCAAATTTAGATAACTTTTAGAAAAGGATCTTCATTTTCTAGAATTTTTAAAAAATTAGGAATGATAATTAAAACTATTTTATTTAAATTATTTAATTGAAAGTTTCATCATCTAATAAGATAGATGAATATTTATATATTAATATCTTATATATTGATTTTGTATTATAAAGAATGAATTAAGTAATTTTCTTAATTAAAAATGGAATAAATAATTTAGAATGACAATTTTGTTTTACTATAATCGAAATTAGTTAGCTATCCAAAGACATATGAAGATTTGAAAGTAAAATTATGTTGTTAATTAAAGATAATAGCATCTATAATAAGAGGAACTAAAGTTATTTCTAAATTGAATGAGTTATATCATTAACAATTATCTAATGATGGTTAAATGAAAGTATAAAAAATATTAAGTAAAAGTTATGTAACAGTTTTTAAATAAAGACTTACTCTAAAAATGAATAATTATATTCAAATCCAACATTAGGAGTATAACTTTTATTGAAAGGATAAGTTGATATTTATTAAGTGGAAGAAGGTTACATTTATAAAAAAGAGAAATTGATCACAAGTTTACATCCGCTTTCCTATATTGAAGATGAATTTCATTTTGACAAAGAGATATATTGTTCAACTTAATTATAATATAATATTTCAGTAGATAACACTTTGATTTTGAGCATTAATAAAAAGGAATGTGATGATATTTATTAATTTTATGGAGATCTTTTCTTATTTAAGCATAAGACTCTATGCAAAATAATACCAGGTTTAGGGGATTTAAATTCAAAGAGAATATTGACATCATTAGCAACACAATTTGAAATTTTAACTTTATCACATTAAGCATAAGTAACAGAGTAATTATTTAAATTAATTTGAAGAGAAAACGTAATAGGAGAATATTTGTACTTTTTAGCTTAAGGTGATATTTAAATGTTAAAAAATGAAGAACATATCTTTACAATTGAAGATAGTGGAATAATAGGAGATGAATTAATTATAGATCCAGATTAAGATTAGAATTTATAAATATGCTATGAATTTACTGCGAAAGTAAAATCTGCTCAAGTTTCACTTTATAGAATCAAAGTTAAAATATTTGCTCGTCTTTTTCCAAACTCTATAATAAGATAGATAATATAACTTCATAAGTGTATTTATTTATAATATTGAAACATTATTATAGAGAAATAATTAATTCGTTTGTTGATGGGAAGTAAACCATTAGATTAATAACAATAATGTTTTTCACCAAAGGATAATATTAAGATATCCAAATCAAATTTAGTTCTAACAAAAGATTCTATAAAATCATATGATAAAGTAGATGTGTAATTTTAATAATATCAAGTACACTATTAATATATCCTAAAGGTACCAAAACATAGCAGAGTTTTGAAATATAATAAAAATGTATTAGATTAATTTGGTGAAGAGGAAAAGAAATCTAAAAAGATTACAATAAATGAATTTGTCTAATTAACTAAATAAAATAGTTAGCCTTAAATTAAAATTTTAGAAAAAGTAGAAAATCCATATAGTTTTGCATCTAATGTAAATTCTGAAGGATTCTTAAAATAATATTATTCTAATTTAATTAGAGTTGGATTGGTTAAACCTCCTCTTAGAATAGCTCCTTAAAATAATGAAGCTATTTAAAGATCTAGAGTTATTTCAGCTATTAAATTAGTAGAGAAAACACATAAACAAATTAAAACTCGTAAATCAACAAGTTTAATTTTTGAGTAAAATGAGCCAATTCTTCAGATTAATTCATTAAATCCAAATAAAGAAGATAATAAGGAAAAGAGAAATTCAAATAAAAAATTAGATAAAAATAAAACTATGACTTCATTTTTTGTAACTCCAAGAACTTCCGCTTAATTACATCAATATCATAATTCAACATCTGGATACTTTTAATTTATTGAGACACCAAAATGTGAAACTCCATAATCAAAATCTACAATGGCAAAATCATTTTAAGTATTTAGACCTTTATCAGGATTCATGGATCATTCTTCTAGATTATCATAATAATCAGAGATGTAAAAAAGATTAAGAAAACCAAACTAACACTTTTTTTGAATAATTAAATATGAATATTTAAATTAACAATCATTATTCTTTACATACTAGATTTGCTTTAGTCAAATAAGCCAATCCATATCTTATTCCAAAAACAACACCATAATAAACTTAAGAAATTATATTAGCTATATCTAATGCAAAAACAATCAAAATGACTGTATAACCAATTTTATATTTTCTTAATAGTATATATCCAATTTTTGTTATTACAGATCCACCAATAACCTTAAAATATCAAATTAATTTACTGCTAGCCCTGTAAATAAAAGAATAAGTTATTAATCTAAATAATGATTAGTAAGAAGTGTAATTAAATTATTTAAAGATATCATAAAATATATAAATGCAGAAGTAGCCGAAGCACATCTTGGAATTAAACCACTATAAAGTAAAGTAGGAACCATAACAAATCCTGCTCCCATTCCAAGAAATCCAGATACAAAACCAGCACCAAATCCTCCTGCATATATTTTAAAAAAACGACTTATTGGAGTAAAGTATCTCTCATTTGGTAAATAATTTAATTAATCAAAATACTTCTCCTAATTAGATCCAAATTTCCAGGCTATGTAATCAAATAAAACATTTGCAATAATCAAAATGAATATCATAAAGTCATTCTCCCAAGTACAATCTTATATTCCAACATAAGATGGCTTTTTAGGATTTGTGGATCTCATTTAAATAAATATCTAGATTATAAATAATTTTAATACTTAATTAAGTCCAAAAGAACCTAAAATAAAGAGAATTGGCATGAATGGTAAAACATTTTCAGTTTCTTATTTGAATTTATTATAGAGATTCTAAGTATTCTGCTTATTATTCTCAGTTATATGAGTTAATGAAACTGAATCTAAAGAATTTTCTATATTTTAAAGTTCAATCTTTTATTAACTATTAGATTTATCTAAATTGAATGCTTGATTTTCATTTTTTTATTCATCAGTTGTTTACATCTCATCCTTTTTCGCTTTTTATGCTTACGAAATCATTCTATAAATTACCTTTTTTCCACAAAATGGGGGCAACTGCAAATAAAAATAGTTCTTAAAGTATTAATGTGTATAATTAAGGCAGAAAGGAAGCCAAAGATGATCCAAGATTGGTAGCAAAAGGAACAGCAAGATTGAATATTATTGAAATTCTATAATTAATAATGGGTCTTCTTTAATCATCAGGATTTCTATTCATTATATAGTATTAATACTTTTCAAACATTAACATAATTGTATTTAAAAGAGTTCCTCCAAACATGAGACAATATGCTATGTGTGTAGCTTCACTTTAAGAATAATTTAATATCATTTCTAATAATGGTCCTTTTAGAACACCACCTAAAGAATTTCAATATTTCCTACCTCCTAATCCTCCAAGAATTCCTATTCCAATTAAAATGGGTGTAATGATGTAGGAAATTATAATTCCTGCTTTAGGTGTATAAGGTGGATCATGAACACAGCTTGATACATCATTAGTATTAGTTTAACACTAACTAAACTATCCACATGTATGTAAAAATCCAGTTGCATTTGGATTGCAATATTCAGTCATTTTTTAATATTATTAAGAATTATTGCAAAAGAATCGACAATTTAGTCAACTTGTCATTTTTTATATTATTGAAGATTTATTTTGAGATGCAGTATAAATCAAAAAATAAATGATTTGTTTTCATTTCTATCATCATTAGTATCCCATCTATCTAAATTCCACTAAGAAGGTTAATGGTAGCATTTTTATTTGTTAGACTGCAACATTATTGCTCGTCGGGGAATATTTTTTCTAAATGTTTAAGATGTCTCTGTATATTTTTTATACTTTATTGATTTGGTTGGTGGTCTTGGAGACAAATAAATTCTAGAGATAGTGGAATTTAAAGAAAATGATTGCTATGTTTGAAACTTAGTAATTGAACAAGATTTGTCCTGATACTTCCTCCCAGAACTGCTATGTAATTTATATGTGGATTGATTATTAATCTTGAATCCTGGTATTGAATATAAAAAAATTTATGGTAATTCTTGTTCATTTCAGAATTTTTATTATTATTTATTATTATTATTATTATTATTATTACTAATATTATTATTATTATTATTATT